AGCGGGCCTGTTGGAGAGCAGAGTCGCAAGAATGCGACCTTTTTTCCTTTATTTTTGCTTTGTCCTAATTCATGGCGGCTGTTTCTCTTGTTTCTATCCCTATATCGTATTTTTCCCTTCTGCAATATGATGATCGAACACTAGTGTTATGACTATTATCCATCTAACGCCTTTCCTATTTTCCCTTTAACTAATTAGTTTCCAGTTCAAAATGTTTGCATACATTATACCAAGATGAAGATGGTCATAAGGTGTCATATCATGATTACCTATATAGCTATGTAAATGCACGCACAAAGAATTGTTTTGGGATTAATGATTAATTAATCCGTACATCATCTTGTTCTACATACTATACATTATCATGTCTTTGGATCATCATCTATTTGTGCTTGCTAAACTTTCGTGTATAACTTGCTTTTCTCCTTAATTTCTCCTTTTTGGTTCGATTGATGATTAAAGAATATGAGAAAGAATCTAAATGCATCTCAGTAAGTTAAACAACGTACCCGGGTTGATATGAGGAAATTATAAATTACTCTAATAAAGCTTTCTTGTTACCATAATCTCAATTTATTAAGAAAGATAATTCCATGTCATTGTTATTGATTTTTTATTTTTTTTTTTCCTCTCTTTCATTTTGATGTTGGAATTTGGTTGCATGTGCATATATAATGGTGAATGTGAAACGACGGAGTAGATCATTTTAGGGGCCTACATTTGATGTTGGTATTAATAAGAACATGCATGTTGCTTTGGCAACAAATGATAATAGACACTAGAAGTTAGTATAAGCCAAGTCGACTGGAGAAGATATCCCGTTACGTTACCGTACCCACCCACATGAATTCCCATGTTCACCCTAATATCCTCTACTTTTATGCGTGATTCAATGAAGCCAAAATAGCAAGAGAAACTTATAGATTTATCTGCGAATCATGATACCAATATATTATGTTATCTTCTTCTGTATCTTCAGCTGATGATGTCTACTAGCCTTTCTCTCGTGTGAAATGGTTAATGCGTAGCTAGTCTTTCTGTTGGCAAAATAGTGATAAGTGCTATCTGGATAAAGAAAATATCACTATTGGTTTGGAGTTCGGGAGGGCTAATGCGGGACCATATATCTATGTCCGGATGTTGTTTGGGAGGTTTCACGATCAAACTAATATTTTACTTGTTTCTAACGCTATCGCATGTGTAAACTCGTGGGATTTATTTCAGAAATCTAGTTTTATGGGATTCAAGGTCTTCTTCAATACCATACGAAATGGTCATTTGCATGTAATTTGACGGGGCGAAAAATAAGGATTTCCTCATTTTAGGTTCACTATTATTTGTGTCGCAATACATGGATAAAGTTTAAATATTATCAAAGTATATAAGTATTTTGAGCTTTCATCTCAAAACCAATTTACAACGAGTGGGGTGACTTTTAGTACTTATATACAGAGTCACTTTTATACACGGTGATGATGTGAGACAAGATAATACACCTTAACAAATGTTTAATCCTCCTCCGGTTCAGATACATTTGTTTAGTTTAAATTATTTTTTACTTCAAATTAAGGGAAAAATACAAACTGGACGACATTTTGGGACACATTGATAGAATTTGTTTCTTTTTAAATGTTTGATCATGCTAATACAAGTATGCAACAGATAAAAAAATAAATAAAATAACCGCAATATTAATTAGTCCTTTCGTACATTGGGTAGTTTGGCTGACATTGTCGATTCCTCAGAATTCTAGACCATTGTGCTTGGAAATATAACGAATTTATAGGGAAAGGGCAAAGACATATTCATATCTCCGATTGCTGTCAAATCAACCGGAGCAGAGATCGAGTTCCCATAAAATAGAAACTATAAACTAGTACTACCATAAACTCTAGGTGTTTCATTTGGAAAAGAAAATTAACGCCTACTACAAACTCAGAGCTAACGCTTTCTCTAATTAGGCCACAATGAAGAATTGAGTTGGATTCGAAACTAATAGTAAGCCTGTCAATTTAAACTAATAGTAAGCCTGGCAGGAGGCTGTGACAACGCAAAAGCTTTGATACTTAGCGGGCCACGGCTTCATAATGAAAAATTAATTGAAGGATTAAGACTTGGAGGTTCGTGATATTTTTGCCAGAGTACAGTCATTTCCTACTTCGATTGACACCGTTTTTGTCGTGGAGTTTTTAGTGTTGAAGTACATGCAACTTAGTGCGAGGGGCGCTTATTAGCAATCGTAATTAACTAAATACCAAAATTACATGAATGATGAATATAGATAGAAAAGATACTACTAGAGTAGAATATTACTATCTACATTTACTTACTTTCATATATTGTTTTAGGGTTTGCAGAAAAGATGAAATTGAAATAATTATATTTAATGTTACATTGAAGATGAAGTGCATAAACTAAAAAAGTCTTAAGTTTATCATTGTGCGACAGATAAAAACTAAAAAGAATAAGAATCGAGGTAGTATTACAGCTGATGAGATTGTGGTGTTTTGGCGATGATATGCCAAATCATGTGTGATCAGTACTCTGTAACAGCGAAAGGAGTAGAGAGACGTGGGTTAAATCATTCATGATCATCATGAAGTTGCGTGGTTTGCCTGCTCTCTCTCATTAACTAATTCTTATAAGTCACAAATCAAATATCTCCTCTTTGTTTTTTTTCCTCACTTTTTTTATTACTCTCTTTAGATCCGCAGAAAAAGTCTCGAAGAAATATCTCATTGTGTTGTAAAGAAAAAGTAAAAGAGACAATAATATTGTAATTTTAAATAGTAGCCGATAATGTAATACATAGTGAAATCGTGGTCTCAGCAAAATTAAATGATACATTTATTGCCACGGATGTCTCCGTAATAATTTTATTATCTCTATTGATGGTTTAATATACTCTCTAGAATCATCAATAAATACAGTAAAACTTCTATAAATTAATACATTTGGGTCTTCAAAAATTTATTAATTTATTATTTAATATATTTATTAATTTATTAAATTATGGGGATTTATATTTACATAGTAGATTCTTGAAAATTTTGTTATTTTATAAATTAATCGATCTTTTTATTTTTAATACTAGTCTCGAGATGGGATCAGAGAAAAATATTATTCAACAGATGTTATTAATTAATAGAGAATTAATTTATGAAAGTTTTACTGTACTATCAAATATTAATTACAAGACTTGCAAATATTTTTGGTACAAATACAAATGTAGTACTTCCTCCATTACAAAATACTGTAAGTGTCATTTTATAACTTGCACACAGTTTAAAAAATACTTTAAACATGATATATAAATTACTAAAATATTCTCAATTAACCACATTAAAATAAATATTTGCCAATGATATTACTTCTTTTGAGGGTAAGTTTGAAAATTTTAGACAAAAATGCATTAGAATTAAAAACCGACACTTATTTTGGAAGAAGTATCAACTTTTGATATGACTGTGGTTGAGCATTACTTAGCTTTAATGATAGCTAAATAATCAAATGTATCTCGCACTTATTCAGTATATAAAAGAAATTTTTTTATTAAAAAATGAAGTAAAAAATGATTTTAAAAAGAGTTATGGCGAAAAATTTTACGAAAATATGAGCTTCGAATCACAGAAAAGAGAAATTACGCAAACAATTGTAGTTGAGGGACTTGCCGACTTGAGGAGGAAAGAATAAGGGGAAAAAAATAAAAAGAAGAAGGTAAAGACACAAGAGTTTCGATGAGTGGATTACTGATTACTAGTAATAATAATAAAAAAGAGGACAAAAAGTGTTTGGGATTAATTAATAAATAAACACAATCCGATCATTGGGAAAGAATGTTGATAACAATTGGACAGACCAAGACGATGTTCTAAGTCCCAAAGTTTTCTGTTGCCATTCCATAAATGTGTATACAACACTACTACCTTCCAAAACTCCAGATACATATAAAAATATTGTCTGCTCACTAAACTACAAAGATATGGCTGCACAAGAATCCATTATTATGAAAGCTCTGTCAAACCCTCCCGAAATGGATTCTAGCTCTCCATGCATATGAATGATTCACTTTCATGGCCCATCCTCTTTTCCTTTGGACTCATTCTTTACCTCCTATTGTTTTCCCCCATCTATATTAATAAAGCTATTATTCTCAAATATAAAAATTTAGTAGACCTTTATACATTGAGTTCATATAATGTTGGATCAGTAAGTATATGCCATTGAGAATTAAGGTTCTAAGCTTATGGTGAGTATGATGACCAATAGACGTTTTGATTGGTTTATTGGCTTTAAATGATTAGTTATGTGTGTTTTTTTCCCCTCCTCTCTGATGTTATGTTGTCCAAGTCCATAACCAATTACCTAAAAATACTTGTAATGAGGTAGGAAAAATGGCCTGGGACTGTACAATGATGTATACCGTTCTGTCGTCCAGCTACTTTGATTTGATCACATATAGACAAGTTCACAAGAAATTTCAAAAGGCCATTAATTTTACTTCAGGCAGTACGAGCGGAACCATATCGATATTTCCACTGTTTATTATAATTACGCAATTGGCATAAAATCTAGCCTTAAAAGATTCGCAACTTTCTATTTTGTATTTTCTTTTGTTCTGTTTGAATGAATTGATAGAGTCCCTCCTCTGTATAATGCCCTCCCATGTGCACCTATAGTTTTGTTATTAGTGGAAACAACGTTACATTGCAACTAAGATATGAATTGAATCTCAAAGTACCGTATAACTAATTAATATATATATATATATATAGTGGTCAATTAATTTGGGTGATTAATTCGCATGTTAATCAATTCTAAATCGGACAAGAGCTATAGTACATATGATCTGTAGTCTGTAACTCTCTGTATAGATTGCTAGCCAGAGAAAGTCTACTCAAATTGAACTACGTCAGGATTATGATTTCTTCATTACGAATACTATTTTTTTTTTTTTTTTGGTGGTGCAAAACGACAGAAATGTGACATGGGATGCTGCCAGGTAACTGAATAGACTCATATGGTACTATCAGCTGGTCAAAAGTAATTACAAATTACAATTTTGATCATTAATTAAGAACTCTTCTTCTTTTTTTTTTTTTTCCGGTCTTGTCGTTACATCCACAATCTTGTTCATTTTAATTCTTTTAACAAATTATGATGAGTAGAAAAAAAAAAATAACAACAAAAACAGAAGAAGTAAAAAAGGGCCGGGAGGCCATCCTTTGGCTTCCTTCTCATTATTATTAAAAGTATTCTACTGCGTACGTACGTTAGCATTTGTCCAAAACTTTTTAACATCAACAAGTTTATCCAAAACAAAACAAAAACCCCACCATTTCCCACCACCCCTTTTGAATTGAGGGGATCATGATTAATTCAGGAAGCCGATGGATCAGAAGATATTGCCGTACGTACAGTCATTCTTCACTTAAAGAGATCCATCATCCATGGGTGGCTTTCTTTTCATCATCATCATCATCATCATGGATCAGATAATCCGGTCGGGGCACATGCATGATATATGTACGTATGATGTAGGTGGGGATTCTTCTTATCAACTGCGTACGTTAAAAAACCAAAGTGGCTGGCTTTTAATTTTTCTTTTTTTCTTTTTTTTTTTTGTTTGTCCTGAAGGGGTTTTGGGTGGTTTTCAGGTGTGTTGTTGGTGTTGAAGCCATTTGGAGAAGTTTTGGAGGGTGTTCATGTCAGCCCGGTAATGTTTCTGGGTGAACTCAAGGAAGTTGGGCCAAGTGAAATCGGGATATATCCTGGGGTTATTGGAATCCACCAATTCAGGTGGTGGGCTCACCACCTTATCCCCCTTGGGACACAGAAAAAACGCTAGTGATTTCCTCGGAGTTTTGTTGTTTACCACTGCTCTGTGCAGGCAACTTTGGTATCTTCCGTTCGAAAGTGCCTGTTACAACCCGACAAAAAACCACACTAATTAAAATCCTCAATTCAAACCCAAAAAAAGAAAAAAAAAATATTACAAAACTAAAAGATTTTATTATACACATCATACTACTGATTAATCATCATGTTATAAATTGCTAGGAAAGAAATAAAATAAATAATTACCATGAAAGTGTCGCCAATGTTGACAACAAAAGCGTTAACGTCGGGAGTAATGGACCGCCACTCGCCATCAACGAACACTTGGAGTCCGCCAACAGTGTCTTGGTGAAGTATGGTTAGCGAGGTTGGATCGCAATGTGGTCCTGTTCCTAACGTCAGCTCCGGTTTTTGGCATGGTGGGTAATAGTTCAATCTCATCACCGATTCGTTCTCCTCGAAGAATTGCTTGAATACGTCTTTCCCAACTCCAAGGCTCATTCCCAACAACTCCATGATTCCCAACGAAAGTCCGTTCATCGCATTGCAGTATTCTTGGTATACTTTCCTGTTATTACAAATTAATAATCAAATGATCAACAAAAGTACTATGTTAAAGATTAAAGATTGATGAAGTATGTGTAATACAGTTCTGTCCCGAAATTCTTGTCCAGTTTAGATTTTCATTTCGTGACGGAGGAAATAGTAAAATACTATTAATTACCCGAGTTGGACGAAATCATCTCCCAATTTGTTGTGAAAATAGTCTTCGACGATGTGGGATGAGTTTGGGTCGCCGGAGAACTGAAAAGAAAGTGTCTCTTTCCATGGGAGTTTGGAAGAGAAACGGCCAGTGAAACTGCTGGCGTATCCACAATGCTCTCCCACTTTGCGCTGGGCTTTTTGCTTCTGGTGGAGTGGCTGCTGGAAAAAATGGTCCATGTTTCGATGGGCATCCGAAATCAGGCCCGCATCCACCCCATGATTCACCACGATGAAGAACCCGTGTTTCCGGCACGCTTCCCCGACCACCCTGGAAGCTTCCGCTGCCGCCTTCGGGTTCCCTGATAGGAACCCTCCCAAATCGACCACCGGCACCGGAAGCTCCTTTGGATTGGGGCATGGTTTCTCGTGGTCCGGCCAGATAAATTGCGCCGGTATCTTGGTTTGGTGTTGTAACACGGCGGCGTCGAAAACCAGTGGCTGATCGGGCCGGCATTCCTCTTTAGACATTTCGGTGGTGATCGAAGGTTTGCTGGAGATCATACAATCAACGGCCATTGGTATGATTACGGTTCTACGAAGATAAAGAATTAACTATGAGTTGAAACAAGGATTTAAAGAGAGAGGGGGGAGAGTTGCTAGCTGATGTGGATAGCAAAGCAAACTAACTTATAAAACAAAAAAATGCATCAACAAATATTGCTATCAATTAGTCAAGCAAAGATGATGCACGTTTTGAGACTTGTAGTAAAGGATAAAACAAAAGGCCGGCTCAACCAAATGAAAATGAGAAATGGAATCTTAGGGAATGAAAGGTTCTTCTTCTCCTAGCTAGTTCTTGCTTCTCTTTGATGACTGACTCACTCTCGATTCTTCAACTATTAATACACGAACTGGTACACTATTTCAAGACAAACGAGGGCCTCTTCATAAATTAAAGTTATTTCAGAAAAGGGGGTTATGAAGTAATGAATTTGCAGCAATGGTACACATTAATAATATTGTTGTCTTGTATGGTGTTGACAAGGAATGCTAGCGTTTCCCGATGGAGTTATTTTGGCGTTTCCTTTGGTAGGGAGGTGGTGGGTGACTTAGCGTCCTCACCCCTTTTTCTTTTGATCATCCCTTAAAATACCTTTGTTTTTGAGATGCTATTATTATCCAACAAATCAAAGGGAATTATTCTCGTGACACATTACATTACATTTTGCTGTGTACACACGCATCAAATTGCATATTGTTACAAACACCTATATATTTCTTGCGGGATTAATTATCCAGAGCAACAATATCACTGGCTAATTCTTTAAAATCCCTAGCTTGTAATATGTCAAGAAGAGTTCGCTGTAGTTGTTTTTTTTTTTTAAAAAAAAAAATGTTATTCATACATGACATTTAGATCTAGATTTCAAATTTTGGTTAACAATGGCGTTATTTTGCCATCTCGAAGTTACTACATACTATAGTGTTAAATCTCAGCTCGCGAGACATATTTATGCACATGTCCATCCTGATATACCACATTGTTAATCGATTCATATTCTTTTTTATCCTTAAATAATTGTTTGGTGTAAATATTTATTTTCTATAAATTGAATTTGAAATAAAAAAAATTTAAACACGACAGTCATTTTGTTTCAGAGAGAGTATTTATGATAATTTGCTTGGCTAATTTTGTATAAACACACCAAATCCGATGGCACTTATTGTATGCGTACGATGCTTGCTGGTGTATATAACTTAATGATTCAACATTGAAATCCGGCTCTAATACGTACCGACATATATGTTTGAACAGATTTGCCTCAGCAAATTTGAAATGTGGCTGTGCAAATTGCTGTTTCTGGTTCAACCACTAGAAAAACTAAACAGGGGCAATCCGATTTGTATGATTTTTGTTTTTCCCCTCTTCGAAAAGGGATTGTACTTTAGGAAAAGGTGCGGTTCTGAATCAAGAAAAAAAATGAAAACATCGAAACCACCAAATAGTGTAGAAAAATGGTAAGGTGACCTTTAGTTTAGCCCAACTATTTAAGTCCCTTTGGTTAATTAGTCTTAAATGATAAATATATGTATTAGTTGATCACATTCTCCATGAATCGGATCCTACCATCAACTATCAGTCCAGCGCTCCTATGTACAATAAGCTAAAACTGTTGGTATTTGTTAAAAGTTATTTCAAAAGATTTGTTTATAGTATATTAATTCCTTTTGATGTTTTAATGTGGGATAAAGATTTCTCACAAAAGAATTAACCAATGCTTCGGTTTTGATTCGTTGGAGCGTTTTGTTTGCCAACATCAAACTAGAGATTAATGAGATGAAAAATCTTTATGACATTAAAACAAAAGATGAGATATGAATGTGAGTTATGTTTTAACTTGTCTTAACTCTTTTCTTTACTTTTCAGAGCAGTAATGGTTTTCTTTAACTTTTACGTAAATGTTCTTTTTGATTTTTTTCCCTATAAATAGAAGTTGGTAAATTGAGTTAGATACACCATTTCTACACAACTTAAAATACCTTCTAAACTATTTTTTTTGAAATCACTCTTCGCGAGTAAATTACTTTGGTTTTCTTTCTCATTGCTTTCAAACAGTTTTACAAATATTGGATCTATATACGTGTTAATTCTTGTGCCCTCTAGCACATAAAAGAAGAAGGTTTGTTTTATCTTAGGGGAACATTTCGTTACACCAAAATAGTTTCTTTAGAACAGTGCAATTTTACGCGACTCAAGTATTTTATTTATATAGCATTTTTGGAGAATTTGCCAACAAGAGCTACCCAATTTAGAAAGCCCTAGCTTCCATATAAGAACAATTCCATTGGCATAATTTCATATAAAGAATATCGTGTGTATCGAGATCCAAATCAAGGGTGCCATATGAGCAACAGCATATGCACTGTAATTTGAGGGGGAAATTAAATTCATCAAACCATTGATTAGGTTCACTTTAGAAATAGGATTTGTTAATTATGTTTTGCCAAACAAGATTAGTTAATTCTCCTTTTTAGAGTAAATTAAATTAGGCTGTGAGATTTCAAATAAGAGTTGGAATTGGTCACTGTTTGTAACCTATCTTATTAGGCAGATTGGTTACAGAATGGGGGTGATCGATCATACATTTTTTTTTGTAATTGAAGGAAAGTGATAGATACATTTTAAAAGAACCTTAGTCAAAGACTTAAAAAACATGCTTGGTTTGATATTTTAATTAAGCATGACTACATGAGTTGTTATTTGTCCCTCTCAGTCCAAATAAATTGTTTTTTATGTGATTCTCAATACTAGAGTTACTATTTTTCCCCCTTTTGGTGGCTATAATATAGAATAATGATACTACTCATATAATATAATATAATGTAGACTATTCTTTGGGAAGAGAATATACATATGAATAGATCAAAGTGGATCAGAACTGAAATAGTTACTCCACAATAATGGTATCGGAGAGATATCTAGAAAACTAGGGTCTTTCTGGAATTTTTCTGAAATGACATACAAATCATATCATATTAGTGGACAGTGACCAAAAAATAAAAACTTTATTTTCATAGAGAAACTTATTGAATAAAGTACAACGCAAAAAATGAAGAGAGAAGACGAATTTATTTTCACAAATTATGGGGGCGTAAGTGTTTGAATTTATTAGCTTATTAGAAATTGGTTCGATGTTCTTAAGTACTCCAAGTAGTTTACAATGAGATGATGTTTGATACTATTATAAATTAGATATAGAGTCCTACGATGTTACAAATCGTCCTTTAATTTGCTCGGTTTTGTTCGTTATATACCCTCAAAACATTTCAATTTGCAACCTTAAAACATCTATTTCTTTGTGTTTTTTTTTATGGGAATGATAAAGAGGCCATTACATCAAATCAATGTGAATTTTTTGGAACCATGTCACGGAATATACACATGAGGTAACAGTAAAGATAATAAAATTTTATTCAAGTAACATGATTATCATTATAAGACAACGGTGGAATTATATCATGTCGAGTGTTTAAAGTTGGACTAGATTATTATTGGGTTGCTATGGCTGACTCCTAACCAAGTAAAAGCATTATTGAGTCAGCAGAAATAGTGATGGAATAGATCAATCAAATTGGGATCTTCCAGAGAATGACAAAGATAAAACGCAGAGGCGCATATATAGCACTGATTGATGAAATACGCAGATGAGTGTGTGTGTGTGTAGCTAGCGAGGCGATGGACAAAAGAGTTTGTCCATATAGTATGTCGGTTTTTACATCAATATGGAATCCACTCCTCCACCAAAACCAGCAAAAACTACGGAAGCTTATCAGTGTTTTTTTGACGTGCCTATTCCCAGCAACTTCTCGCGGCCACACACACACACACACACAATTAATTTCATGAAGAAAAAGACAGTGTAGCTATTGCAGTTTACTTCATATATATACAACAACGTCAATTAAGGTGGGATTCTTGGGAGGCAGGAGATGGCTTTTCTTTCATCTTTTCAAATTCGAGCCTTTTGTTTTTTTCCTTTAATTGACCTTCTATCCAAAAAAAAAAAAAAAAAAACACCCTTCTATGCAAACTCATCCACATCATTCAAGTACATATATACCTACATATACGATAACATGGGGGAACTATTGAAAACAATATTTTTTTTAAAAAAAAAAAAGTTTTCCTTTGACAGTAGTATCCAAGTAATAGAAGAAGATAAATTTGGTTTTATATTTTTATACATATAAAATGCCAGAAACGTCAAATTAACATGGTCCAGTAAACTAAATCCGTAGATTTCTAGTTAAGTAAAATATGGAATTAGGAAAGTTTTAATCACCTAAGCTAGGCTTACTCCTCCTTTCATTGTACCCAAAAAAAAATAAAAATCAATTAGACAAATGACTGTCTCATAGAATATAACCAGCAATTGTCCACTTCCTTACAGAAACAATAAATAAAACCAACAGGTAATTAATTAGTTTTGATATCACAGAGAAAACGGGTACTTGTGGTAAATTAATGTTTAAACTTTTTGGCGTCAAAACAAATGGTAGACAATTCTCTTGTCACATTCGTTACTTGTTGTTGATGTATTAATTGCTTCTTGCGATTATTATATATCAGAGATGATTCGAAGTACATACATTTAATTAACTTGAACATGATAGTGAGCTAAATTGTATTTTCTCGTGAAAAGATATACTCAATTATAAAGAGATTAATAAAAAAAAATAAAAGGAACTAATTAGTGAATGTCATTTTGTGAACGAAATTTAAGAAAAATAATAATGTTGGGGGATCATATATATGGTGCCCGACGATGAATCCACAAAGGAACATGTCACGCTTAATCCACTTCTGGGTGAGTCTTATCACGTATGATTCATGTCTTTCATTGGACACATATGTTTTAACACTCAAGTCAAAACACCTCCCACTACTGCCCCCACCAAAAATATGAAACTGATTAAGTCAACGCAAACCGTAAAACCTTCCCCAAATACTCACGGATTTTATCAACTTGAGCTTTGTTGTAAGTTGTTACTTTAACAGTTTATTCCATCCACATAGTTTCTTACCATCTTTTTCTGAATATTTTGGCCGTCATAGGTTCCGACACCTTCTCTTTCTCCCCATTTTGGCCCGTATGAGTTTCACAAATTACTCAGAAAAATTAACGGGCCTAATTAAAATCCCTAATACTAACGAACTTGTTGAGAAATTCACCGTGGGCATAAAATAATTTTAAATTCTTTAGTCTATTCTCTCACCATCAAAGTATTTATTCATTGTTGCTGATGGGAGACAATCTGTAATATAAAAAAATTTAGATCCCTAGTATGTAATGTTCGCCGGTATAGAATCTGTATTTATGGACTGGACGGAGGAAGAGACACAACCCTCCGGAGGAGTTTTCTGGTTGTCGCAACCGAACCCTTTCTTTCACTCTATATATTCTACTGACAAAGAAGTTCTTGGAAATGCAATAAATGTGGCTTCAGTCTGGTTATATATCTAACAAAAGCTATGTTTAATTTTGTACTTATGGTGTGACTCCATATAATTAACCTTTATGCATCTTTGGGGCAGATCGTCTAAAGGATATCTGCAAAACTAGATTATTATAATCGGAGACAGGGGAAAGGCTTCGATTTTATTTTATTTTTATTTTTAACTGAGTCTGATGTTCAGTGTTACATTTCTTTTATCATATTAGGATAAGATAGTTGTAATGTAAATTCAGTGGTGCATGATCAATGTTAGATATTCTGTTCGCATAATACCGAGAACTATACACCATCTAAGACTAGTAAATACTAATATTATTACATGCATATCTATCCAACTCAAAATCTTTTCAGGTAATGGTTTCATGTAATACTTTTTGTGTAATATAATCTATACAAATAATGTATTATTACAAAATATTAAAGAATTCATTTTTTTTGTATTATCATAATTCAACAAAATGAAATGTTTTTCTAAGAGTATACGTAATAACCTAAACTGTAAACAAGGCCCGTAGACTTAGAAGTGATCGTCCAAATTAACTCCAAACAACGCCCAAAGCTTTGTGTGTCATTTAGATTTGGTTAAGAAAATATTCAAACCTCATTATTAGTATTAGAGAAAGAACAAAAAATCAGAGTTATTTCTCTCAAATTCGTTAATTTGGATGGCATGTCAATGAAGTAAGAAGTTATAATAAACCACGTAAGGGACTCATTACAGGACAAGCACGATAATAATCTCAAGATTTCGTATTTCGAATAAGCACTATCGGGCATCGGCCACCAATAACAATTGTTAGTGGTGACGTGGTTGCCAGATCACCGTCGGGCCACTGGTGACATGTCAACGTGACAACAATTCATTGTGATTATTGATATTTTGAAAAGTTGTTATAATGTCTAAACATACTCTTAAAATTTACGTCAAAATAGTATTTCATTTGTTTCAATTATTATCTAGTTTTGATTTTTATTTTTAAGTTTAATTTGTACTAAAAAGAGGAAATCAAATCAGACAATAATTTCGGGATGAAAGTACTATATTCCAAATGTATAAAACCATAAAATACAAATCAAAATAACAAACAGAAAGGGGCCCTTGAATATTACGGGAACAAAGCAAGTAGTTTGCGACAATCTTTCATTTCGCATATATGGTGAAATATTTTTGGTGGTTGGTTTGGAACTTGGAATGAAGCCAACTAAACTTTTAATTGAAAAAGAAGAAAAGAGAGAAAGAGGAAACAAGTATATAAGTGTGTGTCACGCCAAAATTGAAGCTCTATAGTTAGGAAGGCATTTCTTGGAGTGAAATCATGAAGTCTAGAAGTTTTTGGCCATTGAAAAGACAGTCGTGTAAACCCAAAAAGAAGGAAGCGGTCGCTACATAATACTTCTAATTAATCGTAGTTGGTCCCAATCAAAGTCTCTAATCTTTTATGTTTTCTTCAATGGAAACAGCAATTTGATCATTAGGGTATCTCTATATATAATTAGTACGTCTTGTTAGTTAGTGACTTAGTTCATAACTACTAGTTGATGACATTCATCAGATCTTCCCCCACTTTATGTATTTATTAAAGATTAAAAATAGAAAAGAAGTCAATTTCCAACTCGGGATTGTTTCGTACAAACAAAATCGGGTCTCTTTTTTTTTTTTTTGTTGGGTTAATATTCGATTCTCAAGAATATCCTCTAGCTACTGAAAATTTTCTAATACGGTTTGATTAATTTGGAAACATTATGGATTATTGATTCAAGTGACGCTAGATTGAACATATATAATCATATAAATATCACTATTTGGCTCCATTCTACAGGCCCAAGGAAGGTTATCGAAGAACACACACTAATATCTGGACAAACCATCACATTCTTAAACAAGTATTTATAATTTATATATTATATTCTTTTGATTTCATATGGCGTGTTTGTACATTTCAAAAACAATCTGTATAATTTTTCTTTCCTATTTCAGTTTCAAGAATGATGTTTATAAATTTTTCTTTCCTATTTCAAGAAAGATATCTTCATTGGTTACTCAATCGGTTGATATGTATGGATATATAAATTAAAATCATTTATTAGTATAGGATTTCCAGCGATCGTTACGTGAAACTTACCTGAATTTGGAAATTTAAGTCAATCCCTATTTCATATAAAACTTTGTTATTTAAAAGTAAATATAGTAGGACCAAATTTTGTTCCACTGATTTAGTCAGGAAGACACTTTAAAATCAAGAACAGCAAGTCCTAAACAGATGACTAAAACGTTCACGTGGGTGCGACTTCAAACTTTGGGACAATTTTAATCAAATTGGCGAGTTACTCCAAAACTTATTATCGATGTGCGGTGCAACCAAAACATCACGACAGTGCATATGAAAAAATACAAAGATTCATCATCTCTACTGAACAACCGAAACTATTTCGGATTTATGTGTATGGAATACAGTACTCTATCTGTTAAAAAAAATATAATAAAAAAAAATTTATATCGAATTTTTAAATTTGTATCAGAATTACAATTGTGTATCAATATCGATTATGTCAAGACCTGATAAGGTTGAATCTATTTATGGTCACATCACGGTGAGTCTCACAACCATAAATGTTTCATAGAAATCTCTCCTCTCTAATTGGGAGAATATTTAAATTCAGAGCAAATTAGAATTATATTTCCGGATACTTATAAAACTGTAGCTAGGGTTTCGCAACAAACAATATAAACATCTCATTAGGAACATGAAAATTACCAAGCATAAAAAACACTATTTGAAGTGTCTATTTGTGCTATATTCTATTACCATGCCACGCACGTAATTAGGATATACGGAACTGATGAATTAGGTTTTGACCCCCAAACAAGCAAGATAAACTCCATAAGAATAAATTCTAAATATAGATGCTACAACTTTTACAATCGGCCACTTTAGTTAGAAAGAAAAACGCTTTCAAATTAGTTATCGAATTTAACTATCAGGCCAATCAAGGACAGTCAGAATCAACAAGTTGAAAATGGAGCACAATTAATGTGCAAATATATATAGGGATTGAAGACCTGTTGTTCTTATTGTAAATCGGTCTCCATTGATTGAAATACAATTTGAAACTTGAAAACCGAATGAGGACTTTCTTTGGTAAATTGCTATCATCGTGCTTTTATTTCAAAAAGTTAAAAAAAAAAAGAAAAAAAAGAAAGACAAATTGGATTAAAACTCGGTGATCATCTACTTAAGTGTTTACTTTGGAGGGGGAAAAAAAACAAGTGTGGAGTTGATGAAGAGACTTAATTAGGTGGGAAAGGTAGAGGAGGGAAACAAGGAGGTCCAAGGAAGAAGGCAACTAACATGAGGGAGGGGAGTGGACATAATGCAATGCAAACAAAAAGTGGGACAAATCAGTTCTTCAATTGAAGCTGAGAGATCCCATCCTAAAGCTGACTGACCCTTTAGCCAAAACAGCAATGCTTGGATCTCCACACGAACAATAAATAGTGGTTTTAAAAAGTAGTAGGATATGAATGAATATGTTGCGCTATTTCTGCATTAAAAGGACAAATACAGTTCCTCCCTTCCCCTTCCCCTTTTCTTTTATCCTCTAAGAAGAAGGGATTTCATGATTAGTTGTTTTACTATATATCTATTCCCTTTGGTTTGCCGACTCGATTATTCCATTCATTGGTGGGTCTGGGCAAGTTTTTGAAGTCTTTTCTTCCTCACCAATGGGGAGCATAGACAATCTGCTTGGATTTTGGTTTTGGATCTTTTGGGATGTAAAGATATGGTTTAGTTGACACTTGTGAGATGGGTTCCAAAAGTAGCACACCCATGCAATATGAAGCCTGAGGAAAAAAAGATATAAACCTATAAAAAAAACACCTCCTCAACTCTTCCCAAAATAGTGATTTCTACTTCCTATTATCGGCCCTATCACTGTTTCATTCCATATGATGTCTTCTCAGCTCAGGAACCCTCCATTTTCAGTGGACTCTGAGTTCACCTGCACAGCAATTCCACTTCATTGTTATGTGTTTCTATAGATTTATCAATTTTCCCATCACAATGTGCCAATGACAAATTCTCTCAAATGGTTTTGCATGATTGCATCTTGTAGGACTTATAGCAGCGTCCTGTTGCGGGGTGAGAATAAAGTCTGTATGTTCCCACTCAAAAAAGATATACTACCTGGCTAAAAGATTCTTTGGATGGCTCATTGACTAATAGAAACCTGACTGTAAATCATACTGTTCCAACTACTTCATGACTGACTTGTTTCAACTCTCAAAAGCTTACGACAAATACAGTTTTCATAGAATGGGGGTCCTTGAATCTAGCAAGTTGCAGAAGACTCGAATTACAAGTCTTCTAATTGGCCTAGTGCTTGGAGCTGTTTGGGGTAACTTCATATATCCTGAAATGATAATGCTTTGGAAACCAGTTGAACTATGAGTTAAAAGCAGGAAAATGGTCAATCAAGACAAGAACTATAATGGCACCCCTATGATTTTTTCCAACTGGAATCAATAGGCATCCAGACCTTTAACTCTTTCTGCTCCCCAAAATGAAAATGTAGTCCAATGGTAACAAAGCTATAAGGTGCAGTAGAGGGCCATCGTACAAAACAGAGTTTAGTGCTGATGGTATTATATCGATTCATCCCTGTCCAGGGGCCAGGCCATGCTATATTAGTTCATTGGCAGTAATGGAAAGGTTGAGAGAAGAAGCAATTTGCAAGGACATTATTGTTTCTTAGGATTTTCTATATTAGCTCAACTTGGAACCTGCCAAAGGAACTACTCAGGCTGAAGATGTAATGGACTACTGGGTGATTAGACTGGAATACAAACCCATTGCCATTGGGGCGATTCAATTTTCTATAATGCCATCTTAAATATGTCCTAGTTGCGCACTAGAATTTCCGCGTGTGGCGGTCGGGTCGAGGGCCTAGCATACTGCAGATTTTACTTAGCCATATATAGGTTTTTTTAGAGTTAAAAGAGTAATAGAAAAAATGGTTTATGCTTGGTATGGTAGAACTACCAAGCTTCTGGCACAAAGGGCCAAAAAAGTACATGTGCATTCAGGAATTAGGACGCTTAACCGCGAACAGTAAGCATAGTGACTTTTGGTGCCTCTCCAAAGGTTCGACTTACATAATCTCACCAGCCCCCGAAGGAACACCCCGAGAGAGACTCAATAACCAAAGGGCCAATCCATACAAAACGAAATAAGAAATAACTTCCACCATAAAAGACATAGCTCAATAATGCCAGGATGAAAGTTGAAAAACAAATAAGCTACGAACCCATCAGATATAGCGTGGACCACAAGGGCAAAGGCAATACATGCCTCCGGTCGTGTGCATAAATTTTGTAATGCGCTGGAAGAGAACTTCAAATTTTACACAAGTGGTGGCCAAGTTTATTAAAGTTCTATTTATTCAATACAAATAAATAGTACATTGAAGATAGAGCAGGACGATTATCTTTTCTACATGATACATATCTCGATTATCTACCCTCAACAACCAGCGGCCTATGACTTTCATCCTTTATGTGAGGCTCATTGTTCCTAAAAGGCATGGCTACTCTAATGCAACCAAAATTGACAGGAGGGACTAGGGAGGTACTGTTTCTAACATACATTCCGGACAAAGAAGGCTTAACCAACCTGATATACTTGTTACTGCTAGGATTCTATCTTTTGTTGAAGCATCACTCTGTTTAGGTAATGACTGTTGGTTTCTCTCTTCCTGTGAACTCCTGAAGCTTGGATAATGACAGCGCCAAATCTAGAGGAGGAAAAAAGAATCATAAGCTTTCTGAACGAAGGAGTAACAATGACAAAATAATTCGTAGAATTATGAAAATTAAGATTATTTTACCGATCAAAGGTTTTAGTGCAGCTTGAGCATCCAAAATGTGTTTTGATGCATCTGGCTCGAACTGCTCAATATACACCCGGATAGTAGCACCAGCGGACCCAGTGCCCTAAAAATTAAAAGGGCAAATTAATGGGCATCCAAAGTAACAAAACTTTTAAAAATCAGGTTAGATGGTAGGAGAGAGTGTATAATTCATACCGATAATCGGAAGATGATCCTCGATCCATCTGTGAACACAAATCTCACACCTTGTTTGGATGCCACACTTCCATCCACCTGCAGTAGATAAAACTCACATCAGCAGACCATATTATGACAACAATATTCATGCCTCGTCAGCCAAGTGGGAACAGTGTTCTACTTACTGGATCAGTATAGTTGTAGTCATCAGCCAGCTGAAGGACATAACTACCTACAACACAATTGCTATTAGCTTTGGCAGAGTGATTCTTGTCAACTCAAGATAATTAGAGAATTTATACTAACCATATTTATCGCCTTCTTTGCTCTTGGAAACTAAATCCCTGAGATACTCTATCATTTTGTTTGCTGACTCTGACTCACATTCCTGCAGGCAGATGTAAAAACTAATTTCAGAATCCAGAAGAGGAAAACTATGTCAAACGGTATAGAACTATTTGAAATATGTAGAAAGCCACTCCCAATCGATAGTTACCTCATAGTCATATCTAGAAAAGAAGTTCCTTCCATAAGTAGCCCAATGTTGGTTTACCACATCAGACACGGAGACTAATTCCTCTCCAGGCCTCTTGTCCTTGTTTCGGTACGCAATTATTGAAAGCCAAGCTAATACAGCCCTGAGATTCAGATGATCTAAGAGTCAAGACAGATTTGTTTCTTGTAACTTACATCAATGAAGATTGAAATAATAAGATTTTAGGATATTCAATCACAGTTTCACACTAGTTAAGTTAAAATGAACGCATTATGAAAATAAACACGGGCGTCTGAGGAAGAAACAAATTTACAGAAATCGGCTCGAACAATCAATAACTGACTAAAAATATGCAGATCAATAACCTTGTTCAGATGGATGCAATTGATTCAAAACAAAGGCTATATACTCTTTAATGTCGTAATCATCAACTACATTTTATCCCCACATTCACAATTAATAACATCCTAATCACCAGTAGCAAACTCAACTAAGAAGTAGGTGTAAGCAGTGACATCAGTCAATTACACTTGAAAAAACATAGTAATCAAGATATACAAGACACAAGCAGTACCATATGCCATCTTTCTCACGAATGTGATCAGAACCAGTTCCAAAACTTTCTTCCCCGCATATTGACAATTTTCCTGCATCCATTAGGTTACCAAAGAATTTCCAACCGGTTGGTACCTGCAGTTTATGAGCAATATTAATTGGGAAAATGATTTACCACGGAATCCACAGATGACTATATAGTAAGACGAATGCAGCAATTGGAAAGTAGACAAAATTACCTCATAAAATGGAAGACTTAATTTTTGAGCAACACGGTCTAGAGCGCCACTTGTTGGCATTGATCGAGCTAAACCCTACATCTCATTAAAAATGTAATTTGATTACTGATAAAGATAGATTAACAATTTCCTTTCAATTGAAAGGCAAACAAAAGTCCTAAAGAAATCTCAAACCTTAGGGCCAGCACCAAAGTATGGAATGGCATCCTGTGCATTGGCTGCAATGAGTGCTACAGAATCCGAAGGGGTGACAAAAAACCCTCTACCAAGAATCATGTTCCTATCACCATCTCCTGAATAATCAGATGAAGCAGTTTTGTTTCAATGAAAAATAACCATAATAAATAACTATACGCTATATTCTTTTTTCCAAAATTTATTACTTTTTGGTTATATACATCTTCGAAGCTGGAAATTTCAAGGAGCACCCACTACATGAGAAAGAGAATCATCTATGTTTAAGGTAGATGTTTCTCTGAATAATAAGAACTTTATAAAATTAAATAATAAAAGAACTAGAAAACTCGTCTAAAAAAAATGAAGTGAATCGTGGTTCAGAAAAGAGTTCCTTTCTGTTTCAAAGGACATCTCTGTTCAGGTCGTTTTACATCTGTTTTTTGGTTGGGAATTGGGAATGTAAAAAAAGTGTGTTGGAAAAGTAAAGATATCAATTGAAGTTTTCAAAAACACCTAAATGTTTCAAAAAAAAAAAAAAACACCTAAAAACCCAACTAAAACGGGAACCAGATGTTGATATAAATGTATCCAGTAAGTAAAAACTTTTTAAGTTGATAGAAAAGTGTAAAAATTCAGGAAGAAAATCCAAAAAAGTTGAAATGTGAACAAACTAGGAAACAAGCTTTCTTTTCAAGCTGCAGCAACGAAGCGCACCATCACTTGCAGCCCCAAAGTCTGGTGCATTCTCTCCATACATAATGTCGACCAAGTCCTTTGCATATCTTTTAAACAATCAATTAAAGGCAAAAAAGGTCAGTCATGGTAACACCGAGTATCAAATAAGAACTCAAAAATTAGAAAATTAATTTCTTACGTCAGATTTGGGTCAGGATGGCCATGTCCAAAATCTTCTAGGGGCACTCCATTTAAAATAGAATTCTACAGAATGGAAATCAGACACTTCATTCATCATGTAAATAATCTAGGTGCCAGTAAACCTAAATTTTAATGATTATCAAGCCATTTAAATGCTAGTTTCAGGAAACATACAGGACTTGCTCCCAACTTGTCCACAAAAATAGGTTTTGCATACGCTCCGGTAACAGCATGCATTGCATCAAAGACAAAACTGCAAATAAAGCCAAATACCCCATATGAGAGACTACCAATAGATTCCATTGGCTTCCACCACACTCTATGTGAAAGTTAGTATTGAATAAGAACCAAAAAAAAGTTGCAGACACACGAGAAGATAAAAGTCCACAGCGAACAACAACCATGAAGTGATTTGTACTAATATCTTTCATATCATGATGCAACCATGAAAAATTAGGAATCAAAATCTTTTCACTAGCTATAATGCAAATGCATGAGTATGAACATCACTGCAGCACTGCCTACCAAAGTTCCCATTCTAAACAAACCAGTCAAAATCATTCACAAGGGGGAAAAAAAACCCTAATAATAATTTGATTCTGAAGATTGTCATGATGAAAGAAAGATGAGTTTTGAGGAGTGTTAGAAAGCCGTTGAAAAAAACCGAGAAGAAAATATTTATTCAGTGGTTTCCCCAGTTTAATGTACTTTCGATTTTAACTGTTTCAGTTACGTAATAGAGCAACAATAGGGACTGTAGCAAAAACTGTGCGTACATTGATGTAAAAAGTGCGAGTTTAGTGAGGTCAATATGTTTACATTTTTACCCAAAAAAAAAACTAATAAAACTCACTCGCTTGGCTAGCTACATGAACATCAATTCCTATGCCAAAAATTGAGAACAGAATCCCTGAGGATCAAAATTCAATAATGATTACCTATATATGCATCTAAAAGAAAAAGCCAAATAACTTCACAGATCCACAGACTTCTTTCACCACAATATTTACAGAGTTTCAGGCATGAAGCACAGAGACTCAAGTAAGCAACTTATGATTTTTACCCTGGATATGTGAGAAATAATGTGAGCATGGAAAAGTTGGTAATAGTTACATAATAGTCCAACAGGGACACAGTAGTCCCGAGTAAATATTTCATCGTAAAGTTGGTAATAGTTACATAAGAGATACAAAATACCAGAAAGGATATAAACACCTGAAATCCGGCCGCGACAGAAGACTCCTGATGAGAGAAAAATCAAATACATTCTGCACAGAATTCCAGAACCCATCAGCTCTGAAATTATTTTATGACATAATGGAGCTGGTTTAGTTACATACTTCTTTAGTTTCTCACCTCCATAAGTTCCAGATAATCAGCAACTGGATCAACCACTTCCACAATAAAATTCCCATATTTTGTTATCCCAAGGCGAGTAAGGTCAACATCAGGAATGTCCGCCACTTTTATTTCTGAAATCTGCATAGCACTTAAACGTTCAAGACTCAGGAGCTTAACCTTCAGTGTAAGGAAGCTCAAAAAGACAAAAGTTCCCACACTGTTATTTTACTTTCACAAAACTGGAGCCATATTCTTTGATCAAGGGTCAGCAGGTATCAGCAACTTCAGTTAACCAGAAGGTAAGATTGGGGATACCCCCCAGAGCAATTTTATTCTTACATTATATTAAACACAGAGCCATAGCAGTCCAGTTAGTTGTTACCAAAGGGTTTGGGACTATTAGGACCAAGGTTAAAAGGCAATTGCCAATCACCCAATAAGGAAGCCGTATTCCAAGCTTGCAAGCGAAAAGGTTATACGTAAAAAGAAACAGTTGTACTGATACATAACAGGGCAAAAGGATAGATCCATACAGAAAGTGTGTTCCCATAAATCTTGTCAGTTATGGATTCTGGAGCTGGCTGTCCACTGCTGTAGTTGAACTGCAAAACAAAATGAAACATGCACCTGACAATCCATAAAAAATCATAGCAACTGGTATATTTCATTACAATCATGAACGAGAACTATAATTAGTCACCTTAATACCCCAATCATACTCTGGACCTCCAGGATTATGGCTTGCACTCATTATAAAACCACCATTGGCCTGTTACACAGCTTTGTTGCAAAGAATCAAGGAAAAAATATATAACATATACGTCTAACCTAGTCAGACTGCACTTGTAAAACTAAATGATCATTAACAAAAATAAAAAATAAAAATGTCACCTTTCTCTTCCGTATTACAGCAGAAACAGCTGGAGTTGATAATATACCTTCCCTGAAATTAAAAAATATATATACATATTATGAACTTATAACTGGCACAGCAGCACGAGTACAAAGATTTTCAAAACTTCCATCAGCACACTCACTTGCCAACCAAGATTTTACCAACACCATTTCCTGCAGCTATTTTGATTATTATCTGAAACAAACAGTATAGAACCAAACTTAGCAAACCAAAAACAGCAAAACCCTCTGATGGCCCAGAAACTGGAACTTATCCAACCTGCGCAGCTTCGCGATTAAAATACCGACCATCTCCTCCCAGAACCAGAACTCCATTGACATAATCCTCAGGTGGCAAAGAATTAAACAATGACTGTGCATGACACCAAAACATCAAGCAACAACGCAGTGTTACAATATAATATCAGGCATAACTGCTGTATTAAAAAAAAAAAAAAAAGAAAGAAAGAAAAAGAAAAGAAAAGGAGGGCCTAATAAACAATAGGACAAAAACCTGAATCCAGTTGGCTAGGTAATTCTCTTCCATAAACACTTTAACCTGACAAATTAACAAATTAAGGAATCGGCATTTTGATCAAATGTAAAACAAATAGGTCTTCAGCAATCAATCATTAAGAAGCCTACAACAACAAGAACAACAAAAGGCCACATACTGCCTATAAGGAAAACTCAAAAGGGAAAGTTACAGATTGTGGGGGAAAAAAAAATTAAGAAGGCGAATTGCGTAAACCAAAAAGAAATTACTTTCTTCCGGAGACCACTGGTTCCAGTTTTTTGACCCTCAAAGGGCTTGGTGGGCACTGACTTAATCTGCAATCGTTAAACACGAACAGAACTTAGCAAAAACAAAACAACAAAGATTAATTTGATACGGCATAATTATAAATGAATAGATGAATACCTTGAGGCCCTGCGATTCATCGGCGACAGCAGTGGGAGAAGAAGAAGAAGGGGATGAGGAGGAAGCAGTAATCGTAAGAGGAGATGAACCCACGGAAATGGACTTATTGAACTTGGAAGAAAGAGCGGGACAAATAGGATTGGAGAAGTTGAGGAATGAGAGTGATCGGGTTGGCTTGGCAGAGGAATTGGGTTCATTGGAATGCGATGATGAAGACCGTGAAAAAGCAGCAGACTTGACATGGGTTGTCGAGGCGTACAATGCCGCCATGACTGCTTTTCCTCACTGCGAGCTTGAGAGTGACTGTATGAATTTCTCAGAGGCCAAAGAATCTGAAAATGGAGGTTTTTGTGGTTTTGTGGTCAGTGACTGTGGCGGTGAGACCCAATTGGCACTGTGGACTTTGTTCTTCTTCGCTGATATTAAGGGAAAAGATATGAAGAAATTATTTAGAAATTTGAAATTTGATTGGAAAATCAAAAAATGCAAAAAAAAAAAAGATACAGAATCACGGAGACGTAACTGCCACATGTCCTAAAGACGCTTATCTCCTCACGTGATTTGTCGTCTTTTTAGTTTTTCAGTCTCCACATATCCAAGGCCCAATTTTGTGAAAAGCTCATTGATCATCCCATTTTAGCGTGCATTCATCTCTAAAGCCCAATGGGTATATTAGACCACAACGGGCCCCCGTTTCCGTGATGGGGGAGTGTTATTAGGGATTGTTATGGCAGGCAGATTGGTAGTTTTTTTAATGAATTATAGGGTTTTGTTCTATTACAGGTGCAGGTTATAGGGCTTATTTCAAGCACTACAAGTAGCTTGGGATAATGGTTATCGTCAGGTCATTGTTGAAGTGGATAATCATAATATCATTGTAATGATCACCAGCAATGGGGAGGTTTTTGGGATCAATAAAGTCTTGTGGTAGGAATTCGACAATTTCTGAAGACGGTTAAGCTCAGACATGAGTTTCGTAAAGCTAATTTTATTGTAGATTATTTAATATTGTTAGCATCTCTAGGGCTAGGAGGACTCCAAAAATTAGAAGCTCCATTATCAAGAATTTTAATATGACTTCACCATGATGTTATAGGGGTCTCGTAACCCTGAAATGTATCCCTTAAATCATAAGGCGTGAGCCTCCTTCTTTGCAACAAAAAGAAAGTAAATCCAAATGGATTCTAAATTGTAGTTGATGTTAGGTAATTAGGTTTAATTGCCAAAATTTGTGGAAGGAAATATGGGTGTGTATTTGTACATTAAACTTTGAAAAGTTGGGTATACACGATGTGTGTGTGTGTGTGTTTTTTTTTTAATAGAGAGAGTTTCACGCCTTACACTAAAATTGTAATTTTCTTAATCCCCGGATTACCAAAAAAATCAGATAATCCGTCACAATATTTGTCTCTCGAAATTCATGACTTAGCTCTGTTTCCTAATCTTGGCATAATAAATGACGAACAACAAGTCTAACATTCATCCCGTATACCACTTATTCATACTTCACCATCCGAACAATGCTACTATTATCAAATTTTGCAATGGAATTTTTTTTAATAAAGACACGTGCAATGTATAATTTGTAAGGAAAAGTAGTGGTGAATGATGTGAATTAAATCGCATCCATTGAAGTTTATGCTTTTCATTGTGAGTTTAAACATTTAAGGTTAGAAAAATAAAGGGTGCCCGATTTTTTAGTCCCTAAAGTATTTTCCGGTTTAATTTCCATCCCTAATGTTTTTCACGCGATGAAATTAGTCCTGATAGTTTTTTTGTTCAAAATTGGTCTTATTGGCCGGATCCGGCCATTATTCCGGGGAAATATGATTTTTAATCATAGATTTTCCCTAAAATTTTGTAATTTTATCGATTTTATCCCTTTTTTAAAAAAATTTAATTTAACCCAATTTCAATTTTAGCACATCACTTTTTAAATTTTAATCTATTTACTTTTATTTATTCAAATCAAATCTTTCTATTAAAAAATGTAAAATGTCCTACATTTACTTATTTGCTCTTGATAGGGTAAATAATGTAATAATTTTATATTTTTAGAAGTAAGATAGAATTGGATAGCATATTTCATATGTCATATTTTTATAGGATGTTTTTATTCCCCTAGCCTACTAGTAGACCAATTATCATATCTTTTACCATTTTACTCATAAAATCAAAAAATTAATAAAAAGTAATGTAACTTATTAAAACAAGTATAGAATATTAAAATAAATTTTAATAAATAATATTATATTAAATAAAATTTTTATAAAAAATTATTTTAGTAAAATTTACACTCACAAAAATTTGTTCAAATTTCTTTTATTTTTATCACTCTAATGCTTTATTTTTACTCGACTAACAACCTTTTCATATTAAAAAAGTTTGTATTTCTGAATACTCATTTTTTAATCTCTTATTTGACGTTGACAAAAGTTTTCTAAACCTTATTTTAGTTTACTTTATCTTTCTTTATTATGTCAAAAAGATTAAAACAGTGAGGATAATGGATAAACAATTTCTTTTTGTTGTTTTGATTTTTTATTGGAGTAAAAAGAACACATAAGGTAAATGAAATAGTGTTCTAATTTTTATGAGGTGAAAATATAAAATAAAAAGTAAAACAATGATTTATCGTGAAGAAATAATTGGACAGAAAAGGGAAAAAAACTCTGATTTTGCATTTTTTTTTGAATTCTTACAATATTTTATCACAAAATATTTTATTAATTTAATTTTATTTATTAAATTTATTTTATTATTTATAGATATTTTGTTTGTTATGTCATTATTCATTAATTTTAGAATTTTTAGAGATAAAATAGTGAAAATTAATAGTTAATTTAGTAATAGGCTAGGCGAAGAAAAAAATTAATAGGGGTAAAATAAATAAATATTTCAGAATATTTTTTATGTTGTTCATGGTAAATGTGATAGAAAATATGGTAAACAATGTGGTAAATTTTACATTTTGGTATAGTTAGATTTGATTGGGAAATATAAAAGTAAGTTGAGCAAAACTGAAAAAGTGATGTGTTAAATTTAAAATTGGGTTCAACTGAATTTTTTTTTTTAAAAAAAAAATAGGGTAAAATTATAAAATTACAAAATTTTAGGGAAAATTCATAATTTAAAAATCATAATTCGCCGGAATAGTGGCCGGATCCGGCCAATAGGACCAATTTCGAACCAAAAAAAAAATCAGGACTAATTTTATCCCGTGAAAAATATTAAAGACGAAAATTAAATCGGAACATACTTTAGGGACTAAAAATATCGAGCGCCCAAAAATAAATTAGATATAAAATATATCATTCTTTTGTTGTGTTTTTTTAACCCTTCTCTAGTTATGGCTTCTTTTCAAAAGGTAGTGAGTACATTTTCGATGGAAGGAACCATTATTTTATATTGAGTTAGAAAGAAGAAATCTTCTCCGTAAAGATGCATTGATAATAACTTATTTGAAGGCCAGCGAGCGATAATGAACAAATGTCAATTTCCCAATTTATCAAAATACCACAATTACAAAATAGAGAAATGAATGGTTCCATCTATTTCAAAAAATGATTGGCGTGGATTATTTTTAGTACTAGGATGGAAATAAATTCATTTATGACACAGTCAGCTGCACATAAATGTTAATCTTGGTTAGAAGCGTCATTTTGTAAGCCATGGGGAAGGAGAGTCTAGAGCGTCATTGTAGTTGGATGGCATTAACCCAAAGCATCCAATTAGGTGGATTGAGAAAGTTGCATACTTGCATCATGCTAGAGAACCGGTGACTACTAGATTCAGCAGCACTTAAATCCAGGTTTCTACAACTCATCCATGGCGTAAGCTGCAGGACTAAAAGCACGAGGCATTAGCTTGATTAAGAATGAATACTGATGAGTGTGTGGGTTGGCTGGTCAATTCGGACACATCATATTCATTTCACACTCTCATGCTGTCCACAGCATCCACGCGAGACAAGTTTCAGGGCATCGGTTTTCCCGGTCATTATTACTCCATTGATTTATCCCCCTATAGCTAATAACTGAAATTTAAATAAAATAAATTTTATTTTATTTTTTTACTCCCTCCGTCCCATAATTATTGTCCACTTTGTCCAAAAAATTTTGTCCCAAAATTATTGTCCAATTTGACTTTTTATGGATTAAGTTACACATTTATCCTTAGTAAAAAACATTATCCATAAAATCTTAGTGGTTAAACAATTACTTATGTAGGGGTATATTCGGTTATTTAAGGTAAAATATAATTAAGTTTGACCAAAAATAAAATCTTTCATTTTAGTAAAACAGGACAATAATTATGGGACGGAGGGAGTATTAATTACTCTTATAATTTGTGATGTGAATTATTTTTATGTGAAAGGGAAAGAATTAATACTAAAAATAAGTGTCTGTTTAAAGGGTTTTATAATTATGCTTTTTTTATTAGTTATATCTGGAATTAATGACATTAAAAAAACACCAACCATTTTGTAAAAGAAAGTATATAAATAATACTATGAAATGGTTAGAAAGTCTATGTAATAAACGTATTATTAGTAGAAAATGGAAATCATTTGAGCCGCGGAATTGTAGAGAGCAGCACTAGATGCCAAGATCTGAAGGCTTTGTTTGTTTCCTTTTCTAGATAGTATTTTCAAATTAAATTAGTATTAACTGTCTCATCTTTAGCATACTTTTTATATTTTTAATATCCTTTTTACCCTATTAAATCAGAAGACATGAAGCTTATGTGGCAACTAAGTATGCATTTGTTTTGGCTCCAATGCACCATATTTCAGATTTCAGGAATCTTTTTGCCACGTATAAGTCTCTTTTAATTATAAGTTATATAATTTTTTTTTTAAAAAAAAACACATGTTTTACTACAATTAAGGATCAGTTACATTTCAAACGAATGGATATATTAATTCAAATTTAAATGTTCGATCGTATAGTTTTGCAGGCTTAATATAAATAAAAAATAAAAATACCTAAATCCAGCAATTAAGAATAATGTCTTATAAAATAATTATTTATTATTCCCTTATAACCTTAGATTTATAGGTATATTTTTTTAAGCCCCAAATCATAGCATAAATGATATATACGCCAAATTAATTCCTCAAAAAATAGTAATTCAATTAGATTTTAATAAAATAGTAATTTAGAAGGGGCGCCCAGGCCATCTGCCTGGGCCAAACATCTAGTATATTTTTATATTCGAAATATAAAAAATACCTAAAAACACACATTAAGAAACCGAAACAAACAAACAAACCCGAACAAACCAAGAATCCCCAGCATTAACGAACTAAGACGGTGGCTTTTCTTTTTCTTTTTTTTTTTGGGAAAATAACTCAGACGGTGGCTAAAAATTTACCGCTTTATTGCAACTTACAAGAAGAGAGAGTATAAACCCAAATTGGATTCCCCCTTTTTTATTTTGTCAACTTCTCTCATTCAGTAACAAACATAGAAACCCTGTGAAGTGTGTGTGTGTGTGACCCTTTTTCCAAGATTTCTTTCTTTCACCATTTCTGTATGTTTTTCCCCAAATCTGTAATACGGATTTCCTTTCTTGCCGGCCCATGCGAATATCTTCATCCGCTCAAATCGTGATTCTCTCTCCTCTCTTTTGGTTTTGGGTGCACTTTCTCTTTAAATTCTTGCTCAATATTCTGCCCCCACTTCTTTAGTTTTCCCCTGGGGTTTTGTCTTCAATTTTTTTAGGCTGCCTGCTTCTTTGATCACACGCCATGGCTCGTGACCCCATTTCAGGTCTGTTCTCTGCTACACCCCCATCCATGCATTTTACCCCATTGATGCATGCCCGTCATGATTTTTGTTTTTCTTCTTCTGAAATTGATCGGAAAATCTCTCCTTTTTATTACTCTACTAGCTCATTGCCATCCAAGATTTCTCAATTATGTGCTTTCTTTGTTATCTTTTCGACAATTCTTGGTTATCGTTGGTTACAGGTATGCCTAGTTGGATCATTCTGTTCTTGCATTGTTCTCTTCCGCGCGTGTATTTGCTTCTGGGTTCTCCCCTTTTTTGAGAATTTAGTTTTGTACTGTAAAAAGATTGTATTAATGTACAATTGTTCATTTGTTCTTCGTGAATCTGAAATTTACCAGGCGTTCTGTCTTGGGATGTAAGTTTTTTATTATGGGACCATGTTTTTCTTGTCATATGCACTTGGAAACTTCCTAATGAGCAAGTAAAGAATGGCTTTTTTTTTTTTACACAACAAGTTATAGCTTGATGGGTTGAGGTATTGAAGCTTTAGGGGGGATATATGTACTCTGTACTTTTATAACTTATTAGAATTGATTGCTGGATTATTGGTTAAGAAGATCTACGTGAATGGTTTTATGGCATACCAGTATGCTTTAACTTTCTTGTCAAGATAAATATACCTTTCAGGATTGAAGTTCTTGATTTTAAATTTGCCGCTTTATGCCCTGCTTTCTCTGTTATTTACTTTAGTAGTTTAATCTCTCTTGAAATTTCTGAATGTAAGGTTCAAATAACCCAATCAAATCGGCCTTTGATTCTGTATTTGTATCATACTAGTCACTGTGCTCTGAAATAGGCTGCTGTGGATCAAATGTCTAATATCTTAGAAGTGTCATTGATGTTCTGTTTGGAATTTCGCAGATAATCTAGAAAAACTTTCCTTGGATTCCAATGGCTTGTCGGAAAAGAAAAGTCCTCTGGTGGTATGCTTCGGGGAATTGCTGATTGACTTCGTTCCAACAGTTAGTGGAGTTTCACTAGCTGAGGCCCCTGCATTCAAAAAGGCTCCAGGTGGTGCTCCTGCTAATGTGGCTGTCTGTATAGCCCGGTTAGGAGGTTCTTCGGCTTTTGTTGGGAAGGTGAAACCCTTTTCCTTTGTTTGCATAGGCTTGGTTTATATGCACCCTCTGGATATTGCCGTGTTAAACTGTGGTTTTCCTGTTGACTATATACTGTCTCTGGGCATTGTTTTTTATGGGATTTAAACGGTGAAAATACAGTCAAGGCAACTCTTTATGCCAATAAAAATTGAGTGAGTGTTGATTGGAGTTTATATAGTAAACTTACTAGTTTGGTAATATTAATGCATCTCTGGGATATATATATATATATATATATATATATATATATATATATATAGTACTCTTTATCATTAGAAAAGCACCCATTTCCGAAAAATATAATAAATAACTACTCTAGTAAAATTAAAATTTCTGGAAGTTCGGCATCCGTGGAGATTACTTTTAAGATGCTCCTTATATGCTCTTCAGTACTGTAGCCAAACTCCTAAGCCTCATCTGTATATTTCAGTTCTTCTACTCGTTGGGATTTATTTTACTGAAGGCTTTAAAGAAACTGTTCCTGTGATAGGTAGGAGATGATGAGTTTGGACATATGTTGGCTAATGTCTTAAATGAAAACAAAGTGGATGTTTCTGCTATGCGGTTTGATCCCTCTGCTAGAACTGCTCTTGCATTTGTTACACTTCGAGCTGATGGTGAGCGGGAGTTCATGTTTTATCGCCATCCCAGCGCTGATATCTTACTTCAAGAGTCAGAACTCGATATTGGCACAATTAAAAAGGTTTAACATCTGATTTCCCTATAAACTTGTATTATTCTACCACCTGCTGGTTGCTCCTCATTCTTATATTCAGTGAATTCAATTGGCAGTCAACAATATTCCATTATGGTTCAATCAGCTTGATTGAAGAACCATGTAGATCAACACAACTTGCTGCAATGGCCATTGCGAAAAAGGCTGGTAGCTTGCTCTCTTATGATCCAAATTTGAGATTGGCCTTGTGGCCCTCAGCTGATGCTGCTCGGAAAGGTATAATGAGCATATGGGACCAAGCTGATATAATAAAGGTAGAGTTTTCTGAATTGTGAGCTTTATCTAGAGCATCTCCTCTTAGTTATGCATTTGTTTCCTATGTTACTTAAGAGATACTTGCCTCTTGAAATCTGTAGATCAGTGAGGAAGAAATTACTTTTCTGACCGGAGGAGATGATCCTTATGATGATGATGTGGTGTTGAAGAAGCTTTTCCATCCGAACTTGAGCCTTCTTCTCGTATCTGAAGGTTCTGATGGCTGTAGATACTATACAAAGGTAAGCTAAAAATGTGGGAATGCTTGGTACTGATTCTGAGTAGGCAGCTTTTAGCAGGATGCCTTTAAAAGTTGATAAGTCCAATATAAGGCTTGTAAGTGAAGGGAGGAAACTCTTCCTTGAAGTGAAGGTTTTAATAAAAGGATAACTTAGTTAAGCATTGGAGAAATTTATTTCTGATGGCTGGGCTTGAACACCCATATGTTGTTGGAAAATATGTTTGATTTGTTGTTGGATCAAATCATACAATGTAACCAAGTTTCAAACCCGATTTTCAGCAATTTAAAGGAAGAGTTTCTGGTCTACAAGTCAAATCTATTGACACAACCGGTGCTGGTGATGCCTTTGTTGGTGGACTACTGAACAAAATGGCCTCTCAGCCAGATCTTTATCGGGTAAGTTTGATTTGTTGTTTCAGCTCAACACTAATCTCATATCAAACTTGTTATCAGATAATCATGTAGATATGCCATTTAGGTTTCTGCGTTGCATATGATTTATTTACATGTAACTCCAGATGCGGCCCAAGAACTTAAGCTGCTTTCTCATATTCCTAGTGAAATTGAAGCCTGTAACTCTTACACTCATAATCATACGTAACCTAGGAAGAAGGTGAATTGCAGAGGGATTCCAAACCACCCTCGAATATTTGCCACTTTAACATAGTGTAATCATAGCTGAACATGTTATCTGTTGGCAGGATGAGAAAGGGTTGAGAGAGGCCCTCTATTTTGCAAATGCTTGTGGTGCCCTAACTGTGACCAAGAATGGTGCAATCCCTGCTCTCCCAACAATGGAGGAAATCAAACAACTGTTATCAGAAGTCACAGCTTGATGACCAGTTATCTCCAAACGACGATGGATCCTGTCTTTTGTACTTCCTGTTTTTGACTAGCAGTGCAATTTTGATTCTGTTGCTTCCACAATAATGAGCTTCTTTGTTCTGTACTGGCACGTGCCTCCTTGATGCACTTGTGAAAAAATTTGTGCAGTAGTTAGTTGATGGCTTGATCATTACAACAGTGTCCCCCATGATGGGGTATTGTAGCTCTACATTTACAAGTGAAATTAAAAAGAAAGAGAGTAAAAAGTTTGTATGTTGACAATAACAACCATTCAGCAGCCTAAGCAATGAAGTTTTGGTTTACCTATTGAGTGCCCAAATCTAGCACTTTTTCCATCAATGTTGAGCATTCTACCAGTCGGTTTTGGCAAATGATTGAAAGCAAAAATGAGTGAGAAAGCGTGATAATCAGAATTAGATTAGAGTATACTGTATAGTCACGGGCATGTGCTCCGACTAAAATCGCGGTTAAAAAACGTGAGCTTTCAACTTTGGTTCATAGTAGTAACCATCCCCCGGCGGGAGTGGGACAAAAGGCCAAAATCACGCGCTGTTTCCCCTTCCCAAATCCTCCCAATACTTACTACGACCCCCAGTTTTTAAAAACCACGGATTAAATAAATAACTCCGACCGGAATTTACCGATCGTAATTTGCCAGTTGAATTCCGTCATTCTTCCTTACACAGCAGACTTGGGGATCCAACCAATTCTGACATGGCGGCAAATGCAAGACCCGTCTTGCAATCGGAGATCGGAGCCGATGGCCTCCCTCGAGAAAATCCTGTCATTGCCTACACCGAGAAGGTATTCTCAGTTTCCCCTCTCTTTCTTTTCTTGCTTGCCCCTTACTGTGTATGCAATTGATTCTTGTAATGGAGAAGGTGAATTATCAATCTTTACTTTTGATTTTCCAGATCATCGAGGAAGAACAACTTCAGTTGCAAAAGTATGTTCCCTTCTTGACTAATTCCATTATAATGGCGTGCCAATTCAATTCGATTCTCATTGTTCTTCTGTTCGTTTATCTGCTTTCTTGAAGCTCTTCGTACCCCCTCCAAGTGTTGCGAAGTTGTTTGCTCTATAGAATGATTACCTGAAATGAACTTGAATTTGTTACACTTAAAGCCTTGAAATGATAGAAATTACTTCTGTTGTGATGGACATCTGAAAGGTTTCATGTCGGTTGTTTAATCTCTACCGGTATCCTGGCTCTCAGATATATTCAAGAAAACTATTCCAAGATTCGTGATGTTGAACGTGAATTGGCAAATCTTTCCATGGAAATGAAACTTACATCTGGGCCGAAGAAAGCAGGTTTGTGGTCTTCTAGTTCCAGTTTCCTTCGCAAAATAATTTTTTAAGCATTAAAGTCACTGACTGGCTGATTATGGCGAATTACATGAATGGGCCTCAGCTCTCGAGCACATGAGAAAGAAAATAGAAATGTCGAATGAGAGAGTTCGTGTTGCTAAACTAAAAGAGGAACAAGCAAAGAAGGTATGCTTCTTTTGATGAAAGAACTCTGATTGTAATTTTATTTTCTTCTATACGTGTAGCAGTTATTTACAATATGTAATCCTTTTGTCGTGTTTAGTGACAGTATGCAGTGAAATGTCTATATGTATCTTTATGACAACTGATGCGGTATCTATATTGCTATTGTGGCCACTTCAATAATCCAGTTAAATTCTACCACGTGGTGTGTTTCTCGCATTTTCATTATGCAAAATCTGTGAATATCATTTCTTTTTATTCAAAATGTGCTACATGATTAACTCATTTGGTAGGCTGAGGATCTGGCTTTAGTTAGAGATAGAGGTTTACGGAGATGCAAATTATTATAGTTACTTCAATAAATTTGGTTATCAGCTGTTTTTGAACTGGAACATCTAAGCTTTGGTTGACATGGTGTTGTTTCCTTTGGGATAACCAGTCTCCAAATAACAGCTTGACAACTTTCAAGTTTGCTGTTCTAGCGCCAGCAACTCATTGGATATGGTGATCTGTTGACATTGGAAACAAATAAATGACCACTTTGTTCAATGGAAATCAAGTGGTCATTTATTTGCTTTAATTATATCCACCCATATCTTTTTTGTGATTTGCATAAGTAATCATCTCAAGACTACTGAAAAATTTTGCTGCTCTTACTTGCTACTCTAAATTGATTTATTTTGAGAAAGTGCAAGTTGGTTTTCCATGTTTCTCCAGTTCTCTTTTCAACTACGGCTCTCACACCCTGAGTTTATGTGTCACATGAAAGCTTATATGGATGTGCATTGCATCTTAGCCAACAAGATGCAGGTGTGTTTCTTTTCTTCTTATCTTAATGCATTACTCCTGTATTTCAGGCATGGGAAGAAGCATCAAAGGCCGTAAAAGATGAAGAAGCGATCAAGCAGAAGCTCTGTGAAGACTTGAATAATTTGGTATCCCTCTTCTTATTCCCTGCCATTGATTTTCATTAGAGTGGCATCTCTCAGTATATATTTTTCTCAACAGGTACAAGAGAGTAGCAACACTCAATTGGCTAGACTGGAGGAACTAAAAAGACGGCTCGAGGCTCTAAATCCTAGCAGATCATCGACATTTGTCCCAAATGTCAGTTTTCTTTCTCTTCAGCTCTCTTTATTGATAGGGCAACGGACTAATTTTATGCATGGTGTGGGATGCTGCTTCTGCTGTTATGATGTTTTCTTGGAAGAGTTCTTCCATTTTGCTTTCATAGCCAAAACCTTTTTGGCTAGACTTGTTTGAGAAACAGAGTCGACATTTTAAGAAATTATGAATCACCTCAAGGTACTTATGCCTGAAAGTAAGTTAGTGCCGCAATACAGCTTCCCACTTCCATAAGTATATGGGGTTCCTAGACTAACAATATTAGTGAAGCACCGGTTGAAGGTACTAGTCAAAACCTAACACTGGCAGAGTTCACTCCTAAAGGACTGTTTGACAAATCCGTACCATCAGCGTTCTTTCCTGTTTCTGTAATTTGTATTGATTGAGAATATTTAATTTGGTGGTCTTGTTTTAAGATGATTTTGTATAATGATTAAGTGTGATTGGACTAGGATTTCTGCTTTCCGTTTATTTCTAACTAATGAACAAGTCCTCTAACCTCTCCCATAACATCGTTTAGGATACGAGTCCAGGGGTCGCTTTGCAGAATAATTCAATTCAAGACAGTGCCTCAGGTTTTGTTAGCGTGGAATTAACTAGTGGACCTACTGGAAAAGTAGCCAATCAAGGGAATGCTGGAAATACTTCAACCATGAATGGAAACCCAGTGCCTCAAGAAAATGAAGCAAAGGGAAAGAAGAAAGGTATTGTTCAAGGGAGGGGAAGAGGAATTGGTGCAGTACCTAAAGGCAGAGGTTCTGCAACACCTGGGTGGACTGGGGCTGGTTTTGAGTCTTGATGTAAATGGTGGAAGTTGAGACCAATATTTCTGTCTTCTCTGGCTGAAGTAAAAGAGAAAATTTACAAACTTCAACTAGGTACAGCATTGGTACAGGATTTTCTTATAGTTCTAATGGCTGTTATTCCATTTTGGTAGCAATCTGACTTGCAAGCTGTTCTTTGGTGGCTTTTAACTAAACTTCAAAACTTTTGAACTTCCAAACCAATTGTTGGCCCTTCGAAAAAATGTATATGTCTAACATCAAAGGAACAGGTGTGGAGAAGCTTGGGAATTCTCAAGGTTCATGGATGTATTACTTGCTAGATTTCTAGTTACACACAGAAAATTGACTATGATCCTCAGTGAACTCTTGCTTTATTACATTGATGATGAATTTTGTTTCCAACAAGAATTGACGTGTGTTTGGGGAGTAGCAATAGTTGTAGTGTTTCTCTTTACTAAGTACCCTGGTGATATATTCCCTTACATTTACAGAATCATTGACAGTAAAAGTGGAAGAAAGTAATTCCCCTGCCCTGAAGATGATTACTCAATATCAAATGCTTTTGGAGCTTCAAACCTTACTATGTGTTTCCTAGTTGTATGCGTTTTACTTTTCTGGGATTAATCGCTCTGTCAAAAACGTAGCCAACTCTTTCTCTCATCGGTTTGAAGGCTGTGAATTTGATTTACTGAGCACTGTTTAGTTAGGAGGAGAACACTTTACGAAGCATCTGACAGCTTGTAACTATAATGCATCATGGTTAAGTTGATTATCAAACTGCAGGTGGTAGACGAAGGTAATTATGATTTCTGGTACGGGAAAAAACTATGCAATAAATGTGATATTCAGGCCTAATAATATTATGGGTGAAATATGGTCGGATGGGCATGATTGAAGGATTCCTTGCATCACTAATTAGCTGCAGTTTTGTGTTTCTGCAACCAGACTTGCAGTAGTTGAACACACACCTTCAGACTGACAAGGGTAGTGTACAGTGTGTATATCTTTCTTAAAATTTCAAAGCCAAAATCTCGAGGGAGGGAGGGATTTCTCTAGTTTTCGGACATTGTTCTGGGCGCATTTCTGAAGAACTAATATATGGATTTTGAGTGCAGTACGATCAACAGGGATATCAGTGTGTTTCCGGAAATTGAAAGAGCCTTGAGAATTGAAATTGCTGTGCCATTGTATGAAAGCTGATGATAATTGTGTTTGGCTAAATGGAAGCTTCCCGTTAGAATACAAAAAAGCATTGCAGTTTGAAGTTTGAACCTGAAACTTGACAAAGCTCTAAAAGAAGGAAAGGTTTTCAGGTACTCAATTCTCCATCATTAATGTTCTGAAAAAACATAGTACAGTAGCGGAAGAGAGCATCAATGTCTCTTGGGCGACAAAGTTGAACGGAGTACAACTCCCCCCATAAACTCACTACAAAACAAGAGCATATTCCGGCATAATCGCAAAAAAAAGGAGATCTGTATTATTTATTATTCATTACTACTGACTAGTACGAACAAGTTTTTAGCTTCTATTCCAATTTTCAACTTCTCTATACATATAGTTGGGCAATCTTACCCAAACTGTCAAAACAAAGGAAAAAAAAAAACATCATTTTATGTTACCATCATCATTTATGCTCATGTGCTTTTTGAATTCCTCGCTGCTATACATGCAAGATTCCATTTTCATTAGCAAATATGCCCCTCGGGGGATTACAAAAATACAACTGCTTTGTGTCACGGCACAAACGAACGTGCTTGAATCTAATCCCCTAGGCGTTACAAAGAGGTTTGAACTTTGAACAATAATCTAGGGTTTCAGACTCGATGGATGGATGGATACAATTGTGACTTAAACTAAGGTTCTAGCTAACAAATGGCATTTCTATGAATTTACAATGAGCATTTTGGCTCTACTATTTTTATCTTTTAACCAGGGAGGCTCCTTTAATTAAACCCCTGGTGAGGTGACCCCATCATCATCATCATCAGTTCCTCCCCATTCCCAAAATTAGCTTTGTCATCTTTGGGAATGGAGGCCTGTCAACTCATGCATATTCTTCCCCTTGGTTCTTATCTCTCTCTGTTTTGCATTTGTTTCTGCCAACTCCATGTTCACCTGATACATTTTCCAATCATGGCCATTTCACGTGGATATATTATTCATCATAATTAAATACGCTTGTTGTGGTTGAATCATCATCCGCTTCTGCGTGGTTATTAGCCAGAAGAAATCAAACATTTTTTAAAGATAAAACACGGAAAAATTGGCGGATCTATCCAAAGCTTTACATGCGTCGTCAATTCTATTCTATTCTTTTTTGGTTAGCCAATATTACCCTAAACTATCCAACCGTTAACCGATTTTGTCCAATTTGCTATTTTCTGTCTAAATTAACGAAGTTATATTTGTTGTAATTATAAAAATACCTAATAGTTTTAAAAATTTATAAAAAGAATCCCAAAAATTTATAAAAATTACAAAGTAGTCTCTTTTCAGTTTTTATTTAAAATTTTCTTTTCTTTAATTTCTTTTTACTATTTTTCATAACCATAAAAATATACTATATGATCTTTTAAATAAATAATTTATTTTTAAACATTACAGTACAAATTTATAGATATACATTTTGTAACTCATGATTGATTCCCATAAACATATTAATTTTTTTTAATAATATGGCTAGACAATAATGATATTATTCTTTTGATCCGTCTTTTCCAATTTAAAGAATAAGATTTTTTTGACTAAAACTAATATATATTAGTACAAAAAAATAAAAACATTTAGCATAGATTAAAAAGATATATATTAGTACATTTTAATTTATTGCAAATTAATTAAACAGACTATAGATTGTATTATTTAATTAAAAAATTTATTAAATTAAAATATAGTGTACTGTCTAGTGTTTAGGGTGTTAAGTTTCATGAGAGTAGATATAAAATTAATTGTCACCAAAATTTTTCTAACCGGGAGAGTGATTTTACCCACGTTTAAGCGGGGTCCACTAAAGATAAGAGGGTTGCATAGGATGGTTAGGTGATTTAAGATATGAGATGATTAAAACTGTGTTCGAGGTTCGATTCTCACAGGAAAAATCTAATTTTTTTTTAATGTAAAAAAAAGTGAAGTCCAGTACTGGAGTAAATTTTTTTTTTTTTTTTCTTTTAAAAATAGACTTCCTGCTAAAGTTAGATATATTAATTTTCAAAACATTATCACAAAATGTTAAACCCTCGCAGTAATAAATATACATATTTTTTATAAAATATTTTGTACCATTTTTGTAAATATCACGACACTATATTCTTGTGTTGGGCTAACGTAGAAACGAAATAGGTGTTTTTTTTTTTTAAGATTACTTTCTGTCTGTACTTGGCCTTTTAAAAAAAATTATATTTTAATTTAGATTTCTTTTTAAATTTTAAAATACAACCTAAATTCAGTTGAATTAAATTGTAATACATTAAAGTATACCAATAGATTCTTTTTTAATCTATGCGAATTGTTTAATTTTTTTGTGAAAAATTAGTATTAGTTAAATAATCTTATTCTTTAGTTTGAAAAAAAATGGATTTAAAAATAATATCATTATTGTAAAACTATATTATTAAAAAATTAATTTGCTTATGTAAATCAAACATGACATACAAATATGTAATTAAAAATTTGTACATTAAAGTTTAAAAATAAATATATTTTTTTAAAAGATCATATAGTATATTTTATAGTTATGAAAAATAGTAAAAAGAAATAAAAAACAGAAAATTTTAAATAAAAACTGAAAATAGACTATTTTATAATTTTTGTAAATTTTTGGGTTCATTTTTATAAATTTTTAAAACTATTAGGGTATTTTTATAATTAAAACAAATAGAATTCCGTTAATTTAGACGGAAAATAGTAAATTAGACAAAATCGGCTAACGGTTGGATAGTTTAGGGTAATATTGGCTAATCGAAAAAAATATAACAGAATTGATGAAGCATGTAAAACTTTAAATAGATCCGCCAACTTTTCCGATAAAACACTAGTCATCAAGGTTTTGTAGTGTGACAACCGGCTGATCAGCCTAGCAGTTACTAAACAAAAACCAATAGTATTATCTTATTACAAGAGATACACATTATTAATTCATTCGTCAAAACTAGAAATTTACAAAAAAAAATAAATAAAAATCAAGAGCTAAAAGATTTTGGGTCCACATGTAGCAAAAAGGATCGAGATACCAGTTATATAAGCTCAAGACTAACTGTCGGCTTTCTAGTGTATTATACCCCTAGATTCCATAGAGAATTGTATCGCGCACCTTTTGAATTACATTACTTGATTACTAGTACTTGATTTACTTCTATTAATCAATGTCTGCATAGAAGTTAAGCTCGGACTCCCACAACCAGCTACTAAAAGTTATGAACTGGTAGTATATTCAGTCCAAAAATAATTGTCTGATTTTCAAACACACTCAAATACATGAGACAACACTAAAAGCGTAAAAGGAGATTCCAAACGTAATTTGGGAGCTTCTTAACGGCAAACTAGTCGTTGTTCCTTTCTTCCACAGTCAAACAACAATTCCGATGCAAGATTTATGAAACTGTCATGGACCATGCAATGAATGGTCAGTCCCTCGTCCATCCCCAAAATATGATTGTAATGGGAAAAGGATTGATAAACTCATACTCCATCCGTCTCATAATTATTATCCAGTTTGAGTTTTCATTTTTACTTTAAATTGTACCAAAAGTGAAATCTCAAATTGAACAATAATTTTGGGACAGAGAGGGTATTTTTTTAACTTCCTTCTTTTTGTGACCATATTTTGTGAATCTTACAAAATACTACAAACATTGATCGTGTTAAAATTTTCAATCAACATTTTGATAACTTGGCTTTCTTCATTAAAAACGACCACTATTACTTTTTTTTTTCCTTCTAAAAATAGCTAATACCTTCAAAATTTTTATATCTATTCTACAATAGATTAGTTGCTCTGCATTTTAGGTCGAAATATCGGAACTTTGACCCCTTGACCAGGGATAAAGGCAGTGTCCGGTCAAACAGTCCACAGTTGCCCCTTCATATATAGTGTCCACGTGGAGATGCAACGAGCGACCAAGCTACTCGTAAATATGTATTTAGAAGAAACTAGATGTTAAACTCACACGATATACGGAATTTATTTATATACATTTATAAAAAATATTTAAATTTTCAATTCGATAAATGCTAATAAAATTATTAATTTGTAATAAGAAATCTCATCATAAATATTAAAAAAAGAGAATCGCGTTTATGACTGATAACTTATAGTAAAATAAGATGATAACTCGTGAAAAGACGAAAACACCCGACTAAATTCGACACAATTTTAGTTAAATTCAAATTGGGTTAAGTTTAATTCTTTGTTGTTTTTTCTTTAAAATATGAGGACGGCTTGAAAGTTTTTGTGATGACTGCTGAATGTTAGTGAGGTTACTGAAATGATGAAATATGCTATCATTTATAGGGTTTTTTAAAGATTTTTTTCCCGAATTATTTGGACTCTTGGAAAGTCATGTAGAAATTTGGATTGATTTTAGTTTAAAATAATTAAATAATTTTTTACTATTATTTAAGAATGCAACCTTTTTGAATTAATTAGGTTTGAATAAATCATGAATGTAGCCATGATTTGGCCTTTAGTTCATGTATTATAGAAAAATGAGAGCATTTAATACTAAAATTAATTAATTTACATAATTATGGTAATTGGGGTGGTTTGATATTATTGGCATACTTCAAGGATTATTAGCATAAATTCAGAAACTATTTTTTTCTAAAATTTTAAGGAATTGACATGTAGGATTTTTGCTTACTTGGCATTCTAGAAATATGTTTTTGTTTTCTCTCTTAGTATAATACTATAGATAGCTATATAGGAAGATCAAATATATTGAATCAGCATTATGTAAAGGACTAATTAAACTGACTAATAATATTCATCTCTATTTAAACAAACTTTACCATGCATCTCTTACCATGGAATGTTAATTTCTGTCAGGCATTAATCGATCTCCTTCTTTGTACTAAAAGAAAAACAAAAATCTACAATGCATCTCTCTTTAGCGATTGTTTGCTGCCATGATGATAATAACTGTCCTTCAAAATCTATACCTCCTCCATCCAAAACGTTGTCAAGTTTGATTTTTATTTTTATTTTTTGATTTTTAGTAAAGATCGTACTCAAAGAGAAATATCTACACTGCAAAGTCATTTTGAGACAACGACGGTATTAAGCAACAACAATGTATATGCATAACCACGACTAAACATTATTGTTGTGTTTCAAACACGACTTAATATAGTAGACGGTTGATTATATATGGTTACGTTACTGCAGTGAACGAGTATGTATGTACATGCACTTTGGGATGAATGACATAGTGGTCGTTGTCTAAATTTTTAAAATATATTTTTCAAAATTACTGTCGTAATTGCTTTGGACCGAGCCCAGTATTATTTTTCCTTTTAGCGAGAAATCAAATTAGATGATCAAATTATCTAATTTGAATTTAATTAATCGGAACAATAATTTCAGACATACCCAAAAAAAAAACATTTTTCAAAATGAAAAGCTAAATGGAAAGCCCCCTTCAAATTTGAGGGATGATCCATATCTAATGTGACCACATTATATACACAAAAACAAATTTACATATAACAGGGCAGCGCAGCTGTGGATGGGCAGTTTAATTAGCGGTAAGGACTGAACCTATGGACCTCTGAATTGCAAAATGGTACTCTTTTCTGGGACCTCAAACCCCAAATAATAGTAGTAGCCCCAGTAGGTTCCTTCAGTCCTCCATACTATTTTCTTCTTTTTTTTTTTTTTGGGATCAAATAGTCCTCCTTGCTCATCACGTGAACGGACCGTTTCCATGTGACCTTGGTCAGACCTTGTTGATTCTGTGTCCCTCCCCAATAACGTACGGACCGACGCGCCTCCTTCTCCTTTTCAATTTTATTCTATGCTTTTTCTTGCATCCTTCCAGTTTTCCACCACGTAATCCATCAAAATACTTGTTGGGTCGCCATTTTTGTTGTATCATGCACTAGTGACTTCATTATATCACGTTGGATTTCCTCCACTAATTTCTCTCTTTCTTCCTCATCACAATTTGCATGCACCCACGACAATGATGATGATGATGCTGCGTTGCCTAAGTCCGTATCAATCAACGCATCTATATCTTCCAACACTTTACAATCAGCCCTTGGAAACTTCTTGATCCTCGAGCACAATACCTCGATCAATTCAGAGCCGTACATTTGATCACGATTCCGGCAACGGGAACCGGCCACGAGATAAGGCTTGAGAACATCGGCCAGCAGTTCGTCGACGAGTTGGAAAACAAGCTTCCTGTTGCACCTCAAGTTCAACTCGGCCGGAGACTTATTAACGTTTGTTACAGCATGATGAGTTGGGTGAAAAAGTTCAATGTAGTGAAAAATGGAAGGGTCAAGCGGGTGAGACGGGGAATACCATTTGGCCAGGGACACTGGGGTAGATTTGTCTACTCCTGCACGTTTAAGGATTCTCTGGATGTAGTGCCGATATTCTAATTCCACAACTTCTCCATCACCGCAGGAGGAGGAGGAGGAGGAGGAGGATGCAACAACAACGTTTGTTGAGGTTGTGGTACGGTAATTCCTGTCTGGGTTGTATTCTTGAAAGTTGGGCGAATCCGTCACAACTTTCTTCTGATGCTTGTTGTACCCTTGGCTCGAACCACTATATATTTGTGGGCTGCTTTTCCACTTTAATTCACCATCTGATGATGACGCTTGTGCCTTATGTTTTTTTTACCCCACCACAATCATATGCAGACAAAACAAACCAGTCAAATTTTGTAATTTAAGATTACCCAGTCAATTCCATGTATAGTGTAGAACTAATTTTGTCTATAATTTTCAGCAATGTATTTATTACTAACAAAAAAAAAAAAAAACAAACAAACAAACAAAAGGAACCCAGAAATAATATTTGACATACCTGCTTCTTAACTGGTAAAAGATTTGGGACACTGATATTGAAGATGTCATTTGAGATGGGAGTTTTTTTGCACTTCTTATCCGTCCCGTTATTTCCTCTCTGTGCTGTGGTGGGACGGATAAATGGCTCTTCTTTCTTCTTCATGATGAGATCCACAGCTTGTGGCTTACTCCTTCTACTACTAATACCCGACCCGCATTTCTCCTCCTTATCATCTTTCTTGGGTTTCTTAACCACCCCCGCCGGGTTTTGCTGCTCTTGATCACGTAACTTCAAAGGTTGAGGCTTTGATGTCAAATGAACTTTTCCGGACGGCGGCGGCTGGGGCTGGTTTTCTGGTGACGGAGACCACGTCGAGACTAGTCTTGGGGACTCAGAACTTGGGTGGTAATTTTTAGTACCTAAAGGCTCGTTGATCATGATGTCCAGTAGCCTTGGGGAGCAAGACGGCGTTGATTGCTTACTCGGGGCAGCTGATTCATGGCCACCAACTTTTTTGGTGACATGATTAACCTTGTTGGACGGTTTCTTGGGTTTGAGGAGAACAACATGGTCATCAACATCAGTTTTAGTAGTAACTTTTTGGTCTCCACTTTTGAGGGTGTTGGTGATGTCGTTTAGACCAACTTTTCGTCTGACCACATTTTCCTTGATTTGCTTCACAATCTCCTTGGCATAATCGCTGCGGCTTTTTGGGAGCAAATCCTCATCGGCTCGCTTGTAGTTCAAAAGCTCTCTCCGTTTCCGGGCCGAGATTTCAAAGTCATTAATGTTCTCTTTGTTGTTGCTGATTTGAAGTGATAGCCTGTGAGCTTGATACTCCACATCTGACCTTCTGCTGCTGCTGGCTGACGATATTCTGGGCGTCTCTGGGAGTGAAATTGTCCCACCTGCCACGACGTCGTTGTCATAGAAACTTCTTCTGGACCGGTGGTGGTTTTGACTGAGATTGGGTAGCCCAGACCCAGATGGATGCTTGTGATGATGATCCCTTCTGAAACGATCAAGTGGTCCGTGACCGTAGGCAGGGGGAGTTGTTGTTGTACTGGTTCGGTGGAGCTGAGGAGGAGGAGGAGGAAGCTGGTCAAGGCCCATTAGCCTGGCCACCAGAGTTGGAGTTTTGTCACCGCCTGGGCTGCTGCATGAATTCAACAGCTGGTCTGGTTTTGAGATTGAGGTTCTTGGCGATTTGTTGTCACGGGTCGTCTTGATTTGAATGTTCACCTTCTGTTCAGATAATTAGATTAGATTTTATTTCCACCCAAAATACATCACATGTACCTAGCATCATTAGTAATATGAATGAAAATACTAAAAAAGGTCCAACACCCCACCCCATCATAATTGTGCTATTATTACACACTTTTCACGAAAAGATAACACACTTCTCCCTTATGTTTTCGAATTTTTTAATTAGCTCTCCTACCTAGTAGTCTTCACTATCCGTTACACTACATAGCTCTGGTTAAAGACACATTGGAAAATGGTGATTTGAAGCAAAGAGCAAGACAGAGTCGACGACAAGCATTTAATGGTGTACTAAAGTCTTGGAACTGAGTTTAACGGAAGAACAAGTAGTAGTACTATTTTAATTCTACTTGTAACTTACAGGGATATTCAAATTTTCTGGTTCTTTTCTGCGGGTCGACGAAGATGAAGAGTAATCAGATGATTCCGTCGACACAGCAGGCTCATCCAACTCCAAGCTGTTTCTCGGTGCTTCCAGTCCTGCAACCACCACTTTAATCAATTAATTAACTCCGCTAATTCATTAAGTCAGGACCAACCCGGAAAAACAACAATGAAAAAGGAGCTGCAGGAAACAAAAAACACAAAGAATAATAATAATACTAATAAGTAGTAGTACCTGTTCTGGCTATACTGCAAGGTTCGTCATGCAAGAAAGAAGCGGTGGGCCTGAACGAAGGTTGATGATGCAAAGCCATTTGAAACTGATGCAAGTCAAAAAGTTGTAGGACTGCACACATGCATCCGGTTGGTGCGGCTACCTCAGCCGCCGCGGCTGTGGCTCCTCCTCCACCAGATTTCCCGGGCTTCTTAGTGGATTTACCACCGTTACTACTACTACTACTACTACTACTACTACTACTACCCCAGAAGAACAACCACTCCCTACCCATGGATGAATAATGAATGAATCAATTTTTTCCCACTCTTTTCCGTTGCAAATGTGGAGAAAAAGGAAGCAGTTGGAGGGAGGCGAGAGCAAGAGGTGGAGGGAATCAGAAGATAGAAATCAGGATGAAAATGATGGCACTGTTAGTGAAGACCCATTCAAAAACGAGTTTGAAAAAAGGCAACGGGAAAAAAAAAGAGCAGAAGTGGGGGGAATCAGATTATTAAAAATTGAAAAAGCGGCAGATGCGGATCCATGACGCATTGCTCACCCAATATCATACTACAAATTTGATGAACAACTATAAAAAAAACATATAGCAGATAGAAGTATAATTCAAAAGCTCTGGGGGGATACGCTCTTATTTTAAAATTTTCTTTTTGGTCTGCAAAAAAAAAAAAAAAAAACACTCTGAAGGTGCTGTCTAACGCACTAAAACAGAAGTAGACTAGCAGTAGTACTATTACTATATAAGTATAAAATCCTCTTGCGCTCACTTCCAAGCGTTACCTGACCAAACCCGACCCACTCACCTTTTTTTTTTTTCTTTTCTTTTTAACTGTGTCTTCATCTGTGCATTGGAATCTGGAAGAAGTAGGAGTAGTAGTAGTAGTAGAAGAAGAAGAAGCGGGCAGAGGGGATGGACGCCCGGCCCACTATTCCCCTGGGGCTTTAAATGCAACTTAACAATTTTTTTGACAACGAACCCAAGGTCGTTTATTGGGGATCTGCATTTTTTTTTTTTTTTACCCCACACTGTGTCTGTGACGTAATGAGTGAATTGTTCATCTGGTTTCCCTCCTTTATCTCCTCTTTTAAACTTAACCAAACCATGGTTACATTCCTAACCCAGTCAACTTGCTTGTTTGTGGTCCACACACCCCACCTCACATCCCCCAGCCAAAATAAAATAAAACAATGTGTTACATTCTATTTACATTTAGAAAATTGTTTAACATATACTCCCCCTATTTTAACTATAAGGTACAAATTAAACTAAAATTTAGTGTTAGTTTTAATCAGCACGGAAAGAAGTATGTAACGATGACATATATTTACTGTTTTGAAAATCTAAAAGAAAAAAGTCCATAAAATTATTACGTAGTATTACATATCTTAAAATGTCAAAGTAGGCGAGTAAAATTCACCACAGAATAAGGCAATTGATCCGTTCTGCTCTATCCAGTCATATTACAATTAGATGAACTATTCTAACGAGGTGTGACGGCGGTTGGATTATATACATACATTATCAAATTGTGTATGTTTTTATATTCCGCGCAACCAAAATTAAAATCAAAATGAAATGTTACATATTATCGACATCGACACTCTACATAGTATTGCCTCCATAACACCAAAAAAGAAAAAAAAAATAATAATACTCACTCCATTTCAATTTGTAGGTCGTTTTAGGTTTGGAGAGATTTTTCAAAATATAGGTTATTTTACAAATTCTAGACAAATTAATGACTACTTTTCTAACTTTACCCTCAATAAATGATACTAATCTATTTTTATTTAGTTTTGTTTATAATTCCAATGTAATTAATGAGGGGTAAAATATATATTTAACACATAAATAAATTGTTGGATGATTGTCTCTTTAGTTTACGTGCCAAGTCTAAAAAGATTTATATTTTGAAATGGAGGGAGTAATCCTATACGGAATTCTATACATAAATAAATGAAGGCGTGGTAGCATGTTTTCCAGTTTGTGGTTATAATTTTAGTCGGATCAAATTTGAAAACCTCCAATTGGCATTAATTAAACCCGTCCTATTGCACTCAGAAAGTCCCAGGCAGTGTCGATGTCGCGTGCGTAAGTAATAACCAAACAGTACTGAGCAATATTGGTGAAATAGCTGTACATGATTAATACTTTCATCAAAAACCAAAAAAAAAAAAGAAAGAAAAAGAAAGTTGTACATGAAGTGTTAGCCTACATTTTAATGCTGGTCCAGTTTCGGTCTCCGTTTCTTCAAATATTAGTTTAATAAGTTCAGTATAATACTGTACATGGAACACGTCTGGATATGGCCGGAATTTGCATATGCAAGGTAACTTCAAAATTCGAAATTGACCACCTATTAATCCATTAATTCTTCTGATCAAAAGTTTAATTTATCTATTACCGCAGAAAACCTATAACAGTACAATTATATTTTGACTGCGGTTCAGTGATTATGTCAATGAAAAAACATAGGTATAAAGATTCTTTGGGTTATTCTTTGGTGATGCTATGCATGCATGCATGCATGCAAGGGCTATGGTTAGGACAACTTTTTGTATGCGACGCAGAAAATATACTCTAATTTAGGGGACCGCTGCAACGCTCTTCAGCTGCTGCCAATCACTTTTTCCATGTAAGTTTTTTTTTTTTTTTTTCACCCTTTTTAACCAGCCCCCTAATTAATAGTTTACTACAGTTAGTTCGTAGTTTTGAAAACGGCCGATGAAAGTGACTTTGCCCAATTGTAAAAAATTTCTTTTCATGGATCGATAGAGTAGGTACTAATTCATATTTCAGGTGGCAGTACGCACTACTCACGGTCTATGGAAATGGATAGCTAGCTAGGTAGCTGTTTGTGCTACAAAAAGACACCCGTCTTTTCCTTCCCGATACCACGAAACGTCTTTTTTTTTGCATATGTTACGTAGCTAGACACATGTACGTTGCACTAGTATATAAAATATACTAATTACTTCTTTCTTTTCTTTTTTTTTTCTTTTTTTTTTCTCTTTAGTGGGAAAATTTGGTAACGGATGAAATTAAATTGAAAACCGATCCAAGGTGGGAGCATGCAATTTCAAATCACTGAAATCGAAAATGTAACAAACCACCAAAAACTGCTCCTTAGAAAACGTACACCAGGACGTTAATGTGTATATATATATATATATGCTCAAGCAAGCTAGGGTAGCTGGTAACCTATGGAGTGAGTGCTCAACAATTTCTGCGAAAACAAAGACATCAATCAACTAATCTACAGTTCCTCACAAATGGACGGATTAGTTAGTGGATTAGGAAATTCATGAAATTGAAAAGATCTTGAATATACACTTAATTTCAGAAAAGAAAAAACTTGAATAGATAGAAGAACACACTCTAGAGTCTAGATAAGCAAAGTCGACAAGTTTAATTTATTTGCGCATGAGTTGGAATATTTGGAAACAAAAATGTTTCTGTATTTCAAGTCGAGACACTGCTTAGACGTGACTTTATTTTAATCATGCGTGTAAGAAATCAATAGAAAGCGTCTATATCCATCCTATTCATTAAGTTCTTGCTGGCTGATTCTATTTTATTAGTATAGTGCTATGAGCGACTATTTTTCAGATTTTTGAGTTTGAAAAACTAAACTTAGTATACACGAACTCAAGTTTTTTGGAGGTATGTGGAACTTTGATTGAAAGGAACTGTTGCTAACTTGGTATGGCCAAGAGAATCAACAGCGGTTGTAGTGGAGGGAAGGGAACGAATTCAAATAAAAAAGAATTTACTACTCATTGAGTCTCATCCGCGGAGCATTAAAAAAGAAAAAATGATGCATATTGCAGAGAAAGCTTTGGTCAGTTGGTGAAACTTAAAAGTTAGGTTCATCGTCAGTCAGACTTGTTGGACAAATCCTCGTGAATTCAAAAAATCTGCCCCCAAAAATTCCTACTAGTAGTATAAACTACAGTACATGTGTATAACTACTGTGTACATGATGATGCAGGGCAGGGCTACACCACAATAAGAAATATATATATATACCCCTACAGTCTCAAATTATATTAAAAATAAAAATTTAAATTGAATAATTATTTTTGAAACAACCTGACTACAGATGATGGTGTAAGAACACGAAAGAAGATGTTAGTACAAGAATAGAACACCAAGGCGCTATGACAAGGACCATTGATACTACGTTTTCCAATTATTCGAGCAAGAACCACAACCCTCCAAATTACACGGTGCTCTATGCCCCCAATATCTCTCTTTATTCTCTCTCTCATAAGTCATACGGTAATAAACAGGAAAATAACTATGTTCGGATTCATCATCATCCGGGAAGATCGGGAGATGTATCTCAATAATGTCAAGTACAACAACAATTTACCCCCCTTTTCAAAATTAACCCTGTTTGATTGGATTAGTGGGGATTCTGAAACAGACTCAATCAAATCAGAAAACCGGAAATTGATCACGCGATGCTGGTGAAAAATAAAGGAACACATGTTTCAGAATGAAGCAGAAAAGGCAGCTGCCCTGCTGTGAGAATATGATGGTTCCGATTGTTTGGGCCGTGCATTTGATGAATGTGGGTCCATATGAACTGGACCTTTTTTTAAGACCCAAGTTACTTCAGAAATTTCAAAAGTTGTCTACCGTTAAAGAAAATTGGAGTATACAGCTTTTAGCAAACAGATTTTTTTTTTTTTAAAATAAAAAAATTTTTACAATTTTTTTCGGTGCATTATGACATTACTCGGTGTTATGGACTTATAGCTTTAGAAGACTCTATAATAACAATTAAACAAAAATATCCACGTGCTTAGAATTCTGTTTTAGTTTTGGGCCAAAGGCCCAATAATATCTGAATCAAAATCTTGAGCCCTCCAGCTTTAAGAGCCTTTATTTTCCGGGGAATCATCTCTCTCTTATATACTGTATTTTTTTATGCAGCTGTCAGAAACACACACAAACAAAAAAAATCTAGGCGGGGGGAGGGAATTTTGCTGATTGTCCAAGCTCCAACACAAAAAACAAATCAAATTTATAGTATAATACGTACTAAATAAACAATGCTCAGCATCATCAAACTACTTTTGGAAACGGAAGCAAATTTCCAATTAATTTATTGGCCTAAATTGGCTGATATATTTCAATACTACAACAGTACAGTAGTACTATATGATGTTTCTATGCTATACATTCTGCTTTGCTATTTTGACATGTAAAGCTCAAATTAACTAAAGGACATGGATACAGTGGTGTAAGAAATTTGATTCTACAATGAAGTACGTTCACCAATTATTATTGATGACAACAAAAATACAATAGATATATATATAAGGGTTGGGCTTTATACTAATTGTTGTAACATTTCTCTCTCACGGAATTGATGAAGATGAGGATGATGATATGATCAATGCCGGATGTAGCGATGATTAATCCGCGGCGCTGAAGGAGCATCGCATCTCCGGAAGCCCGATAAATAGTTCAGTTTCCACCTCTGAGCTTGGAGTTGTAGTATCACTCCGGCTGCACCTTTCATTTTCTTTCCTCTGCGATATTTGGGCAGACTGCATACCCAACATGTTACGTGCTTTTTATGTAAATCTTGATTGATTTACCAACTTAGAACTACTAGTATATATATACTTTTTCACCAAGTTTGTCGATTTATTCAGACGACTGGAAAGAGGGGAAAACAAAATAAACAAAGGGAGGATACATATATATATATGTGTTTACCTTTCCAGCTAACCTAGCATTTTCTTCCAACAGAAGCATCTCCTGAAATGATTTACATAACAGAAATGGAGTCAAAATTAAGTGATTCATCCGTATAGCTCATGCACTAATGAAAACAACGTTGAAAAGCAGCAGCAAATTGTGCGATCGAGTTTCCATCTCCATCACGATCTTGTACCTTTGCTTTTAACCGTTCTATTTCTTGCTTATATAGCTCCGCCTGGAAGAGTACAAGCCAACAAACATTAGTTTCAATCGGAATCAAGTCAAAGCTTTGCCCTTTAAGCTAAGAGCTTAGAAACATTATTTCTATGGAACCATAATTTTTTCTAGTACTATTTGGTTACCTTCTTTGTTCTGATGCTTTTAAGGCTTCTCTCCAGCTGATTATCAAGCTGTTGAAGTTCCTCTAACGAACATGATCCAATATTTTGTCCCAATAATTTTCTAAAGATTACAACACATAGAAAAGAAACTGAGCTTTATCTTAAGCAGTAATGACGAACCAAGATTCTCGAAATAGTCTGAGAGTTAAGCAGAAACTGGGGTGCAGTAGTGGCAGTATCAAACAAAAAATAACCTTTGAGAAAGTTCCAGCAACTCTATCTTCTTTGCCATGTTTATAGCTTCAAGCCGCATCTTCTGGTACCGTAGCAAAAATAGCAAATGGAGGGTGTAAAATTTACAACCGCATCAAAGTCTAGAGCGAGAATCATCTGAAAAGATCTTTGTAATTTCTGCTATATTCATGGAGGGCTCTTGGAGCACTTAAACGCATTTATATGGTGAAAAACTAGGTGGATGAATCCCTAATATTCGTCTAAATTCACTGAAATACAAGAAGTACTTCAGCTCATTTATGAACATAAAAGGTCTTATTTATCTTCGAAGCTAGTGCAATTAATTAACCGCTGCAGCGTGGTATTTCTTAAAATCCCGTCTAATGGAGTCCTTAACAACACTTCATCGGGTATTGATCAAACATTTGAAGGGATGAAGATAGTCAATTTCTAGGGTTCAGTATTTCTGGAGGTGATAATAAAGCTAGCTTCAGCATGTAAAGGAAAATCAAGGGAACATATATATGGGGTGAAAAACATGCACATTAATTGGCGTATCTAACCTGAAGTTGTCTCTCAACATCGGGATTGTCTCTCTCCTCTTCTTTGACACATTCACGATATTTCTCAATTATATTCTGTATGCTGCATTAGAATACATGTCAAACACCAACTAAGTATGAGATGGACCATATAAACCCTACTATCCAACACAGTGCATATAAAACTAAACAGTTTATCTTGTAGTGTATAACTAAAGCTGTTGACTATACTTGTGGCATTAATTAGTTACTTTTGCAATGGTTGACGTGCAATCTATTAGTATTTCTTTAAATCGATTTACTAAATGTTGATTTTATATGCTCTTGTCATAATATGATGCTTATTCTTAATTTCAAGTCAAACAAATGAATTTCTTGATTCTATCATTGAAAATACTAGATTTGGGATTTTACTTTCAAAGCTAAGTTTGGTTTTGGAGATAAACGATGAAGGTAATCCTTTTCTATTTCCTTTCAAATTTATATCTTGAATTTGCAATTTCCTCTCCTACCACGCCCTCCACCACTCCTTCAAGGTCATTTATATAGAGGAATCCTTCCCTCTCAAAATCAGAAAGTAAGATATAATATTTGTTTTTTTAAGTTAAACATATCTGCTTGTCGTATATAATTATCTCCTCCAGATATATAACATATATTTCTTCAGTGAACTTGACCTTTTCTTTTATATGCCCCCAAAAAATAGGGTAGATAATATAAGTCCAGCTTAACTTTTACTCTTCAGAAAAAAAAAAAAAGAAAAGAAAAAGCTTGATATAAGTCATTTCCAACTAGATATGATCAATTTATCTACATATATAGATATAAACTAGAGCTATGGCACGATCTTAATATATTCTCAGTGAAAACTCCTGATACTCTCTAATAATTTCATAAAGTATACCAATATGAGAAAACTTACACCAAATGACCATAGGTTTAAAGACGTATGAATCAAGCTCATTACCCTATATTTCATGATAGTTTAAGTTTGTTTTCCGAAAACGAAGGGAGAAAAGGATCAGTGAGTCATATGCACATCCTCCACTATAAATAAGATTTGATATATTAAAATGTTACACCAAGAAGAAAGATTTTGACGTGAACATTGCAACTGATTATTGGGATTTTCCAATGCATAAACATTGGCCTTCGAACCATAACTAAGTAAAAACTCAAACTTAGCTGGCATCTGGCATAATTCAAATGATATTGTATCTTCAATGAGAGACTTCTATTCAACAGCCTAAGTTTCATGAAACCATTGCAACTGAAGGAATGTCTCCTCCTTCAACTCCTAAATTTGATTTTTACAAAAGCTCTAACATGGAATGAAGTATCAGAGAAGAATGCAAATTTCAAAAAATTACACACAGAGAGAACTAAGGTATACTGCCAGCCAGATTAAAATAGTAAGCATAAGCCTTAAGTGCATGTCACCTTGATAATAGTTAGGGCTGATAGTTAGGGATGATATATTGTATCTAGAAGAAATGGTAGATACTTTCTACCTAGTTTTCTTTTCCCTTCCTTTAAAAACAATAGGGTTCATTGAACCCCCCAAAAAAAAAAAAAAAACCACACACACACGCGCATACAACATTAATGTTAAAAAAAAAGAAAGGAAAATCATGTAAGTATATGCATTTTCTAAATGTTTAATTAGTAGTTAATGACATAATTATTGCTATTAGCAAAGCACTAAACTAATAAAGAAGTTGTGTTACATCACGCAACACGAACACCTTATCACTCACCTAGTAAAATAAAGACTAGTCGTGCTATCAAGTCGCTATATCTTTAGGCAAGAGGTATTAGTGAGGACATGTATTTTTTTGTAGGAGTATACCCGCTGCCAATACATATATAGAAGGAAGCACATGATTTTTCCCGATGATGGTGATGGTTGTAAGGATTTTTGTGACTAGATGTAGGAAAGATTTGACAGTGACAAAACCTCGATATACTCCCCCGTTATGAAATAATTGTTCAGTTTGAATTTTTAGTTTTAGTTTAAATTATAATAAAAGTGAAATTCCAAACTGAACAATAATTTTGGAACAGAGAGAGTACATAGGACTGAAAACAACATACGTGAACCTGATACTACACGGAGTAGCTTTCAAAAGAGACTGCCATCTTTCTCTAGTTGTCAAAAATTGTTTCTTTATTTCCACTTCAATGACTTCGAAATGTAAAAAACTCATACTGGTAAGGCAGGCAAAACGGATTCAGTCTGTTGTGCTACCAAACTTTCATCCTATGAAATGGTGCAACTTGTTCAGACTTCCTTAATTAGGATCGAGATCACACAGACAACTTTAGGGACCTTTCTTGTTTAACCAACATGGAATTTTAAGGGTAAATGGTCAAAAATTAAGGAGAAAAGACGTTGTGATTCACCTTTCATACATGATATTCTACCCCATTTAGTGACATAAAATGCATGCTAATTTGTACTAATTATAAGTACTGAATTATTATACATTGAATCATCATATGTACTGGCCAGTAGTCTTCAATTAAATCCAGCTTTCTCCAATTATATATAATCCAAGAGCATATGAAGTAAGTGGAGGGAGAGAATGGTCTTTATGGGATCTCTTATTTTCTTCCTTTTTATGATGAGAAAGGAAATGGACACAAGTACAAACGGGCACGCCCAAAGGCTAGCAAAATGAGTACTACTTCATTTCCAGAATCACTGAACTGAAGTGTTGAATTAAGACACTGTTGGGCACTTTGTAGAAGAGGTATCATGAAATTAACGTACGATGGGGATACTGGAGAGATTTCATTGATCACAGTGCTCATCGTACTTAAAGCTTCTACAAAGTGGACCGACTCCATCATAGTTTGTTGCTCTATTAAAAATTCATTTGAAGTACAAAAACACCAAACCCAAAAAAGAAAAATTCGGAACAAACAAAAAATACATCCACAAAAATCGGTATAAATTAACACAAGTGGTATTAGCTTAATAGGAATTAATTAATATGAAACCGATAATTTGCCCCCGTATATTTATTAGAAATCAAGTAGTTTTAAATTGAAATGACAAGAAAAATAGAAAGACCCACGCAATTATTATTTGTAATCAAGGGAAGACAAGAACTTACTTGGAGCTTGCAAATTCGTAGAGCTTTCCTTTCTGGGAGAAAATAATTAAAGCCACCTCAGCATCACACAGAACTGAGAGCTCGTAAGCCTTCTTCAACAGCCCACTTCTTCGCTTTGAGAATGTCACTTGTCTGCTTGTTGCATTCTCAATTCGCCTCATTTGAATCTTTCCTCTCACCATTTCTCTTCTTTTTTTTTTTTCCTGAATTTTTGCAACAAAAGAAAAAATGTCTGTTACCATAAGATTAAAAGGCACAAAACTCTAGCAAAAAATGTGCCCCCCACCCACTTTCCCATTCCTTCCCATAAAATTAAAAGGGCTAAAAAATGTACAGAAATAAGAGAGAAAAGATAGGGCTTCTCACCAAAAAGAGAAAAGAATATGATAGGTTGCAGATCAAAACCACAGGAGTTCCTGAAAGCTGAAAACCATCATCAAATTAGAGATTGTGACTAAGAAGAGGTATTAGGCAACAAGATATTGACAAAATTGCAAACAGTTACTAAAAAACCCTAGTATTCTTTTCACCTAAAACAAACAATCCAAAGAATCACAACGGAAACCCTAATCAAGAAGAGCACTCATCAGCTATAAAATTGGAAAAAATAGAGAGCTCCTTTGATTCCTCATCAATCTTCAAGACAAACATGATTAGATTCTCCCCTGAGCAGCAGCAGAAAGTGGCAGTGGTCTTGAACTTAATTAAAGTAGATGAAAATTAGTATATCTCAGACAAATTAAGCATCTGAATGAAGCAAACTAGAAAGTGGCGTCGAAATTGATTTCTGAGGATGGAGAGTGATGGAAGAAGTTTTTAGAAATATTTTCTTTAAACAATTAAAGAAGGGGGAAGATGGAGAAATGTGAAATGCTAATGAAGATGAACAACAATAATAGAGGCAGCCCAGAATAAATAAATCAAGAAAGGGCCGGGAAGAAGAGAGAAAGACATGAAGGATCTTCTGAAAAAAAATGTTGATGTGTGAGAGGTCTTTAGTTTCAGACCACAAAAAACTCTATTATGCTGTGTGTTTGTTTCCCTTTGTTGATCATACACATTACTGTCTCTCTTAATTAATTGTTGCCCCTCTCTCTTGGTTCTCTTTGTCCTTTTTTTTCCTTCTATCTTCAAAAAAAAAGGTTTTCACCCACAAAAAAGGAAAGTCACCACAAACAAAAATAACAATTGAAAAGCAAAACACTCATCTTATATTTGGTGCATACATCTTGTTTTGGTAAAAACTTAGGAAAGAAAATGGTAAAGATTGCAGTTGGTACAGAGACTGTGTGAGTTTAAAAAAAAAAAGAAAAAAAAAAGAAACTTATAAAGAACTCCTTTTTTGCTGCCAATGAGAAAGAAAATGGGGTTATAGACAAATTAAGTAAGTTTTTTGGAGTTGTGATTAAATGCTCCCCTACTCTAACTAGTACTCTCCTATGTATTGGAATTAGGCGTTTTTATTGATTTATGAGCCAAAAATAGTACCAAAAGCTGGTGCTAACATACGCAGGGTGGTCATTATCATCGTACGATGATTTTGAAGTCTCAACGTATTATCAGCCGACAACACACAACTCTCCCGCTTAAATATAATTTGGTCGACTTGGTCCAATTGGAACCAACTATCTCACGTGTTCCATTCTCGTTGGTTCTTCATATCACAATTTTTTCCTCTTATTTCGTCTTCGGTTTTACCTAATACGTTTTTTTAATTGAAATAAAAATCTTAAAAATATTTGATAATAATTAGGAGAACGCAACGAATATAAAAATATATTTTTAACACTTTTTTCCCAATTAAAAATATATTTTGTGGTAGAGTTCCTTTCACTCCACCACAACCACTTTGATTACTATTGCTACTTCATGAAAGTTAATTTTCAAATTTGTTTGGTCTAGTATCTATCTACTACACCACATTTTTACATCATATATAGTCAACGATAAGAGTAGGAGCGTTTTTGGCCTCAAATTTAAGAGAGATGGTTGTCTAAATCTCAACAGTTATTCCCTAATGGCCGAGTCTAAATTTCGGGGCTTTAGTTTGATTGGTATAATAACTGCAAATAAGTATTCGGACACCATGATAATTTGTCTTAATTGATTATCTATACGACTTTTTTGTCCGGTGCCTCTTTTGTGACACACTTACGTTTTGGATGGATGCAAATTTGCACTTTTTGGGGTTAACTATTTTGTACTACATATTTATTGCTAAGTTCATGGACCATGATAACAACGAGTACCTAAATCGAAGTGAAAATTCCATTATTTTTTCGACAAAAGATTTTCCATGATATTTTTGTGTTATATCCTATGAGACATTAACTAAATGATTCGCACGTATGTTATTAATTATCATCATATCATGATGGTAATATTAATAATAATGATACGTGTACAACAAAAATTACTAAGACTTTAGTCACTTTTATCGTACCAAAATAAAAAAAATAACACATGTCAATTTTTTAACTAAGTATCATATCGAAGTGTAACACAAAATTGTGACATAAAACTGTCCACTTTGATCGATAGTGAACCGAAAGCAGATATGTTTACAAGTTGTGTATTGCCGCTAATTTTACATTCTCTTAAAGATACCTGTTTTTTTGGGGCCATACATGTGGGCAGAATGAGAGTCCAGAATATGGCCCGTGAAATTTTATGAATCTGTTGTAAACCCAGGCCTGGGCTTCTCCCTCGGCAAAGACTAATAATAGCAGTATTGCGAAGCTCATTATAAACCGGCGAAGTCTGGAATGATGGAGAAGAGGAAGATGGGTGAAAGGAAGAAAGGCGAAAGCAAGAAAGCAAAAACATCGGAGTGGCCATCCATCAAACCGAAGCCTAATCTTCAAATCACCCGCCTCAAAGACGACGACTTGTTTACTGTACTGGTTTTCTTTCCTTTTACACTTACTTCAATTATGTTCTTGTTTTGCCTGTCTCACATCTCTGTTGTTTCCTTCTGGAATTTGTGTTTTTCTTTTCGGTTCAATTCATAGAATTCCTATCAGATTTTAACTGTTTTCTCTGCAAGATGGTTTTGATCTTGAACCTATCAAATTGGGGCTTGATTGCTTATAATTCTCTTGTTACTTCGGTTATTTCTGGATTCCCATCTGGGCATTATATCCTCTGGGACTTCGATTTGTGTATGTAGCCCTAATACGACCCTCATAACTAGTACTTCTTGTTATAGGGGTTCTCACTTCTGTAAAGGCACCATTTTATAGTCTCAACACTAATGATATTGATCTTTATTGCTGTAGTTTAATTTTCCCTGTAAATTAAGTTTGGTGAAAAAAACTTAAGCTGGTAGTAATGCATTATGTTTCGGATTTAAGGTATTCAGGTGCATAATTTCTTCTCATCAGCAGAATCAAAAGCCTTTATCAAAGCTGCAGAAAGTATTGGTTTTGCTCATCAAGGCAGTCTTGGTCCAGCCAAAGGTGAAGCTTTCAGGGATAATGATCGGATATCTGTTAACGATCCAGTTCTTGCTGATACAATTTGGGAATCTGGACTTAACAAGTTACTTTCTCATCTCAAAATTCGCGGCAAAATTGCAGTCGGGCTGAACCCAAATCTTAGGTTTTACAGGTCATTCCTTTTTATTTCTGTATTTGCTTGTTATCCTTGGAAACCTATGAAATTGATATTCTATCTCCTTTTTCTTGCATTACTGCGGTATTTCTTTGGAAGGATTAGGATATCTGCCTATCTGGCCACATGATGCATGGTTCATTAGTCTCGGATTCATTTGTTTCTGTGACAGGTACATTTTTTTGCTTTCCTCAACTAATCTGATCAGCTTTTTACTTTCTTCAGGTATAAAGTTGGCCAAAGATTTGGGCGACATATTGATGAAAGCAATGTTCTTGAAGATGGGAAGCGCACCCACTATACTTTGCTGATATATCTCAGTGGTGGTTCTGGATCCAAAACTAGAAATGACAGTAGCGGACAAGACACCGTATCAGAGCCTTTAGTTGGGGGCGAAACTGTTTTTTATGGGCCTAGGAATGCTCTAGTGGCTGAGGTATTTCCTTTTTCTGCTTCTTGCATTTCATACATGTGCGTGTAAATGTAAGAGTACCTCCCAAGCTTGGTTGCCCCTTCATCTGTATTGGTCATTTGTAGCAGATGAACTACAGAATGTCATTATACTTTTGCACTGGTTAAATCTATACCATTTACATCGCTTTGCATTTTATTACAAGTCTTCTGAATGACCAATGCAAGTTTGTAATGTCTTGTGGTTTTGGTGAAATATCCAGGTTGCTCCGACGGAAGGTATGGCCCTGTTTCATGTCCATGGGGATAGGTGTATGCTCCATGAAGCTAGGAATGTCAGTAAGGGAGTCAAATATGTGCTCCGGTCGGATGTGGCATTTGGTTGATGATGGCTGGAGCATTGTGGTCCATTTTTGTGTGAATCATAGGTTTCTTGGGCAGATCATTGTTATGTTAATCTGCCATCAGAACTTGTCACGAGATCAATCAGGGGAATGCATGGAAGATTTCATAATTGAAGGATATAGTAGTTACCGACTTAACATTTGCATTACTTTATGGTTTCGATTCGTAATTATTTTGCTCAGTGTGTGATAACTTTCTGAATCCAGTTGACTTTAACTCAAGGACAATGATATTCATAACCAAAGGATTCGATTCCCATCTCGTGTAGAAGTTAGTGGATGAAAGTGCCTTTATTTGCAGTTATCAATCTGCTGAAAGACAATGCAGAGTAAATCAGTGAATTTCCCTGTTTTGAGGTTCGACAAGTGGATTCATTTGCTGTTGTTTATCGGTTTGTTATCTACATTTCTAAGGAAAGCACAAAATAGAGTATTTCTCAACCAACAAAGATTAATCAGAAAATCACTGTGAATTCATTTTGGAGAAAAAGAACATCGGTTGGAATAATGCACACAAGCATAAACTAGTTAACTTATTCAGATCAAACACATATCCTCACACACCCAAAATCCAAAAAAAGTCAAACACAAATTACAAAGTTTGGAAACATCAAGGGAAGCTTTCTCCTTGCACTTGGGCACTAAGCTCAGTTCACAACATTGCATTTGGCTCGCACTTCTCCATGTTCAACAACGCCCACATTACCCATTCTAACCATCGAAGCCGCGAATTCCTTAAAGAACGAAGTCTGGTCTCTGGCGAACGACTCAACGATCCATCTAGTCCTGAAATCATTGTACAAAGCTTGGTCCGACGAGAACACACCTTTTCCAACAACAATTCTCTTGAAATAGTCATTATCAAAAGTCGAAGCGGTTGAGTCCAGCAACTGTCCTGCGTTCTTATCCCTGTGGATTTTTGGGCATTTCTGCTTCAGGTTTAGAGCAAACTCCACGTTAAGGCTCGGGTCGACATCGTGCATAGCGCTGAAATTGTGGAGCCTCGCTTCGAAGGAAGAGCAGTGTGAAAATCCAAGAGTATGTCCACCAGACAGAGCAACCAAATCCTTAACTCCTAAACCCCTCTGTGCGAAACTTTGAATGAGTTGGGTTGCGTTGGAAGAAGGAGCTGGCAGGTTAACCGTCTCACTGGCTCTTGAAACTCTCCCGTCTTTCCTTCCTTTAAGTACATTCCAGTAAGGGCCTCCAGACTAAAAGATGTATAGAATGAATTAATCACCAAGCCAATATGTAAAAGCTTAAGCAAGTAGAGGAAAAAGTAAATAATACTCCATATGTCCCAAAATTATTATCCAGTTTGAATTTTCACTTTTTAGTTCAATTTATAGTAAAAATGAAAGTCCAAACTGGACAATAATTTTGGGACGAATGGAGTAACTGTTAAGACGTGAATTATATATATGATACCATGGCGACGACATCTCTAGCTGCCACGGCAAGTATATCAGCACAAGAAACAACATGTGGACATGCAGATTCAATTTTAGTTTTTGCATCTTCGATCACGTAGAATGATCGAACCGAGACGTTTGGAGGGCCATCTTTCTCGGCTTTGTTTCCTGGAGTTGAGTCCAACAATATTGATGCATCACACCCCTGCCCCAATTTAAAACATGATTAATCAATTAGCATGCGACATTATATAGGGAGAAAAACAAAAACAAATTGGCATGCACATTGTTTGGTAGGATATAACTAAAAATACACGTACTCTAATGAAACAGTCGTGGAAGAACATCCTGAGGATCCGGGCTGGGACTTTGGGATCATAGATGGAAGCATTTCGAACAGTTTCAAGGATGATCTTTTCAGCTTGAGGGCATGTTTTTGCATAATAGTTGGAGTCAAGAGCTGCATTTGAGAGGGGAATCAAGACCAGGAGAAGGAAGATAGTTTGGCGAGTCAAAGGAGCCATGATCACTGAGATAGTTGGTTATTGGATATAATGGATAATGGTGAATGTTAGGATGATGAAAGAAGCTGCTGAAACACGAAGTATATATATAGTGGTGTTGTGGATGGCGAGTGGAATTAACAAATGCATTTTTTTAATTTTTTTTTGGTTTCATTTTGCTGCAAATGCATATATGTACTTGATACTTTGAAGTCACTCCAGATATGAGGAAAATAGGAGCTGCTTTAAATTTTGGTTGTGCTTTAGGACGAAGCATTTCCAGATTTGGGCTGTTTCTAAGTTTTGTCTTGCATCCTTACTTTAGTATTATAAATTTAACTACTTAACAACTTCCAAGCTGTCCCATGGACCAAGAGGTTGGCTTCCATTTAGTTTAGATTAGTTTGGTGTTTTGTGTTTTTTTTTCCTCCCTTCTCGTGTGTTTTTTCTTTAGGTATAGGCATTTATTTGTTCATACGATGATTGATGACTAATGACTGATGAGTATGATAGATGAGAAAATTGAATGCTGAAGTTTCAAATATAGTCAATTTAACCCTGTTTTCTTTTTTGCTTTAAGTTTACTATATCACCGTCCTCGTGTTTTTAATTGTTGTTAAAGAAATTATTAAGTTTTTGTTGTTGTGTTATACATCTTCAAAATCGTCTGGTGAAAAGGAAAAGGAACACAAAGTAGTTCCTATAAGATTTTTTATGTTATTTTATTTATCTATTTATTCGTTTTTTTGGCTCTTCCAGCTCTCATTTTAGATTGGTGCGAAACAAAATGAAGCAATCTTGTATCTTTTTTTAATTCGTTAAAGAACTAAAAGAAATCGAGAAAGTTAGACTAATACTAGTACAATGAAACCTTGTTCAATCGAACCACTTGATCATATCTTTCAGACCAATTTTATTGTTGTAATTAACCTTTGCTGATTATTATATGATGAAAGTAATGCCCAAAGGGCAATCCTCGAATTACATGCAAGAAAATGTAGACAATAGAGACACGTACGAGTCTTCATTATCTCTATGGAGTTAGAGGTGATCAAAGTGGCAGTTGGGTTTATTCAATCGAAGTTTGGTTCAGAATACAACATCTACACGAGGCGTGAACTTGGGTATACCGTATGCGTACTTCTGTACTTCTTTTTTCGCATAATTTCGCTTCGTTCATTACACTTTGGTCGTACATATTGATCATGCCCCTCCAAATTTGAAGTTCTGTATCTAGATGATTCACACCCTGGTAGAAACTTCAGAACCTTCGATTTCCAGTTTCGCAATTTGATTCGAGTCCTAAGTAAAGATAATGTACTTCTATTTGAGTCAATGAAACTTTAAGCATATACATGTAACAAACATATAGGTTGTAAAGATCAACCCCGTTTTGAAAAAATACACCGAGGTAGAAATTAGTTTGTGTTATAATTATCTGATGATCCACACTCTGGTAGAAACTTCAGAACCTTCGATTTCCAGTTTCGCAATTTGATTCGAGTCCTAAGTAAAGATAATGTACTTCTATTTGAGTCGATGAAACTTTAAGCATATACATGTAACAAACACATATGTAAAGATCAATCCCATTTTGAAAAAATACACCGAGGTAGAAATTAGTTTGTGTTATAATTATCTGATAATGTGAATGTTCACAAACTAGTAGTGTTATACAAGAACACTTTATATAGAAATAATATTTATTAGATTTTATTACCAGTTAGATGTTATCTCTATTCGCTCTTATTTTTGTATCTCCTGTGCCTATATAAGAAGAGCAGTCTCTGCAGAAATAATACACAAGTCATTCTATCTTTTTCCCTCCTTATTACTCTCTCTTTACTTATTCTTTCTCTGAGCTTTATAATTTTGTTCTTCAGTTTATTCTTACAACAGTTGTAATTTGAAATTCTTTTGTTCATATTTTTTTTTTAAAAAAATAATTTTTATTCTAAGATATGCGTTGAACAGGCTTAAAAGCGAAGTAAATATATCAATATTATCATTGATAATTTATGTGATACAATGATACTAATAATAACTATATCTTAAAAGTAAATTAAAATAATAAGTGATTTACAAATCAATAACTATACTAAAATCACTATCATTTTTCACTTTTTCCATCATTGTTTGACGAAGCATGGAATCTGCACGGTGCTCAGGACGGGCGCGACGATGATCTAGGTGGTGGCGAACGGCCTAAAACCTGCGAGACAGAGCCTCGGGTGTCTCCCGAGGGTAGACTCTCCGATGCTTAAGTCAATAAGAGAATCGAGAATAGAGAGAGAAAAGGATGTGTATCGTGTGTAGAAGGTGTAGAAGATAGGTAGAAGATAGATAGAAGATAGGTAGAAGATATGTATTATGGAAGAGGCACTACCTCTTTATACAGAGGTGGCGTTAACTGTTTCCTGAAACCCTAACGGAATAGGTTTAGGCAGTAGCTTAATCTCCAAGTAACCTAATCCTAGGCTCAATAGGCCTAGGGTTAATTTATGACTTGTCACTGTTCAACATTAAATAATTGTTAAATCAAAATTACTAATAGTCAAAAGTAATTCAATCTATATTTTGGATTCGATTAAAAATCCAAATTGATCGATGCCCAATGTCCGAAAGACTATACCAAACCCCGTAACAAGACTGTATCCAGTATATCCGGGAGTATGCACTCCCCCTCTTATTTTTTGCACATGGAATCATTATTGTACTTTTTTCTCAACTCTTCTTATATTTTACAAATTTAGTCATGTTACTTTTTTCTCTCTCTTCCAAAAAACATCTTTAATCTTCAAATGAGCATATCTCTCAATCCGTGAATAATTAGAAAAACGTGTTACACATGAATTTTATTACATTTGTCGAGATCTATCCAACAAGATATCAAATATCTTTTTCAGGCTAAAAAATGATTAAATTCTGATAGGCAGAATAAAGGTAGATATCGAGTTTTACAAGATGGATAACCAACTTATGTTAAATTGGTTATCCATTATGTTCATACTGATTATCCAACGAGTTTGAACTGTTTATCCATTTTGTTTGTATTGCTTATCCAATTGGTTTGTATGTTTATCCAACCTGTTTGTAATAGATATCCTACTTGTTTGTACTGGATATCCTTTTGGTTTGTACTGGATATTTATCCAACTTGTTTGTACTGGATATCCATCCATTTGGTTTGTATGACTATTCAACTTGTTTTGTAGTTATAATCCAACGGGTTTGTATGCATATCCAACTTGTTTGTACTGAATATTTATCCAACTTATTTGTATTGGATATCTATTTAGTTTGTATGCATATCCAACTCATGTGTACTGGTTATCCAAATTGTTTGTACCGGTTATCTAATTATTTTTTTATTTGGAAAAAATCATTGTCCAATGCGCTAATATTGGTTATCCATTCTGTTTATGCTGCTTATCCAATCATTCTTTTTCCTTTGAAACACGGTTATCCAATGTGTTCGTAGTGATTATCCAATCGCATTGTATTGGTTATCCAATTATTTTTACTGCTTGTCTAAATAAGTTTGTGTTACTTGTTCAATCTTTTTTTTTTCTTTTGAGAAATTGCTTGTCCAATTAATGTGTTCGTACTGATTATCCAACCCCGTGCTATTGTTTCTCCATTTTTATTATTTTTTTATGAAAAAATACTTGTCCGATATGTTTGTACGTGTTATCCAACAAATTGGTACTACTTATCCAACCTAGTTTTTCCTTAAAATGGTTATCCATTGTGTTTATACTGATTATCCGACCGGTTTCAATTGATTATCCATTTCGTTCGTACTGATCATCCAATCTTTCTTCTTTTTTTTTGGAAAATCATTGCCAATGTGTTAATACTAATTATCTAATTAATTAGTGCTTCTTATCCAACCAAGTTTTTCTTTTTATTTTTTTGAATAAAATATTGTTCTCCAACGTGTTCATATTGATTATCCAACTGCTTGGTATAGATTATCCAACCATTTTTTTCTCTACTTTTTGCGAAAATCCTTGTCCAATTTTTTGTACTGACTATCCAACCGTTTTGTATTGGTTATCCAATTATTTTTACTGTTTATCCAAACATAATTTCTCTTTTTTTTTCTTTTCATAAAATATGTGTCTAATGAATTCATACTAATTACCCATCTAACTTCTTCCTTATGGTTATCTAACTTTTTTATTCTTGTTTTTTCTATGAAAATGATTGTCCAATTCTTTTGCACTAATTATCCAACCAGCTTACACTGCTTATCCAATTATTTCCACTGGTTATCCAAATTATTTGTAATGTGTTCATATTGATTATCTGACTTCTTGGTGATGGTTATCCAACTTTTTTTCCTTGCTCTTTTATGAAAATGATTATCCAATTATATTGTATTGATTATCCAACCAATTTGTACTGTTAATCCAATTATTTTCACCGGTTATCCAAGTGGTTTGTAATGGTTATCCACTCATTTTTTTTCTTTTTTTTTTGAAAAAATGGTTGTCCAACGTCTTTGTACTGGTTATCTAACACAAATATTCGTTTCTACCCGCAGTATTTTATTTTTTTTATTTTTCAAAATTAATATTCGATATTGATCTTATCGGATAGATCTTGTCGAGTATTATAAATTGCATGTATAATTTATTTTCTAATTATTCACCGATCAAGAGATATAAGGAACACAACAATATGAATGTAAAATAAGTTGGTCATCCATAGTTTTAAATTGGATATCCACCTTATTTTTGCCCATCTGAATTTAATCATTTTTAATTCCGAAAAAAATATTTTATATAGATCTTGTTGGATAGATCTCGACGAGTACTATAAATTTCATGTGTAATATATTCTCTAATTCTTTACGGATCATGAGATATGGTCATTTAAAGATTAGAAATGTTTTTTAAAGGAGAGAGAAAAAAAGTCACATTGACTAAACCTGCAAATTATAAGATGTTATTTAGAAAAGTGAAAAAAAGTGTAGTAAAGACTAGTAATGCAAAAAATAGGAGAGGGAGCATGGTGCTCCCGAGTATACTGGATAAATTGCCCCCATAACAATCAAACACATCCAACTGAAAACCAGGTTCTTTTGACTTTTTCCCGTATTTGTGATTGACTTCCAGTCATCTTTTTTTTTTTGGTACGAAAAAGGAGGCAAAAGCCTAGATTCTTACATTTCGGGGGTATGCCACCCCTAGTACATCATGTTGTAGCCAGGGCCTGGCACCTAACGGAGGTGATACTAATCTTTGCAGACCAACCGGGCCCGAAGATGCTAAAGAAGCTAAATAATCGGCCACGAAATTCGCCTCCCGATAAACATGGTCAACTTCTACAAGCCAATCTCGATGTAGTACTTCCCGAATCCCGCTTACAATCCTCGAATGAATACCTAATACTTCCTCGTCACCCTTCACCATCTGCACAACGCTTGAGCTATCCACTTCCGCCTTCACTTTCTTATAACCAAGATCCCATGCTAGTACTAGGGCTTCGAATAAACCCCAAAGCTCCGCACCGCAATGGTACAAAACCCGACCTTCATCATAAAACCCCCAACCATCTACCATGGCAATCCCGAACAACTCCACCCGCATGCCCAACTCCTATGGATGGATCAACGCCGCCATCAGAATTCACCTTCACCCAGTCAACCGGCGGCGGAATCCAGTGGATCCACCTTTCCTCCCACCCGACACAAGCTCCACGCATGGACTTCTCATATTGAGAAGCTCCTTTAATTCCCCCGACTACCTTCACAATCTCCGTCACACGATGTATTTCACCAATGTCCACCCCTTCGAAAATTCGCCGATTCCGCCAGCACCATAGTCGCCAAGTTGTTACCCCAAAAATGCAATCCCAGTCCTCAGGAAAGCCTTCAAACTTCCTATTAAGGTTATGCCAAAACCATTCTTCCGCCAGCACCATAGTCGCCAAGATGACACGCACAAATCGAGAAATGGACTTCCAGTCATCTTTATTCCACTATTTGATGTTATTTTACATGGAGTAACCTTGTCCATTTCACCAAATGTTTCCTACCTTTACTCATTGATCAACTATAATAACATTATTCATTATTGTTAGATAAATGTCATGTGAGAGTGAATGTAAATATGAGGTTTTGCCTTTTATAGTTTAATTTGTGTATAATGTTAGATGGGAAGGATAATAGAGTTGTTGGAAGTTGTATAATGATGTTAGGAGTATCAAAAATCCTACACGGCTTATTCTGACAAGGAGTGGGATGTAGTGCGGGGTCCTACTGATGGCAGAGCGTAATTCTTCTTTTTCTCCTTTTTTTCATTTGCTTTGGTTTTTCCTTCTGGCTATTCCTTTTCGTTTTTTTCTTATCGTTACTCTTTTTTAAAAATTATTTTGACAATAAAACAACAATGAAGACACCATTTCTTTAGCATTTTTGGTCATTTTATATTTTAAAATTTTCGTTATCTTTATGAAAGTTATCTTGTAGTGAAATTTTGTTAAGGTTATGTTTTAAATTAATTTTTGTACTTTATTAATATGGTATTTAGTGAATGATTATTAGTTTTTTTTTATTTTCTTATAGTATTTAAATTATTTTTTTATATATTTTTCTAAAAACATAATAAAATTTCATATAAATGTAATTATTTTTTTGGAAGGTAAAATATTCATAGCGGAATAGTTGCAGAGTGGTAATAGTGGGTAGTTACGGGTCTAAAATTATATGAGAAGTGAGTATAAGGAGGCGTTTGTTTTATCAGTTTGGAACGGATTCAGAGACGGATTTGAATGATGATGGAATGGATTCGAATAATGATGGATTCTTGAATCCAATTACCCAGTTTGGTTTAAAATCTGGATTGAATTTATTATAATTTAAAAAATAAAAATAAAAATAATTTTTTTCCCACGTTCCTTCTCCTCTCTTCACGTTGCTCCTCCTCCTGTCCACTCTCTCAGCCACCTGTTCTGTTGGTTCATTTGGGCAACAGTTATTCAGTGTCACTCCTATCTCCCTTGATAATCTTCTCCTCAATTATTCAGCACCTTCATCCAAAACCCATAATCCATTCATCAATTTTGAACGAAACCCACTTTCTGCTCTTCCCCAATTTGAATTCCAAACTCACTGCTCTCCATGCCCATTGATTTTTTCATCCTCCTTCTCCCTTTTCCCCTCAAACATCAATCATCAGATTCGTTTGCTGCCACGTGAATCGTACGCTGGCTTCCCCTCCCCCCTTTTCTAATTTTAAACTTTTATTTTATTTTATTTTATTCACTTTGCTGGGATGTCGTGCAGATATGGCGACGACGGCAGCAGAGGGGATAATGGGGCGGGGATGATGGGACAGTGACAATTGGGATTTGGGAGGAAAGAGAGATATTGGGGAGGGAGGAGAGAGGTGGAAGGACGGAGGAGAAATGAGGGAGTAAGAAGGAGAGAGAAAAAATTTTAAAAAAAAAATAATTGGAAAATTTTCCAAATCGAATGACCGAGGGAGGTGCGGAATTGATCTTTCGGAATCAGTCAGTCCCGGGATTCATGAATCCAATGAACCAAACATATCATTCAATTCTGAATCTAATTCGTGAATCCGATTCCCACCTATCAAACGGAACCTAAAATTATTGTAGAAAAAAAATGTATAAAGTGAAAGTGTAATAGAATGCTGATGTGGCAGTGAGAAGTGATGTTGAATTATATAGATTGTTGGGAATATTCTTAGCAGAGAAACATTACAGCTATTCAAATAATATGACACTCGTTATCGCCTATATAATCTTGAATTCACTACCCCACTAATACCCCACAAATATTTCATTATTCTTACATAATTTATCCAAAATTATTATATTTAAATATATTTATGCCACATAAATAATTTTCAAAGTATTTAGGTGCTACTCGAGATGATAATCTATTGAACTTTTACTCTTCAAAATTTTGTAGCATAGGCAACTAAGAATCCGACGCTGGCCAACTTGAATTCTACCCGCACTAGTGACCCCACACTACGGTGGGCCAGAATCCTAGCTTCCCACGGTAAATTTTGTTTTGGAAGCAGCAACAGCAGGAGCAGACCTAGAGAAAAGCTCAATACTCTACAAGGGAAAAGAGAGACGGTGTAGGGGCCCACCACGCGGCCACCTTGATTTACGAGAGGGCTCCACCTTCCTAGAGGGGTCACATGATCAAGAAATTTGGCGGAGTTCTTAATTTTCCTCTAAAATATAGAGTACATTATGTGAAGTATAAATTATTTACAGTAAATATTTTTTATTATTTTGCTAGTAATAATAATGGATATTCTCTTTTAACCTTTTTCTTTTTTTACATTTGTACTCATTACTCAATATTAAAAAATTTATGTTAGGACTTGGGAGTATAACATATGCTACTATTACTACAACTTAAGAATAGTAGTGAAAAAGAAAATAAGGAAACAAAAGGCGTTGGATTTATATAGCTCATCCTTGTTTTGAAGCTCAGATATTATTAATTGGGCCCATGCTGCACGTGCAGGCTCGAAATTAGAGTGGATATCCCTGTCAGTAATCTTTCTAGTAAGTAGTACTACTCCAGTAGTAATAACCATACGGTTGTTATAATTCACAAAATAGTCGTAGGATATGATCACTATATTGTATTCTAAACTCAAGAGCTTATCACAGAATACAAATTGTATAGTGCTCCGATTAAAATTTCATTCCCGCTGTTGTCTCTCTTGTAGACTTAAGGTCAAGGACCATCAATGCGGCAATTTGTCAATCAGCCGTAAGGTTTAGAAGTTAAAAACCCCAATAATTTAATATGTAATGAAAATGGGATTGCATTGCCCATTACATTGCTGCTCCACTTTCAGATTGACACAAGAGACATACTACTAGATAATCAAGTACATGTTTTCGTTTTTATTTGGGTTTGAGATTTGATTTAAAATATAACTTAAAATAAAATTTTAAAAGTTATTTGGGTAATATTTTAAATAAATTAATAGTATTTTTAGATCACCACCGAACCACCTTCGCTGTCGCCGCCGGAGTGCCCACCGCCGTCGATCGATGACCGGCCGGCGGCGGGTGATGGTAGAGGTGGTTCAGTGGTGTTGGATGAAAATTGTGTAAAAATAATTTTTAGAATATTTTTTAAAAAATAAATTAAAAAATTATTTAGATAGTATTAAATTTGTGTTTAAGAGGTATTTTAAAAAGTAAAATGAGACAAAAATATAAAATAAGTGTTGGGGAAACAAGCCCTTAGTAATTTAGCATTACAACTTAGAAGAGGCCCGATTCAAACTACACGGCTACTCTGATGCCTAAAAGTCTAATAACGTATATTTTGCTCTGCAATTAAAATACGCAGCAAAATCTAAATTCCTACCACCACACAAGTCATATCCACCTAACTAATTCAGGCTTCTGATGAAGTCCGGTGGTCACTCCCGGCTCCACCGGCGGCAGCACCAGCCGTGGCAGTAGCAGTAGCAGTAGTAGCACCAACCACGAATTGATGAAGTTCTCTCCTGTCATAAACCTCCAATGAAAATTCCCTAAGCATTTGAGTGCCCGGACTACTACTTGTCGTAGTGGTGGCCCCAATGTTACCACCACTAGAATTGGCGTCATCCAAATCCTTCACCGAAACTGAATGGTTCGTTTCCCCATTCTCAACATCATTAGACACCACACCCACTTTACCATCTCCACTAGCAGAAGCAGTAGCGAAATTCAACGTGGCTCCAGGTTGCACTCCGGGCACAAAATTAGACTTGGGCCTCCCGGGAACGTTAAAAACCGGCGCCGCAGCAGCCGGAATGGCCCACAACTGAGGGTGATTCGGAGGCCCAGCGATGGTCGGCCCAGATTGTGGGATCATGAAAAAAGCCCCACTTGGAACCGCGCTCGTTGGAACCATTCCAGCACCACTAGGCCCACCAACTGTCCAAACCGGTAACAAAGCTTGAGCAATGGGTGCCACCGGAGCGAAACTAGAGTTATCGTTCAGTTCGTAGAAATCGCTGCTTGAAGCTCTCTTTCTTCTTTTATTGGCGGTCTCGCCGTCGGCGGTACTTGGCGTGGAGGGGATTTTCAACGTTCCGTTAACAGAAACGGCGATAGCCGGTATAGTGCCCGTTCCGGTGGCTTCAATGATTGCTGGCTCCGCTCGCTCGAGGAGCCACCGGATGGTCTCTCCGTCTGACTTATGGCCCAGTTCCCGCGTCAATTGGAATATTCTGGCGGCGCAGGTGGCAGGCATACGGATTCTCCGGCCTCGGCCTTCTACCTTAGTATGCCGGTCCTTGGTAGACCTCTTAGGCGGAGCCACCACCAACGACTGAGACCTCTGGGATTGATGTACCGGGGTGAGCGCAACTGAAAGTGAACCCTCGACGTCGTAGTCAGCCGGCTCTTCTTTAAGCATGGAAACAGTATCAGAAGAATCCGGTCGAGAAGCAGGTGGGTCCTCCGGCGCCGCTGGGGAGGAAGGGCCTACCGCAGTGATGGAGTATTGATGTGGGTCGCCAAGCAATGGATCGGGGTGATGGGTCTTGTCATCATCTTGTTCAAGGTTTTGGTGATTTTCAACGGATGCCATTACAGAGGACAAAGTCCCAGTCACCCGGTTAAGATTGATCAGAACACAGAACAAGAAAAGTCCAAAAGCCTTGGCAAAAGAAAGAATGATGACTTTATTTTAATATATGCTAGGTTGGGAATCAAGATTGAGGAGATGGATGATCCCCCTTTGGAGAAGGGAGAACTGATCTGATTCAATTTGAGGGGGGTTTTCAAATTTGTGTTACAGTGAAAAGACAGCAAGAAATTACAGATTACAGTATAAATTTGGAGAGGGAGAGAGAGAGCGCGTTATCCTTTGGCCTTGGGAATTCATAGGAAAAAGATTAAAGATGGAGATGTGGGGACCCCCAAAAGGCTGAGGGAGAGAGAGGGAGGATCCACGGCTGAGGGCTACGGGATGTTGACGCGTGATACCAAGCAAAGGGATCTGTTCCCACTACTGTTGTAATTAGGTCAAAACAAATTGGATAAGTAAGGATTAACCCGTTAACTTTTCTGGGATTTCCATTTCCACTGGGATTTTAATAGCGACTTTCCATTTGGAAATGTGGTGCGAGCTAAACCCAGAGTTCAACCAAATTTGATATGACTGGGTTTTTCATAATTTCATCCCCAAAATTCGCCTCTAATTTGTTCTTAAAGAAACATTCTGTATTGTTTTACTCTTATATATAATTGATTGATGAATAATAATTTCCGCAGCTTGGTAATGGTAGGTGGTATTTCAGCAACTAGACCAACACATTTCAGTTGAGATTATTGTTGGGGTTAATCATAAAAAGGAAAGGAAAAAGATTATTGCTGGTTAGAAATTCCGACTTATGAGTTATGGTATCAATTTCTGACTAAAAAGATGGGTTTAGATATCTAATTAGAGTTTTGATTTGCTTGTTAGTAAACTTCCAATGAATTATGCTCCTTGGACTAGTAATTAAATTGACCATTCATCAATTCGTTGAGGTTGATCCCCTTTGATTTGTTTTTTTTTTTAATTTTTTTTCAAATCATCGAATTACTAGGAGGGACTGGCATTGGGTCCAGCTTCATTAAACAATTTAACACCCATAATAGTGGGCTTATTGGGTTCCAAACCCAATTTCTGCTCTCAGCTTGACTCTCTGTTTTAAAGACTTTCTTGTGTCTTATATATTTTACCTTTCTCATCTTCTCCCCCTTGGCGCTCTTCTGAAGAGATTGCAGGCTGTGGCTTTAGGTGGTGCAGTATAAGCTGAGAGCAAATCGAACTAAATTAAGGTACTTATCGCTTGCCAAATGCCAATGAGCAATCACTATTTGAATTGCCACCTCTTTTTTGTCTTTACTTTCTATTTCCGATTTCAGCGTTTCTGTATTCCTTTGTCATCCTTCCAAGAAACAAGTTCGACGGAAGTTTTTTAACTTGTTCATGTGCTTCTAAATCATTTGATTTCGTTTTGATACTATTTGAAGCGTCGGGAACATGACTTTAGTACTTTATTTATTTGAAATTCTTGTAGATTTTTTACCTTTGGGGAGACTGATTTGGATGATGCAGTTACTTTAGTTGTATCGTTAATTGTAGGATTAGTTGTTGTATCCGAGATTCAAGAATTTTTCATTTCATTCAACGATTTTAGTTTTGCCAAATGAACCAAAACTAGGCTGTGAAAAGTGTTCTTCGTTTGTGAGCTTTGGGTATTATTGGATACAAAGAATATGATCCTTTTTGGATGCTCATGAAATTTTCAGCCGTCTTCTTTCGGCATACTTTATTCATCGTGGTCTTCTATGTTTCTTCTGGTTTTCATTTGGCTAAGTAAAGGCATACCTCTTTCTTCGTATAGAAATGATTCATCATACCATAGTGAAGATTAAAAAAAAAAGCTTTGCTGGAATGAATTTTTTTGCATTGTAATCTTTGATGCATATGCTTGTTCTGTTACTTAGCGCTCTCGCTTCAGATGGAGGAAAAATTGGAAAATGACTACAATGTGGAAAAAACGGAAAATGTTCAGTTGATGAGATCTCATTTGCAATGGAGCCAATGGCAGCTTCTTGACTCTATACTTCCTACTGGTGGTTTTGCTCATTCGTTTGGCCTTGAGGCAGCAATTCAAGCTCATTTGGTCTCTGGGCCTGAAGATCTCCAAGCTTATGTGATACGTATCCTGGAGAATACAGGCAGTCTGCTTCTTCCTTTTGTATACTCCAGCACTATCTCACCCGATATGCAAACATGGCACAAGCTTGATAGAATGCTCGATGCAACCCTAACAAATGAAGTTGGTCGCAAGGCGTCCGTATCACAGGGGTCGGCACTTCTGAGAGTTGCAGCTGCGGTTTATGTGGAAATTCCTTCCCTCAAGTTAATGAGGAGCACAGCTTTAAGTAGTGGGGCTGTATCTTTCCACCATGCACCTATATTTGGCCTTGTTTGCGGACTGCTTCAAATCGACGCCAAAACTGCTCAGAAGGCTTACATGTTCGTGACTATGAGGGATGTTATATCTGCTGCCACTAGGCTAAATTTGGTTGGACCTATGGGTGCTGCTGTCTTACAGCATCAGGTTTCCTTTATTGCGGAAGATTTAACCAAGAAATGGATGAACCGTTCTGCTGAAGAAGCATGTCAGACGAGTCCTTTGCTTGACACAGTGCAGGGTTGCCATGCTTATTTGTTTTCCAGACTCTTTTGTTCTTGAATGGTTTATTGAGTTTGGTTCTTCACCTTGCAAGCACTGCCCTTTGGTCCCAATAGAACAAAACTGGAACCCAAGGCTCCAGGTGTTTGGTCCTCGATGGGGGATGCAATTATTGATATGAACACTGATTGAGGTTTAAATCACATAGCTGTGACCTTTCCATGACAGTTCCTGGGAGTTGCAGAATGCTATTGTTTTCTTCCAAGAGTCTTGTTATTAGTTTGATCAGGGTGAACCTTTCAACCTGTAATTTATGTGTTCTATATTTTCAAATATATTCCTCTTGTAAATTTGTTAATAGATCTTGGTCTAGGTGTGCTTCAAAAAGCAAAACAATTGAAATTAATGTGCCTTGGTAGTGAAGCTTGACCTCAACTGAAGTTTGATTGAAAGTGGTATACCATTCATGTCTTGTATTTGTGACTGTGTAATTTCTTATGCGTATTCTTCTTGCACTATATAGTGAGAGATAGTATTACTGTTGGACTGAGAAGGACTCTTTCTACTAGCAACTGGGATGTCAAGCCGATTTAGGATGCACCCCAAAGGGATGACCCGGTTATGACCCAGGTTCACTGACAGTCTGGTATGGTAGGTTTCAAAGTTAAGGTTTCATGCTCTGTATTATTCAGGGACTTGTCATTCAAATCGCTAATTTATAAGTTATCTTGGGTGTTCAAAATTATCATATATAGATATTGTTCATTGGTAAAAGACTAATTTGTATCCTTGTGATTTTCAAATTTTTGTCAGCCTTGTAGAAATTTTAAAAATGTCATTGTTGATTCCAGGTTGTGGTAGACTTTCCTACTTTGGGACAGTGGGTCGCATGACAAAGATCTCCACAATTTGAGAATTCCAGGAAAGTTAGTGGACAGAGAGCCCTTCAACCTAGCTAGGTGAATTTCAATTAGTTTTTATAAACGTCTTCCCCCCTTGGGTATAAAGGAAGAATGTTATGCAACAATTTATTTCTACTTTGTTCTGAAGGTTACTGCATAATCTTTTTATGTTTAAATAGTCCAAAATTATCAATTGTAGTTCGACTTTTTGCCTCTTGGATTGCAATCAGGAAATTCACTTTAGTTTCTTTGCTTAGTGGCTGTAACGGAGAATCATGCCTAACCTTTGATATGCTATATATCTCTGATTCGTTTCCACCTGAAGTGAATATCTGTCTCCTATTGTAAAAATTCTATATTCCCTGGTATATTAAGATTTTGTAAGTTTCTACAAAGTGAATCCATGTTTCTAAGTTTTTTGAGCTTTTAGAGCACGCATGCCCCAAATTATGCTGGTTGGCTTACTGTCAAATGTTTGATTTTTCCCTTCTAAAGCTATAATGTGGACTTTTTACAATGGTTTTTTGTTCTGTGGCTGTCAAATAAAGATCATATGTTGCTGTTGATGTATTGAGAAAATAAATTTGGCCTATTGTTGAGTTGGCTTCAAACTCTGCGGAATAAAAGTGGTTTGTTCAGCTTTGGACTCCTAATATTTACTTAAGAACTTCATTTTGATGATGGTAGCCGGTAGGAATCTGTGCAACTTGCTCTATTTGGACCACTATTTATATAATCTGGTTAAGATTTCAATACAGTCAATTTTTCTTTAGTATGCAAACTTAGTGTAATTTTTCTGAGTTATTTGCATTTGACAGTTACGTACTGTTTAATGATAGTAAGCCTGCATGCATGAGGGAGATTTGCAGTGTGTGATACTGAAACTTTCACAAGATTTATAGGCCTTTTTGCTCCTTCACTGGTGATACAAAAGCAATACTTTCACTATAAACTGGAGCTATTATAATTAGACTTCAGTTTTTTATGGTTCATTCTATTGAGGTATAAAGAAGTGGTTGAACTTATAGGGTCATATGACATGCTGTATCGGAGTCCTGCTATGTTAAGACTTCTTGTTTTATCAAAGAATTTCTCTTAAAAAAACAGATTAGTGTTGAATTGGCTTCATTTCGCTATCACTTTCGATCTTGTTAAGATATTATTCTAGTTAATAGATGTTGTTCTTTACAATAATACCGGCATTTCCTTTCTTCCCTCCAAAATAAAAGCACTGTCTCTGGGCTAATATTCACCCCAAGCTGCGGCCACTCATCCTAGTATTATATGATATCTCACAGGTTGATATGTTTGTACTGTTTTCTGAGGTAAACCTGAGTGTCTTGAGATGTATTGAGTGTTATTTCATGCTGACCCTCTGATTGTTGAAATCTACCTGTACCTAATTAGAGGCAACCTTTTCAAAGTGCAATGGTAACAACTATCTTCATCTGCAGCTATCCTATTCATGGAATTTCACTAGTGTAACTTCAGACATGGCTATGCTAAGAGCTGATGTTCCTTTTAACAGATACTCCCCATATGTTGCTGCCATCATTCATGGAGTTTTCATGAGTAAATTTACTTTCAGTTTATGAAGCCAGGGAAGGGGAAAAAATAGATGCCAAAATATGATTTTGAGTTCAGTATTGTTGAAACTCGAGGTTGCATACATTTCTGATCAACAATAGAACACAATTGGAAAAATGTCAATCTGCTAATCTGTTCTAAATTACTAGTATCCTTACACTTCAACTGTCTTTTGATCAAGAGCAGTATATCTCCATCGCTCTTTTTCGACAAAGTCAGCATCCAGGAACTGGGCAATGAAAGCCCACAACTTGTATACGTCTTCAAAATTGGCCAGGAAACTGAGTGCAATGGTAACTACTGTTATTCCTTGGTCAGTTTTTTTGCTCTTGCTTTTGGTCTTTTGTGTTTCTTTACCTTTTTTTATCTCTAAGACTTTTTCCTTCTCCTGCTCGTGCTTGTCGGAGAAAAAAATATTTTGTAAAAACCCAGTGCTAAGAGAAATGTTCTTCCGATCTGCAAGTTTCTGTACCAGAGAGGGCTCTACCTTTTCTCCTTTCCAATCATATATGTTGAATGATAATGCAGGCCCACGGTCAAATTTTACCTTTGGTCCATAGATTCTTACCAGGGGAAAGTGATCCAACCTGTTCGGATGCTGAAGCTTCACCAATGCACTAACTAACCAATTAATCAGGTATCTTCTTCTGTTACTAATCAGCATTAGTCCCAGCGAATCAATGTGATCCAAACACCTACATTCTATCATCGCATCTTCCTTGCTAGACTGTTCTGCACTTGTGTTATGATGTAAGCCAGTAGCACCGTCTGACTCTGATTCTCCAGAATATTCCAGTACTCCCGCTTCTGAGGTACTGGTCATGCCTTGCTTCAAAAACCTATCAGTGCTCCTTGGCTTTTCACATTTTGTTTGCTGAGCGCATGTGTCCGTCTCTACTGCTTCCGCATTTAACGAGGGTATACTTTCTAGTGGTGTGTTTGAACCTGACGAGTCTTCTGCCAACAGAGAAAGTTTCTTTCCCGACATGAGATTTACTATTCCAGCATTTGTTGAAGCTTCAAGACTTTGTATTGTTGATCGCTTGACAAAGAGGCATCCGAATCCAGTAGGATTTTCCCCAATAACCTTATAGAATGAGCAGACGAGGAAATCAGGGCGGAAGAGAGAGAGCCCTAGGCTATCCATGTCCTTTGGACCCAATGCACAGCAGTCAAGCAAGACATGCCAGCCATTTTCTTGCGCAAGGCTCATCCATTGATAAGAGTAACTGGCTCCTGTCATTCTTGATTGAAGGGGTATGACAAACAGTCCCCTTGGTTTCTTCTTTTTGTTCTTCCTGGCAATTGCTTTCCTGAGTTTCACGGAGTGAACTCTAAACCTGGGCCACTTGAACTCAGCTGACATGATCTTGGCTCCTCTTTTCTCTGATGTGTTCACCATGGTTTGCAGCGCCTCGCTATCATAGTCATAGACTGTAAGTAGCTTTCGGCTTGATTGAAAAGGGTACGCTTCTGCCACCAGTTTAAAAGCTGATGATTTATTTGCTGTGAATACCATACTGTAATCATTCTGAGAAATATTGAGAAATTCCATGATCCTGTTCCTGATGGCAGATTCCAAACCTGATACTGGCCCGCCATCAAGTAGTTGTGACTTGAGGTTCACTGATTTGCATGATAAACTGAAAAAGGGTGAATCCGGAAACCTCTCTGGTACTGTGGAAGAAGATGATTCAATTGGGACTTGGGATTGTGGAATCTGAGATTGAACTTGGGAGTAGGAAAAAAGACCAATGCCGATGTAATCCAAACAGACATGGCTGGAAAGGGAAAGATGATAATATTGTTGAGCACGTATTTGGTCAACAGAGGAAGTCTCACTGTATTTGGGATATGCTTTGGTGAATTGGGCAAATGACTCTAGCAAAGAAGGGAGATTTTCATGATTGGTGAACTGGGTGTTTGGGAAGAAAGAGGATGAAGTTATGGCAGCAAAGCCTTGACGGCAATTCGCGGATGTGCTTTTGGGGTTGGAACCCATCGTAGTAGCAGCGGCTTCATCTTGCTCCCCTGCTTGGGATAGAGGACTGGTGCAGCAACCATACAGCCATACTCGTTCTGGCGCCTTGGAGTAAGGCGATAGCATACTCTTCTTGATATATGTTGCTCTTTACCTCCAATATTTGGCCTGCTTTTTTTTGTGTGCTTCCCCTGATGTCAGATTGTAGTTTCTTTAATGGAGATTGATGCTTAATAGTGAAGGAAAGTTAAAATTTACAAAAGGGAGAGGGCTACAGAAATGATTTCTAACAGGAGCGTGTTCTTTTATGAAATGGAGGACCTTCAATGATGAGAGGGAGACATTGCTTTATCGGATTGAGGGGAAGGATTGACCTCTTCTTTTTTGAATATAAATATGAAACAATCTATTGTCATCAAAACCTTTTTCTTTTTTAGCTTTTGTTGTTGCCCTTTTCACGTCCTTTAATTTTGCTTTGACATATTTGATAAAGTCGACTTAGCTTTCAAAACGTGTGGGGAAAGGCTAGCTAACAATGACAATTTGAGGTTTTTTTAAAAAAATTTTTTGCTATTGGAGACCTTGTGAACTCAAGTCTGAGCTGGTTTTTGAAAATGGTTATTGTTTTCCTCGTATGTACTATAATAGTTTTTTGGCATTATTTCTTGGGAAGTCATTTTCCACCATTCAACTGAAGATTGAACATTCTTCTTCTTCATATATATAGCAGGGAGGGGATGAATCTGGCTGTTGTATTTATTCAACTACTGAAAACCTAACAATGAAACAATGATAAAAATATATTTGACTGAAGCCTACTTCATATTACAAGCCTTTTAAAAAATAATAATAATAATAAAAAAGAAGAAGATGTCCCAAGTCCTGACGTAATGTCGCTGAGCTGCCAAAAAAAAAAAAAAAAGAAGAAGAAGAGCAATTTGGGAGGAATAAGGTCCCTGTCGCCAACTATACCGCTAATTCAGGATATGAATCTGGTAAATTACATGTACAAGTATTTTATAGAATATTCTTATGGTCATCTTATTTATAAATCACAAATGTCACTGATTAATTGAAAAATGAGAGTGTTCCTGCAGGAAATCTAAAAATTGTTAAGGATAGATTCACTTCTTCCTGGTTCTTCTTACAGCTTATCTGAGCGTGGGTTAAACTAATGAGTACCCATCAAGAATTAACTGTTGCCTACTAGAGTCTAGAGGATCCAAATCCGACTGTTATTCAGATTTTGATTTCTATTGTTGTTGTCTTTAAGTACAGCATTATATACATAATAAATCACGCTAATGAACAACTCATGCCGAGAAGTCGTCAAACTTGAAAGAAACGCAAGAAAGTTAAAAAGTGGAAGTAAAAATTGTTATTGGCCGGCACCATGAATGCTGGCACTGAAAAGTGAAAGAGATTCTTGGAACGATTATTTTAGCACTATATTATTCATAGTAATATATATATATATATATATATATATATATATTTGTTCACAAAGGCATCACATTTTCCTTGTTTTATTGATTATAAAATAAGTTTTTACGTTACTGTATAACTTAGAAACAAGAACTTCCTAAACTGCTAAACTGGGATGTTCACCTGAACTTCCTGAAGCACGTTTTTAGATATGAGAATTTTGCAGCAGATTGTCTGCTAGCGATAAAAAATTATGGCAGAAGTTGTAGAAAACTAAAAAATCAACTTGCTCGTGTCAAAACATGGCTCTCCTATAATGTCATTGGGATAGAACAATTTTGTAATATCATCATCTTCATCTAGCAGCCTTCTTTCTGTTTTATAAAAGAAACGAAAAAGAAGAAAGAAACAAAAACTTCCGCAGATATTGCTCATCAAACATGCTTTCCCTTTTTTTTTTAAGACCCTAACATCTATTAATGCTTAAAAGGTACCTACTATATTACAATCAGGGTGGAGCCTAATACGACTAGGGGAAGACTCCATTCGAGTGCGCCTTATGTTAGGAGGTCCGATCTTCCCTGGTTGGCATGTGTAGATCTCATGCTTGCTTGATGAGCCTGCTTCTGTCAACTATATGCTTCCTGCATCACTACTGCCAACTGTTTCTACGTGTACAGTAAGAATCGAACCCTCAATCTCGCAATTAAAAGTACAACGCCTTAATTATCAGGGCATGACTCAGATTCCTTACTTTGCCATTCTGACAGTTTTGGGAAAGATTGTAATTTCGTTTCAAAATGTTATTCTTGTTAGTTGAGGATGTGACTTTCTTCTTCACTTGATTATGGGTGATTGACGATATTTGAGGAAGAGTTCAAGCCTTCAAAGCCTACGAGACAAGTCAAAATAGTACACTTGTAGAAAATGGTCCATGTACTAATTTTCATATTGCCATTGTTTATCAAATCGGTCACATACCTGTCAACGTTCAATTAATTATACTTGACTTTTATAATCAAAGTTCAAGAACTACACCACTACAACAAAAAGGGATAATAATACACATTTTTATGTACCAATAAATAGATTTATTAGGATACTTAGACAATAAGACACAATCAAAAAGTGTTCTCTATTCTCTGATCACAATAGATGTATAAGACACTTAAGAGTGTCCTATTAATGATACACTTGATAAGTATACTACTCCCTCCGTCCCATAATTATTGTCCAGTTTTACTAAAATGAAAAATTTTATTTTTAGTCAAACTTAACTATATTTTACCTTGAATAACCGGATATACCCCTACATAAGTAATTGTTTAACCACAAAGATTTTATAGATAATGTTTTTTACTAAGGGCAAATGTGTAACTTGATCCATAAAAAGTCAAATTGGACAATAATTTTGGGACAAAATTTTTTAGGCAAAGTGGACAATAATTATGGGACGGAGGGAGTATAAACGTGCGGGACACTTGAGCAAATAAGACACTTGGAAATGTCTCAATAAGAGCAATACTATTAAGACAATTTAAAGTGTCCTAAAAAGCGTTATACTGTTAGAACATTTTAATTGTTTCAATAAATCAACCCCTTAATGATACACTTGATAAATGTATCATAAACACGTGGGACACTTGAGCAAATGAGACACTTAAAATGTCCCAATAAGTAGACTACTATTAGGACACTTTAAAGTGTCGCAAAAAAGTGTTATAATATTAGAACATTTTAAAGTGTTTCAATAGATATAGAGCTATTGAAAAATTTTGGAGTGACCTAATAAATTTTCTTGGAATATATATAATAAATTTAAACCATAATTTAAATTTGAGCCAAGAGAAAATGTAATTACTTTTATAATTCAAAAATTCATGACATAAAAATTGATAAAAAGTATCAATTCACAAATCTAATATGTCTTTCAAATTGTACACTAATATGTATGATTACAAATAGAATACTATGCCTAGTTTCTAAGGCTTCCTGTAATAGAGATACTATAAAGTGACTGATTCAAGTTAAGTGTATTGAATCATTGGTTTTGCAACTAGTAGCTTTTAAGTGTCCTATTACAATACTATGCCTAGTTAGAATACTCATATTAATAGTTGCATTGAATCATTGATTTCCTTCCTTGTACACCCATATTTTGAACCTCTTCTCCATTTCAATGGAGCTCCTAAAAATACAATTATAAGATCTTTCGTCAATATTATGAATTTAATACTAACATTTGGACATTAAAACATGGCAATTCTCTGCCTAACTCTGCTCAATGTTTGGAGAATGATAGGCATGAAAATAAAAAACACATTTACCAAATAAATAAATAAATAAAAGTACAAAAGAGTTTATCATGCTAGTGTAGAGCTTCTTTTAATCATTTTGGGTTTAATTATTCATAACTCCTACCAAATAATAATAATAATAATAATAATAATAATAATAATAATAATAATAATAATAATAATAATAGAAGCGGAAGATAATCAATTTGCTCCACCTCGTCACACAAGCTCAGTCACATAAAAGCGGAAGATAATCAAGAGATTAGTACCTCTTAATAGGCTACATCCAACGGTAGTGTACGGGGCCACCTAAATTTGCTTCACTAGCAAGGTGCACCATAACATCGAAGAAAGATGGCGGGAACAGATTCTCTAATTGGCGCAGTACTAAGCAATTTCTTCCTCCATTCGGGATAAATCTCGAGGCCTGAGAACTTTTGAACATAGTTCCGTATAGTACCTACTCAACTTTATCAGAGGAGCACGTACTGATTTTGGCAATGTGTTCCTTATCGATATAGGCAGGAGCTGGTGCATCATGATATGATAGTCATGGCCAGAAACTCTTGGTGGTTTTAATTGCACACACCGTGAAATATTGGATGCATAACCATCAGGGACTTTCACCCTCTTTAGAGTTTTAAAAAACATCTCTTTCTCCTTCTTTTCCAGAACAAAGCAAGCATGAGGTAGATGAAATTTATTTGATCCATCCCCAACTTCAATAGGGTGAAGATCTTTCCGAATCCCCATCTTTTTTAAATCGCGCCTTGACTTCAGGTGATCCTTACTTTTTCCTATATTCAACAATGTGCCTATGGCACTTTCACAAACATTCTTTGTAATGTGCGTGACGTCAAGATTATGATGTCAAGTTTTTTTTTTTAAAAAAAAAAATCACTTTGATTTATATATATTTCCATACATTCAAAAAAATTTGTAATAGTACACTTTTAAATGTCATATTAAATATTGTAATAGAACACTATAAAGTGACTAATTCATGTTATACTTTAATACACTTTTAAGTGTACTATTAGATAACTTAATAGGACACAAAATTTAATTAAACACTTAATAATTGTGTATTATTAAGTTAAGTACACTTTCTCAAATTTTAATGAGACACTTTTCTATAAAATTTCCTATTATATGATAATAGGACACTTTTGAAGAAAAGTGTCCCATAATAAGGGTATTAATAGACCTTTCTGTTGTAGTGCACCTTGCATACGTTCAACCGAATTAAAGCGATCTACATCCCTCTTGGAGTGCTCGTTCAGAGGAAAATTTTTCATTTCCATTTCAAATCTTTTTTCTCTCTCTTTTTTTTTTTTTTTGTGTGTGTTGACAATAAGGACTCCTTTTTTTCATTTTTCTAAGAGTAATATTTTTCAAGAGCAGACAATTCAAGTTCCATTGTTTCAAATTTTAATTTCATATATCTAAAAAGTTAATTGACCCTTTTAATATTAGTTTCTCCTCCACTCAAGAGTGGTTTGCTTTGCACTATTCCCTTATAAGTTGGAACTCGGTCTTGATGTGATGATGTCCATCTGTTCTTATATCCTTAATTTTGTTCCTCCCCGTTTTCTCTTAGGGCTGATATTTGGTATGAATATGATAATGGGTTTGGTAAATAATTAATACAGAATCACATTAACGGCAACGCGTGAGAGTATCTTTTTCAAGGTGCCGGGTTCTCCGTCGACCAAACGAAACTGTTAAGACACAAATTTCTACTCACCTTTTTGTAAACTTTAAATTAATATCTCTCTTTTCCTTAGCAAAATCCCTAATTTATGGTAGTACTGATCGATTCTCATCATTGTTCAAATTATACATGTATCATGTAAATGTAATTTTTTTCTTTTTAATTTTAATGAACTCAGACGCAAAGATTGGGTGCGTAAGCCTTTTGTAAGTCCTGGTGATGTGCCACTCTTTTTTTTTCCCTTTCTTTTCTCATTCGAAAAACAAGATTGATAATTGTGTTAAGTGTTACTGTGTTAGGCCTTTTATTGTTGTACAGTTCTTTATATTTTCAATACACATTATTATACCCACAATACAAAAATCACACACTAAGAATATAATTCACAGGGACGCATCACTACAGTGGCGGATAAAAATATAATAAGACTACAAAGAGGAGGTAAGAAAGAAATGTTGAATGAAGGTAGTATATATAGTGCGATCAAAACTAATACTTCTCTTCTTCTTCTTCTTCAAAAAAAAAAAAAAAACTAATACTTCTTCCATTCCTAAATTATTATCCAGTTTGAAATTTCATTTGTAATATAATTTGAACTAAAAATAAAATTCAAACCGGACAATAATTTTAGTATGGTGAGAGTAAAAGAGATAATAGTGTTTTATTTATCATCTAGTTCATGCAATCTTGATGTGTTTCTTACCCTATATATTATTGGCAAAGGATGAAACACCATCTACTTTCTAGTACAGTATGATTTTAGGACTTTTGAGGAAAAGTGGAACATTAAAATATCTTTCATCAAGGAATTTGCCAATTAAAACACCAAATGGAAAAGAGCCAGCGAGATAGATTTTGGCATTTAAGTAGAGTCAAGGTACTCGTAAGGAAAGATATATACATGCTAATTGCTAGATGCCAAATGGCAACAGAAAAACTATTCAACACACAAATTAATATAGTTTGATGAAAGTTTGGCTTGGTAAGGAAAGAAAATTATGGATTCACGGCATATTCGTAAGTTTATTAAGAGCCAATTGAACATTGCCAAATTGGTGCAATGCTACCAAGACATAACCATCCAAGCCAGCTCGAGATCACAAAAACTTAGGATTACTTATGGATGATCTAACCCACAAGAATCCTGATTGGGAATTGCTTGATTACATTCATAGCCACATTTCTGATGATTCAAAGTGCATTAAACTTAAGTACTTGCTATGTCGACGTCTTTGATTCTGAGGGAAGAAAAAAATAATTTATATATCTACTTTGAAAGAGCTATGGAGACATTGAATACTTGGATCAAATGAAATTCCCATCTCAGGTCTTGAAAGAGCTATGGAGACATTGAATGTATAACTCGATCATCGTCTGGAAGCAGAAATAATGTAACTGACTAACATACAATCATATATGATGAAGAAACATCCTGTAAAGCGATAAAAAAAACTTTGGAAGGTTAAGAGAGATGCCTGTAATTTGCGCAATGGAGCGAAGTATATGACCTTAAAACATACCCATCCAAGATTTACCATGCCGAAACAGTTTGGTGGATCACCCTTATAATTTGGACTAACTTCTTATTAGTACTCAGCTAACATGCTGATCATGGGGAATCAGAACTGAAAATTTACAGTGACAAAATTAAGATAAGCTAAAGCAGTCGCAGGGCAACTCTCCTTTGGCATGTAAAATATATAGAGCAGTTTAAAGGGAGATATACAAGCCCTTCCGGAATCGTCATTAATTTCATGCCAATAGAGAGTAGCCCTAAGACTGTTTTGCTTACACATGAAGATGTAGATCCAGTCTGCATTTTTCCTGGTTGATTTACAGTGGGATTTATAAGCTGTTTTGCAACATCTGATGCTGCTGTTTGTTTTGAGGAAACTGAAACCTCTGCATGCCTTATAAACAAGGGGGAAAATGAAAAAAAATTCCGTTTCTCAGATTTAGCTGCGAGTGGAATAAACCATTGCGGGAATCAGCATATCCAATTTTTGTGCTCCGTATCCTATCAACAAAAAAGCTGCAGGCAGCTTTATTTTTTGCCTTTTCTCTGAGTGAGATTATTGAAGCTTTCCGAAATAATCCAGTCCTTTATCTTCCGAATTTCCAACGTACGTAGTCAAATTTCCGTATGTGTAAGTAGATTTGTCTTCTGCATTGGTCCATGAACTCCTAATTAATTAAACTTGTTATAGCTGAGAGTTGAGATGCAGAAAAAAGTAGTTGAAAGCAGATTCTTTCCCTGATTTTATTGTTTCCCTACTTTGTCAATGTACCATACCGCATATACTCAGTTATATTCGTTCATTGTACTTCTACTTTTTCGATTTTTATTTTTCCAATTTAATTGCTTGGTCAGTGACCGAAATGCTTATTTCATATCTCATGATGAAATCTGGTAACAGCTTATCACCTTACATGATGAGTATTTATGAAATCGGCACGCCGCTTGATGCAAGAAAGCAAAGCCATCTCACGGGGGGAAAAAAAACTCTCAGGAGAGCCACAAATTGTAAATGGTCATATATTCTATACCAGAGTTTAAAGTTACAACATCCAACTTTAGGTTCAGTAACCAGTCTAAGCATTTTTCTTTACTTTTTAAGGGGTATAGAGGATTACAAAAAAAAAAAGGTCCTAAGTTACCATGTATACATGATATCTTCTACTACTGCTTCTTCATCCCCTTTGAATTCCTTTGCGCAAGAATTCTCTGCCCCATGTACCTGCATTTTCCGATCATGAAACCAAAAAAATGTGCATATAAAAGCATAACCAATATGAGAATGATAACACTGATAATTTTGATGATGAAATTACCTTCCAAGCATCATGACAGTGGCTTGAGGATTAGTTCCAGGGGACTCATAAAACGTAGAACCATCGATAACCCGCAACGAATCGACCCCGATAACTCTGTAGTTGGAATCCACAACCTTGCCAACTTGACATCCACCGTGGTAATGCCAGATGGTCATCACAGTGTCCTCGCAATAATGCTCCATTGAGAAGGCAGCCGTGATCCTTTTCCGTCTCAAGTTCACAGGGAAAGTCAGCATCGAGTTTATCAGTGCCTGAACCGGAGTCAAAGGGTATCTAAAACTCGTGAAAGATAATGAGTTTATAATCCTTCTGATCGTTTCCATTCCCTGAACACATCTTTCCAGGTCCCTTGGGTCTTTGAAATAGTTAAATGTAACAACCGGGTTGTCATTCGGGTTGGTGCTGTACAGCTCCAGGTGACCCGTGGAGTAAGGACCCGTTACTTTCTCAAGTATAATTCCGGATCTTCTAGTTGCATCATACAGGTTCCCGATTTCAATAGCTTCTGCTTCATCTGGACCCGATATATCGTTGGTTTGGTTGCTTCGTACGGTGTAAGGCTCGCTAGTCTGCATTTCCATAATAAATAAAAAAAAAACGAATTCTCAATCTGACGAAAAAATTCATTTCTAAAAAAGAACTCTGGAAATGTAATGTAACCTGATTTGTAATCTTTTGAAACTGTTGATTGAGGCCATGGACCCAATCAAAACCCACGGGTCCACTGGCGCCTTCAATGTAGCACCCGAAATCGGTAATTCCCACCACTTGAATCAGGGAAGTCTCAACGGGTCGGGGCGAAGGAACAACAATGGCGTTCATTGGGTTGTCAGCCATTCCCTGACCAACCTGAGGCTGATCCAACACTACTTTGATGTTGTGGGCTCGAAGGTGTTGGGCCGGACCAATCCCACTCAGCATCAGAATTTGTGGGCTTCCAAGCGCCCCAGCTGTGAGTATGATCTCATTCATAGCACCTCTGTACAATGACGCCACGTGCCTCCGTCCGTACGAATCAGTGAAGACTACTCCATTCGCCTTTGGTCTCCCCAGGCCTGGCCCAACCCAACATTAACCACAGTTAAACATTAACAGTAAAAGTAAAAAACAACACGCGTTTAAAAAAAAATTCACTTGCCTTGGGGTCTGAACAAGATTTGTTGAACGGTGGCGTGAAGGTAGACGGTGATACTTTTCGGGTCGGCGTATTCGAGTAAATCCGCGGCGGTGTGTCGATATCCGTTCTGATCGAAAATAGTGCCGCCGACTTTAGTCCCCCGGTGATGCTCGTAGGTGAAGTAATTGTAAGGGAATTGACCGCTTTCGAGCAACCCATTCCTCAACGCAGATTGCCAACCACCCACCACCGGCTCGAAAACCACCTTGTTTTCCACCCATTCGTACGACTCGTTGGCCAGCTTCTGGTCCCACCCGGCTCTGGCCACGTACTCGGTGCTCGCCCGGGAGTAGAACCCGGCGTTTATAGCCGTCCCGCCGCCCAAGACGCGACCCCGGTGGTTGATGACGCCGTCGGTGGAAACGAATTGCTGCGCCGGCGAGGAGGGAGACGTGTCGGCTAGATTGGCGGCGAAACCAGTTAGGTCGGTTATGTTAGGATCGGCGTAAGGCAACCCACCCCTCTCCAGCACCAGCACTGTGGCTCCCTGAGATAGGGTCGCCGCCAGAGCGCATCCCGATGTTCCGCCGCCGATCACGATGTAGTCGTAGAAGACCAGCGGCGGAGCCAGGGTGGCATCTTTGGCGAACGTACGGTATGGAGCTGCAAAATTAATTAAGCAATTTTTTTTGATGAATGAATGAATGTATCAGGTTAATTAAAATTAAACGATTATGGATCGGGGAAAGAGATAGAACCTGGTTCGGAGAAAGAAGAGGAAATAAGGGAGAGAACTCCAAAGAGGGTGGCAAGGATGGAAATCCACCGTCCTGTACTCATACTACACACAGCAGTTTTTATGCATCCGACACTTTAATTGTGTGATCAAACCGCAGAAACAAAAAGAAATTAAAAGGTAGCTGATTTCAGATGTTTTAAAAAAAAAGCAACATAAACTCTGTATGTGCACAATACCAACTTCTTAGCTAACCTTTCGTTTTAATAATCACCGAATATATTTATACAAATATGAAGGTATGAGGAAACTGAGGGAAGATCTACATTTCTTTTGTGGGGGTGCAAAGATGTTGTTGATTATGGTATTTTTGTCGGAGAATCCTACGGGGGTTTTTGGCTTTTCTAGTTGAGCAATCCAACTTTCCCCCTCCCTCCCCCGCCCTAATTGGTTTCCTCTGTTGTTTTAGCTTCCCAATCGGCCTTTCCTTCTAATTTGAGGTAAACAGAAAGAAAGCTTTCCTACGTATCCTGAATTCCTGATTCCGGAGGTTACTTTTGTCAGTTTGTGCGACTAATTTTACTCGAAAATCTGCTCTTTTGCATGGTCATATTTATTATAAAATTATAGGATTCACGCACACGCATTCCCACTGTGTAGTACAAGTGCCTCCTCCCAAACCTCAATTGTACTTCTTTCGGACCAAGTATTCATCATATCATTTTATCATTCCTGCTTACTTTGTCCCCTGCAGTATCAATGTATATACTGTTATAATTAAGCAACTAGATGCTTGGCCGCCCCCTATTTTTTAAGTTGTTAACGGAAAAAAAAAAAAAACAATCATGCATTTTCCTTATTATAATATGTATAATAATAGTATAGAATCACAAGACAGTAACGGTTATAAAAAAACATATCAAACCCTTTTAATATATATAATATTAAACCATTTTAATGTAATCATATCATCCACATATCCATTTGGAGAAAACTCCCAATGCAATTTCATCCGGGCGGCCACTTGAAAAGAAGGATGAAAGTCATCAAAATTGGAGAATTAATCTTTCTTTTCTTTGGCAATTTTGGTTATTGGTTTTGATAGTATAAGGATTCATTAAGCTAAGAAGGAATGGTAGGTTCTGTTGTTAAATAAGAGTCCGTATCCAGTGCACCCGAGTATATCGTATACCCCCACCAAATACATGCACTACACGCGCTTAATATTTTTCACATTTACATTAAATGCACAAACAAAATTGTTTTCATCCATTTTACTGTTTTCATCCTCACGCACAAACACACACAATTGTTGGTTATCCATAATTTATCCACAAGTTGTAAACTGGTTATCCAGAAGGGGTAAACTGGTTATCCAGAAGGTGTAAACTGGTTATCCACAACTTGTAAACTGGTTATCCAGAGGTAAAGAAGCAAACGACATGTTACTTGGGGGGCTTCGCCCCCTCCCCCCATGATAAACTAAACGACTCTTGCGGCTACCGGAATCGCAGGTCACCAACCTGCCCCGGCTGCGCCGCCCCGCCGAACACGCCAATTTAGCTAAGGTAATCCTTTTTTTCGTGTGTGTGTAGGGAGAGTGTGTTATTGCGTTAAGAGGGGACACAAATTACTTGTATAAATTCCCCCGTGATAAACTAAACGACCCGGCTGCGCCGCCCCCCCTACCGAACACTTTCATAAATAGTATTTAATTGAATGAGGGGCATTTTGCCAAATGATGGAGAACAAAAAATGAATTAGGGGCAGTTTGCCAAATGATGGAAATAAGGTACGTTCAATTGTGTATAACTAATTATCCATATTGTCAATCTTAGTTATCCAACTGTGTATAACTAATTATCCATATTGCCAACACTGGTTATCCACATTGTGAACACTGGTTGTCCATAGTATGTAGCTAGTTATCCATAGTGTGCACACTGGTTATCCAGCTATGTTTAACTAGTTATTCATAGTGTGCATACTGGTTATCCAGCTATATTTAACTAGTTATCCATAGTGTGCACACTGGTTATCCACAGAAGGTTTAAAAAAAAAAGCTGAATTATTTAGCGAGCTCACACTATTCTAAGAGAGTAAAGTACACCCGCAGGGGATACACGGTGTCCCCGGTTGTACCAGATAATTTGCCGTTAAATAATATGTTAGTTCCCCATTTGAACTTAGAATAGGTTATTGGTGATTGGCTAACCACAAAAAAAAGTGTACTACAATATAGGTTACTCGTAACATTTAATTTATTTTTCATTTTTATTAGTGGTTTCTACGTGGGAGTTGTTGTTTCTCCATATTGGTGCAACAACTCGAGTATTATTCGACGGCATTTTAAGTTTTTGTTTCATATTCTTTATTTTAAACAAAATTGATAGACTCAATCATAGAGCTACGTGCCCGTACCAAAATTTGATCAATATCTGATCATCAATTTCCAAAACAGTTTAATAAATTTGAAGAAAAAAAATCACATAATTATGCGTGATTCTCTGCAAATCATAGAAATTTACAATGCATGCAATATTGCAATCTAATGGAATCTCTGGCTTATAATAAGTTTGCATCAGGAAATTGCAACCTTACTTTTTAACAAATAGTAAGCACTGCACTTTCATCTGTGAAGATATTTCTAGGAACATTTCATTTCTCCACATTACGATTCATGCAAAAGACTTCAGCTTTCAGGCCCATCTTGGAACCAATATGCCACTTCTTATCATGGTTAATTCGAGAAGAACTGCCAAAACAAAGCATTAATATTCAAAAACCAATCGAAAAGTGCATGTTTGAAATCAATAACAAAATGTCCAAATATGAATAATATTAAAAAATTCTCTTGTTTTGGTATGTACCTGAATTGAGCAAGATATCATGGGCCAACAATAATTCAAAGACTAAAGTACTTTTCAAACAATTCACACATAAAATCACCATAGGCACCATAGGAACTAACCCTTCCTTTAAATATGTATAATTTATCTAAGTAAAGGTGTATTTAGCTTACCATTTGATTATATCATTCAGGAGCACTACAAACTAACAAAAATTAGCATTATAATTCAGAAAATTAAGAGATCATAACTCAGTAGAGTTCTCTTAACGTTCTCATCAAGAATATTTCCTTCTTTCCTTCAACATACCACGTAAGTTAGTAATCTAAATACACGCCTCCTATTAGCTAGTACTCTTGCACATCCAATCGATATTTCAATTTCAGAGATTATTTGTTTGAACTAAAAATTAAAAAGTGATTTTAAATGATTCAAAATATACATTGATAGTAAGAAACTAACTTGCATGTCATAATGACGAGTGATTTGCAGACGATATTTTGGTCCATTTGTAGTCTCAAACACAATAAGCATGCCCATAGAAAATTTTACATTCTTATGAATCAAAAGCCTAGTAAATTTTTCCTCCCCTTCCTGGAAATGAACAATTTCAGCATTTTGTTAATCATTCATTTCTCAAAACTAAAACTTCATGATCAAAATATAATGATAGTAAATTGCAGGCGTAAAGAAAAACAAAGGAAAAAAAAAAAGAAAAAGAAGTCCATGAACACTTTCAAAGGTGAAGGCTGGCTAACCTTAATTAATGCTTTGTTTGTTAGGATTTTTTGATGGTATTTTTAAAATATTTAAATAATAAATGTCTTATCCCAGTATACTTCTTTTCATTTTCAATACAATTTTTTATATTTCAAATACAAAAAACACCTAAAAGCACGCACTAAAAAAATAAAACAAACATACTCTTAGAAGCGCACATGAGCCAAAAAGGGCGGCGAAGAAAGAATTGATCTGGGCGAGTGAGAGTGTGAAGAAAAAGCCTCCCCAATGAACATCAAACATTTTCAATCCTTAAGCAATTGTGTTCCTTCTGCAATTAAAGCACCGCGAGATATCCGTACATCTGACACGATTGTAGACGACTTGTGATTAATTTCTTACCTCACACGATTGTAGACCTTCAACATCTTCAGGTAGCCTCATTGCAGCAAGATCACCATATGTGTAGGCACTTCGAAAGCTAAAAATCGTTGAAACCACAAACTGATGGCAGTGTGCTTCTTTTATTAAATCAAATATAATTTTTCTTCAAAATAATATGTTTTACATGGTAGCATAAAGTTTAACCAATTAAAGTGTCAACGTTTTAATAAAAGTCAAAAAATTGATTGTTTATATAGAAAAGTGGTCGCGTCGACTTTTCTGTCGACCTACCAAAATCGACGAAAACGTCAACGAAATCCATAACATATTATTTTTTATTATTTTTTATATTTTGTTTATTCTTTCATGGATTTTAAGCATTAAATTTATAGATTCGATTTAGAATATATAAAATTTTTACTATTTGCATAAGTTTTTTTGTCCACTTATTTGTCTTTTCAACAAATTTAGCGCGGACGAATCACGAGAAAAGTCAACGAAAACTAAATTCTATTATGTATAATGATTTTAAAGAATTATACATTATAGTATAAACTTTAACCAATCAAAATGTTAGCATTTTAATAAAAAAAAAAAAAAAATTGATTGTTTATATAGAAAAGTGGTCGCGTTGACGTTTCCGTTGACCTACCAAGGTCGACAAAAATGTCGTCGAAATCCATAACATATTATTTGTTTTTATCATTTTTTATATTTTATTTATTTTTTTATGGTTTTTAAGCATTAAATTTATAGTTTCAATTCATAATATAATTTTTTTTTTTACTATTTCCATAGTTTTTTCGTCCACTTATTTGTGTTTTCAACAAATTTAACGAGTACGAATCACGAAAAAAGTCAACAAAAACTAAACTCTATGATTTACAAGAATTATAGGTTAATTGGTCCAATACAGGTGGTAGATATAGATTCCCCAGTAGCCTAGCCTACAAAATATATGTTAATTGTGTCGTAAAAATAACATTTTGAGACTCGATGCAAAATTTAAATTCATCAATTAGCAATGCAATTACAATTACCATGAAGTAAACCTAGCTACCAAACCTAAAGGCCATGCGCCGTTGCGCTCATCTAAAAAAAATGACCATAGGATTGAACCCGAAATGCAGCAATTTAATCCCTTCTCTTCTACATCAGTAGAATTAAATAGAAAAAGGGAAAGTTCTAAACAAATTTTCTCAAATCTGTGATGAATCTCGAGATGCATAGTTTGTGTGGGAAAGCTAGCACTATCAAGCACCAGACATATGTTTCTTCTAGCTTTGAGGTGTGATTGGATATTCTTCAATAGTATCAGCCCAGGGGCCTCTAGAAGCTTCTCCAAAAATGGGCCTGCAACATTCCAAGACCAAACTGATACATTTAGGCCCACTTCCCATCCCAAGCATCCACACCTTGTCACCTTTCTTGATTCTCCCCTTGGCTTCCATATAAGCTAATTCGTACCACAACGAAGAAGAAGATTGATTTCCAAACCGGTGCAACGTCATCAAAGCAGGCTCCATATCTACTTCCCCGAGTTTCAAACCCTTTGAAATCTCCTTTATAACCGGTTTCCCAGAAGTTGGCAAGCAGAAATGTTGAATCACCGACTTGAAATCAGGCACGTAAACCTCTGTAGACTTGTCCACGAATTTCTTCCGGAAAATGGAGACAGCATACCAAATCTGTTCGGTGACCGGCAGTATATTAGCACCGAGGATTGCAATATTAGACCGGAGAGTATCTCCGGCAACTTGCAACAAATCCCTTCTCAGAGTAAACCCGGTGATTCCGCTGGAATCTTCTTCCCTGATTGCAGAATAATAGCCCTTGTCTTCAAAAGCTCTTTGGGTTCTTTGGGTCATAATTAGTTTATATTTGGATTCCCATTTGGCTTGAATTCTGTTGGTCAACAGGATGGCGGCGCCACCCATACGGAAAAGGCAATTTAGGACCATCATGGGTCGGTCTTTTCCCGGGTACCACCCGGTGGATAGGACCTCTGTACTGAGAATTACAGCGTTGGAATTCCGGTGAGTTTTGAGGATGTTTTGGGCCATGTCAATGGCTAATGCACTGGCACTGCAACCCATCCCGGTGAGATTGAAGCTCTTGACATCTTCCCTCATGGAGAATTTGTTGATGATGATGGAAGATAGCGATGGAACAGGACAAAATCCGCTGCAATTGACAATCAAAATGTCTATATCCTTGGGGCAGAGTTTTGCTCTGGATAGTAAGTCTTCAAAGATAGGGAAAAGTACTAAGTGGACTTCATCCAAGGCATCTTCAAGGCCTGATTTTGGAGGAATGTAATGAAGGGATGGAGGAAGATAGGTTTGCTCCCCTTGTCCGGAATGAGTCAGGACTTTATCAATGAAAGCAACACTTGGTTTGTCCAAGAAATCAAACAGTCGAACATGTTCAAGGTAGGCAGGGGAAGATATCCTGCAGAAACTAGGTGGCTTCAAGCATGCGAAATCGACAAGGTACACTGGTGAAGAAGGCCTTGAGAGCTTAAATTCGTAGATTAAGAAAGTGAGGAAACAACAAATGGAAAAGATGTGGAATGGGACGTCCCAGTGTTGAATGATGAACAACATTTGCGCAATGGACAAGACCAAAAGAACTAAAAACTTCATCGGCTCCATTAGTGATGGACAATACAGGGAGCTAGGCTAGCTTGCTGGAATTTGGTAGAAGTAATCTATCTCAACGTGGAATCAGAAACGTTTCGTGGTGTTTCTTCCAATAAGGATATCGGAAAGCTCTAGGCTGATGTTCACTGAGAGAAGTACTATATATATAAAGCGCAAGCGCAGGTTTTACTGTTCTAACCAGATGATTGCTACAACTACAGGCAATAATAAATGAGGCCCTCCTGAATCACTATGCAAAATTAATGCACGGAGATTAGGTGTACGACACACATGCTGAAAATTGATGAACCATGTCGAATTAATTCTTGGGTTGGGAAGTCAAAATTGATTGCGTGCAAGTTGAGGGAAGACTTTTTTTTGATACAGCAGCTTGGATACTGTTTTCAGTCAAACTGATCTGGAGGTCTGATCCGCCATGGATTATGTGTTGGCTTTGATTGTAGGACGTTAATAATGAAGGAGAAACCCAATAATAAAAATAAATAAATAAATAATATACAATTAATCTCCTATTCAAATTCAAACTGCTCAAGCTTCATTGTGATTTCCCAATCTTTGACTGAAAAAGAGGATAATGTGGTGTGTGTAACATGATGACTTGATACGTTTACTTGCAGGACTGAATGTTGATGTGTCATATTGAGATAGCCTTGAAATGAGATTATGGGAGAATATAACTTGACAATGTCAGCCCCATGCATGAATACCTGTTGTTGAATTTGAATTTATCGGCTGGCAGAATGATTATTGAATGAAGTCTCATAATGTCATATCCCAACTTAATGCGCGCCATTCATTTCCAAAAAGTCAAACTCTCTCAAAGGCTGAAATGCTCCTCTAAGTTGGAGCCCTTCGTGTACAGTTCTAGACTCTACGAATATTGCACACACTATATTAAACTAACGAACAAAGCCCTTTATTCAACTATTCTTTTCATTTTACTATTGTCGACGTGTTGGGGCGTTGCTCGTGTGAGATATATGTACCACTTAGTTTAAAAATGAAAATCCAAAATAAAACACAGACACTAAACACTTGATAATGGTAGCAATATTGCTACAGCGGGTGAACTATTGAAAGCCCAGTAAATTGAGTTATCCTCGTATCTTTTGCTCATAAGTAAGTATACCTATGTAATATGTATGGGTTTGACTCTTTCTTTTAGATCAACCAATCCATATGAATTTTTGAATTATCAGACGGATAATTTTTGAATTTTTGTCTCTGTCTATTAGATCAACCAATAAATAAATTGACCCCGGGTCTGGAACATTAAAGTTTACAGATGGGAGTTGCATAAGTAGCTTGGAGCATTTAGATGAAGTCTGGAAGCGGAGTTCTTCGACTACGAACCACCTTTGCATCATTAATTCATGACCCAAAACAAGTATAGAAAATATTTTTTTGCAAAAAAAAAAAAAAGAAAAAAAAAGAAAGAAAAAAAGTACTCCTGTGTCCCATAATTATTGTTCAATTTGGGTTTTTATTTTTAGTTCAGATTGTATTAAAAGTTAAATTTCAAACTGGACAATAATTTTAGGACAGAGCTGAGTATTCGATTCCGTGCAGCTTTAAGAAGGACAAATATTTTATAGGCACTCTATTTTGTTTTGGGCCTTTTGGTTTCGGCCAATTATTTTCCCGCGTCTAAGTTAATCACTTTAATTTTTAACGACGAAGAAGAGAAAAAGAACACATTGAAGCCTTTAAGGGAAAAAAAAAAAAGAAAAGAAAAAACCTACTCTAACGCAATTCACTAAAGAGGGGAACGCCAACATTATTATTGTGTTCCAGTCACAATTTTAATATCATCTAATTAGTTTGATCAATTATTGAATTAATTTTTTAGAATTGCTCTGGTCCTACACTTTTAATACAGTGGTGAAAAAACAAAAAAATAAAATAAAATAAAAAACCGCTCCATCCACATTCCTAAACTCGAAATGCGAATATCGAGACCATAATTCTAGTGCATAGATTTGAAGGGCTTCACAATTCAGGATGTAATACCATTGATGACCAATTTTTGACTATATCGCCGAATAAACCATCTGCCACTCATTATTTTCAAGGACCAAATTTGTTGTGTTACCATTCAAGCTAAATGGAGATGCAAATCCATTGAAGGCCTCTCATTCCGGGATGGCTCATGATGATTTAGCACTAGCACGTGAGGAATACCAACAATTTCTTACTCTTGAGCTTCTTAGACTCACAAAGTCTAATTGGATTTGCCCTATCTTTTATGTTAATGAGATACTAATATTATGTCCCCGCGTTACGCAACTATATTTAATTTTTAATGTGTTATAGTTTAAATAAATTTAAGTCAATTTTAAGAGAAAAAAAATGCACAAAACTCTTCGTATTAACTGCAATAAAATAAAAATTAGCAAACTTCAATGTTATTATGTTTAAGTTCAAAATGTCACCCGTTTGTTATGAACATTTCATAAGTTTATTTTCAAATTATAAATCTATATACTATACGAAATCATAACAGTTGATTTTATTCATTTTCTAATATCAAACAAATGTTTTAATAAGTTTTAAAGGGCATATATTGAAACATGGATGCAGGTTTGAAAATTAATTTGATGCATTTGTACTTAAGCTATATTTGTTCAATCTGTTCAATGGAAAAATTTAACACATTATATTTGAGATAAGTACTTAAAAAATTAAATGAAATTGTATTATATATAATGAGAAACAAATTCTAGTTCAAAAGTGTCTCGTAGGCCGTAGTGAAAATTTCACGTAATGTTTGATTATTAGCTATATACACGTTTTTAACTTATTTGTTAATCAAGTGTGATCATGATAATCCATTTTATAATAAATATAAAATATTTTTTTGGAACAGATGGAATATATTTTTATGCATAATTTGAATCTAGTAATAGAAATAACGGTTACTTTGTTGATTCAACCATTTTGTTATCTATGGAACCTCTTTGACCAACATATCAATATAAATCCTCTAGTTGTAGTACAGAGATTTATAAAAGGTCAACATCCTCTGTTTTTATTTGGTGCCAAAAAAAGTCAACAACCACAAATCATCACAGGCAAACTTAGAAAGGATTTTAATAAATTGGATAATTGATAATTGATCCCAGCACAACACTTACGGTTTTTTCAACTATTTCACTCCTACTATTTTACACACACACAAACAAATAAAAAAACACTAAGATATCTCCATTATTTTTGTTGATTAATTCAGAATTAGACAGCAACTTCAACCTCTAGATGATACTTTTAAACTCTGAAATACAATATTACCATTGCTCTTTATCATCTTTCTTTATTATCCTTTTAGGTACAAAAAATGAATCATTAATTTTTTGAAATTCTGAAATCAAATATTACCATTACTCTTTATCATCTTTCTTTATTATACTTTTAGCTACAAAAATGCGTCATTAAATTTAATAAACCAATGATCAAGGGACAAAGATACTACAAATCATAATTAAATTTCTTTTAGATGATTTATGAATTTCACACAAATTTACCCACGTGAGAAATCCAAGTAGTAGAATAAATTTTGCAATTACTTTCTCAAACAATTTTACATTTATCTTAGCATATTCTATTTTAAAAAGTTATTGCTATCTTAGTTAACTAATGGGAGATTGAAATGAGATTTCCATAAAAAAATGAAACGGTGAGCAATTATTATGTTTGACAAATATCCATGCCCACTATTTGTTTGCCTTCATTCGTGGAACACTAAGACTTTGTTTGTTTGGTTATGGTATTTTTAAAATATTTAAATAATGATTGTTCTATTTCAGCATATCCTTTTATATTTTTAATACATTTTTTTACATTTTCAATACAAAAAATACCCAAAAATACACATTAAAAAAACGAAACAAACATACCCTAAAAAACTATTCTGATCTCCTTCAAAATTTTCCCGAAATTCGATATATCACTTCCAATGAAACCATGACAACCGTCCATGAGAGGTTGCCGCTGTGGAACGGCCTTACACCCCTCGCCCGCATGATGCGGGTTCGACACCCAGGGAGGGAAATGGGGGCTCATTTAAGCCGTATATAAAAAAATAAAAAAAAAAAGAAAGAAAAGAAAACCATGACATCTGCGCGTAGGTAACAAATATGGCCACTGATATCCTTCAAAATCTTAATATAATATACAATTGATAGGTGAAAAACAACAAACTTTTAAAGGATAAGTTGTAAAAACCCATTATATTCTACCTCTATTAAAAATAGGTCTCGTTTCATTTTTCCCACATGAGAATATGTATTCAACATACACTTCTTCAAATCTCATTTTTGTTCACACTCCCACACATGATCAGATGAGATCAAGATCTAGGCATCTAGCAACTTTTCAAAGAAAAGAGAAGAGAAAAACTAAATCGACACATAACTAAATAAAGATTAGAAATGAAGATATAAGATGCATGAGTTTTACTTCTTGCCGAGAGAGTTGCCATTTAGAACCCAAAAAAAATAAAAAATAAAAAATAAAAGTAGAACAACGGCGGTATCAGAACCATGGAGTAATTTTATCGAATGAAAAACATTTAACTTTTATAGCATATGGATACGAATTATTGAGATGTCCTTAGGGTTGTTCTCGCCCATGTAGTTTATGAAGCCCTGTGCTTTAAAAACTAATCATCACTTGTATATTTTACCATGCCAATAAAAGATTTTGTCTCCCTGCTTCATTGAACAAATATTTATAACGCGTAAAAATCAAGATTAAATGACCATGCTTGTAAATGAACATCGTTGCAATAGGAAATTTTTTTTAATAAATACACGAAGAAAAGAGGTTTAAGGTTATAGTACTTTGTCATCCATACGCATCATCTCACGAAGGCCAACTACATCATGATTGTTCCATCGAGGTCTATCTCATACTCGACACAACTTCACGGAGTTCAACCTTCTTGAAATGGACATGGTGAGCCAGGAGGAAAAAAAGACAGGATACTTGATTTTTTTTTAGTTATTGATTGATGAGGCGAGTGTGTGGTGGATGTAAACACAATTCAACCAGCATTATGTATTTGGTGAGATGAAAAAAAAAACGGAATATTTATTAAAGAATTTACATTAATGCCTTTTTTTCCATTATGTGTCGCCCAATAAAAAGTAAATATTTATTTGATTAATAATAAAAACTGATTGATTTGAAAAACTAATTCAATTTAAGGGAATGATGCCACCACATATTGAATCAAACATTAAACAATTTTAACGATCTTTTGAAATTCATTCATTGCTGAAGGAAGGAATCTTGCATATCGGCCGTTACACAATTTCACGAGGCCGGATTTCGTGGCAAAATTCGTCTAGTATATAAATTATTCCAGTGAAAAATTGTAAATACACGCTGCAATAGGGATATTTAGCCGAAGAGTATCGGTGCCAGCGCCGGAATAATATGTTATACGTCATCTTATTTCAGAAGATTATTTTTTAAGTTGGATAAACTTCATAAACAGATGTGATTCTTACCGCGGGTAAAAAAAATTAATTGTAACTGTAATTTAGAATATTAACCGTTTCACATTATAAATTTACTGTAAACCCAATGAGGATTCTAATGAAGCGACACATGTCTTGGGATAAATTTTATATATATATATATATATATATATTAGTGTTTATCCCAAACGTTGTGCGGGTTATTCAAAATATATATAAGTTTAATAAATTAATGATTATATCATAGTAGCGGCGTAATAATATATACATATATATATATATTATTATTAATGATATAAATACAATTTTGTAATTTTTAATACCAATGTATTTTTGTCATTTCAAGTACATTTAGAATTATTTTCAATATTCAAAATCAACCAATTTAGCTTATCGTCCATTTTTTTTAGTTTTGTTGATTTATGACTTTATATCTTTTAAAAATATTCTCTTAATGTTTTATAATGATCTCTTTGAATATTATTACCCATACCATATCTTTTAAACACTCCCCCTAACAAAAATTTTCTCATTATTTGTTTTGATAAACTTATCTTTATTTTCGCTCTTCTTAAAGATTGTTCGTATATTTTTTTTCTATGATATAGTGTTTACTTTTTTTTTCTTGGTTGCATAGTTTTCACCTTTTTCCCCCTAAATTTGATGATCTCCCTTTAATGATTCATTTCTTTAAATAATTTATAATAATTATTTCATTTTTTACTATCATCTCAATTTTTTTTCGAATTTTCTTATTTTTACTACATAATTTTTTCCTTCATATAATTATTTTGAATTTGTCAATATACTTTTCTTTTACTGTTTGTCTCTCACCAAAACCTACCCGTTTTATATCTTTTAAACTCTACCTCTAACAAAATTTTTTATCATTATATCTTTCATAAAATTATATTTATTTTCCGTATCCCTATATACCATTCGTAACCTTTCTTTGTAAGTTTTGTTAGTATTTTTTTTTTTTGTTTAGAAGTTAGTATTTTGCAACCATTCATTGCTTTTTTAAAATTGAAATTTATGATTATACATATGTTGAAATAAATTGGGTCAATTATTACATTAGTTTTTTATAATATTACGACTTCGTAAAATTAAATGTTGTAATTTATTGGAAAATTACATAATTTTTATCTTGATCCATAACATTACATTTATTAACATTATAATTTTTATACACATAAACTGGGTCAATTATTACATTATATTTTCTTGAATTTTTTTTCCAAAATAAATTATTTAGTAATGTATACATAATTGACACCTCATTGACGTAGTAAATTTATATTGTTTTGAGTTCAATGACTATAATAAAAAACGTAATCAGTTTTACTTTTTTTTCTTATTTAATACTAATTTCTTATTTTTAATTTTCATTTGATGTCCCTTCTATGCGGAGACGTAATCTCATATTATAATATTCTTATATAATTTTTTTATCTAATAGGTAAAATTGTTATTTATAAATTTTACGAATTTATAATTAAAAAATTACCATTAAATGATGGAGTAACGTGGTTGCGACATGTGAATCTGGCTATCTAATTTTTTGCCATGTGGATCACCCTATCTAACTTTATGCCATGTGTTCGATTGAAAACTCTCCTTTAATATATTGGAGATATGTTAGATTAGAACATATTTCGACAAAAAAAAAAAAAAGAGATTAGAATATATAAGAGGAAAGAAAAAAATTGTGATCGACTATAAAACTTTAAATCACTTCATTTATGAACATCCTTCTTCTTAGAACCCAAACCTTGAAAGCCGATGAGAAAGTTAAATTATATTAAATTTATTACTCGCTACGTCCCATAATTATTGTCCAGTTTTACTAAAATGAAAGATTTTATTTTTGGTCAAAGTTAACTATATTTTACCTTAAACAACCAGATATACCCCTACATATGTAATAGTTTAACCACTAAGATTTTATGGATAATGTTTTTTACTAAAGACAGATGTGTAACTTGATCCATAAAAAGTCAAATTGGATAATAATTTCGGGACAAAATTTTTTTGGCAAAGTGGACAACAATTATGGGACGGAGGAAGTATTTTATATCATTTCATAATCTTTTGATGGTATTATTGTTTGACAATTGATTAAGTATTACAAGTTTCACAAAATGCTTGTCTGTTTTTGGAAATTCTCCGTGTATACGTATGTGTCTCCTTAGTAAATTTGACAAGGAAGTAGACGAATATCAATAGATATTATTTTTTTTAATCATTTACACAATTTTTTATGACATTATTATTTGGTAATGAATATAAAAGTCGAAAAATACCAAGACATTGTAGAAATTTCTTATGTCAACTTATTAAGAGGTGGTTGAAACAAAATGCATAACATACATGATGTTAAAGAAAATTGAGCTTTGAAACCGTCCAGTCACATAAACTTATAGCTAGGTTGTGGGTATGACGCATTCCCTATTCCAATAAATCACATATTCAAGTCATACCAGGTTAAGTAAAGAAGTACTATTGATCTCTCTAAAAAAAAAAAAAAACAATGTGCGTGTGACTGAAAGTCTGAAACACCGACTTGGATTGTGGTGTCGACGAAAAAAAAAAAAAAGTCTTGTATGCCCAACCTCCCAAACCAAAAAAAAAATAATAATAAATTAAAAACTCATTTAAATACAAAACTCAATATACTTTCATAAATAACATTTAATTCATTTCTTAAAATTTCTTCTAAAAATTATTTTTACATAATTTTCATTCATTATCATCAGACCATCAAACGCCATCGTAACCACCGCCCACCGCCACCAGAGCACCGCTTGCAGAATTCATGCACACAAATTATGCGTTTTCACTAATGCCTTTGTTCGTGTATAAGACAAGTGCTTTCCTAATCTCATTCATACATGGACAATGATTTGGGTTGCACAAAAAAGTGATATGCTTTCTCAACTTGACTGGAATTTAAATTTTAACCTGGCTCGAGCAGCAAAGCACCACAGCTAACTAAAAGCCCATAAAATAATCATTGGGGACACCGATTATCCAACCGTTGTTTTGTTATTTACTGCTTCCTCTTTTCTAAAATTAAGTGGTCATCCTACACTTTTCACATAGTTTAATAAATTACTATTAAATAATATAATAAAATTATTTAAATATCTTCAACCAACTCCATTAAAAAAATATTAACCAATAGTATTAAATCTTTTCGGGATAATTTTGAAAATTTTGGACAAAAAGTGTATTGAAATGTGAGAACGTCACTTATTTTGGAAGTCGAAGGGAGTAGTTTTTATCTATGTAGAGCCATCAATCACTCCATAGTCCATACCCAAAAAATTACGATTCATTCACATTTTTCATCCCATTCTGCATCGATAAATCCACCACATTTCACTACTTTATATGCATACTAAGCTAAGAAACTGGCTGTTTTTGTGCTGAGAAGATGAGTTGGATCTCACGTTTTTAACACTCCACTTCGAGAGGCCTAACGTACGCACACAAAAGATAGGGAGTGTCAACTAAGGCCATGAGAACAAGTAACACATCAATGGCCCCTAAACACACATTTTTCTTCTCAATAATTGCTCTATTTCTTTCCGGCCTACAAACAATAATATTCGGTTCAAGTTTGGTAACACCAACGCTGCCACCCCTTCCGATTCTTCCGCTACCTTCATATTCCCAACTCAAATGGCAACAGAGGGAAATCATCATGTTTTTCCACTTCGGCGTCAACACTTTCACCGACTCAGAATGGGGGACGGGCCAGGAAAACCCTGCCATATTCAACCCGACGGGCTTAAACGCGGCCCAGTGGGTCGACACCGCAATCCAGGCCGGTGTTTCGCTGGTCATACTCACGGTTAAACACCACGATGGCTTCTGCTTATGGCCTTCCAAATACACCGATCATTCCGTCGTCGGAAGCCCTTGGAAGAACGGCCACGGCGACGTCGTTAAAGAGCTCGTCGACGCGGCGAACTCCCGGAATGTCGACGTGGGATTGTACCTTTCTCCGTGGGATCGCCATGATCCGAGATACGGAGCAGATAAACTCTACAACGAATACTATTTGGCTCAGTTACAAGAACTACTCAAAAAGTAAGATAATTAATCTTCCTTTTTTGTTTAGTACTACTTCCGTCCCCAAATTATTATCCAGAATGGATTTTCAAGTTTAGTACAGATTGAACTAAATGTGAAAATATAATTTAGACAATAATTTTGGGACAGTGTGAATACAAAAATCTCAATTTTACAGTATTTTTTGGTTTTTGATTTGTTTTGTTATGTGGAGAGTAGTTATGGAAGTGTACAGGAGATATGGTTTGATGGAGCAAAAGGAGCGAATGCAAAGAACATGACCTACTACTTTGATGATTGGTTTTCGATGGTGAAGGAATTACAGAGCTCCATTAACATATTCTCCGACGCCGGTCCGGGAGTAAGGTGGGTTGGAAACGAGCAAGGATTTGCAGGAAGTACGTGCTGGTCCACCATCAATCAGACCGATTTATCAATCGGCAATGCCAGCATTGTTAAGTACGTTATCGATTCTCACTCATTACCACATTTTACTCTTCCACTCGAGATAAAGATCCTTTTCTTTTCTTTTCTTTTCTTTTTTTTCTTTTTGGGAAAAGACGTTTTCGGATCGATAAATTATAGGATAGCCGATCACGCGATGGAGATTCCCTAGGAAGATTTTTTTTTTTTTCCTTTTGTCCTTTATGGAGAAAGTTTTTAGTGTGAAGTATTCGTAGTATCATTCTTCTGATTTTTTTCCTAATGTGGAATTGTGAATAATGAAATACTAATTAATTTACTCCATATCACACCCTCATGTGTACTTTCGTGTGGTTTTTTTAATTTAAAAAAGAAAAGAAAATCATACTCAGGATCCTTTTTTTTTTTTTTAACCTTTTTGGTAAAAAGAACCAAAAGAAAGAAAGAGTACTTTGGTGTAAATGTGATGTTAGGGAATTGAGGAGTATAAAATGCATTGAATGTCCCATAATATTTGACTTTATTATTCTTGATGATCGATGCATAGAAAAAAAAAAGAATTTTAACCAGAACGATGAAATGTGGTGAATAATTTGCCACCAGAAAACATTGCCAACAATAATATATGATGAGTTCCTAGTGTTATCACATAAAGATTGGGTGCTTGCCTGTGCGTTTTGCCTGACCTATTTACAACAATATATTTTAAAATTAAATATACAAATGGTAAAATATTTTTTAATTTTAACTCAACTTGTATATTTAAATTTTAGAAATAATAAAAGAATCATTTATTTATATCATTAATGTCTTATTCTATTAATATTAATTGATTGATTATTATAATTAAAAACAAGAAAAATTAACACAATTAAAGATTATAGGAACCGCGTTTTTTTTTTTTCTCTTGGACTATTGTTTTAATAGGATTTATATGTAGATGTAGATTTCAGTGTGTGGTGTAGTAGTGAAGAAACGAAAAATCAAAAGAAGATTAGGACACTGGTCCTAACACTAAGGCACATAGTATAAACATACCAATCACAGAACATGCCTTTTCCTTTTTGGTTATTGCTGTCGTACTTGAAACACTTTTTTGAGTTTGTTGTATTGATGATGGTGGGATTCAATAATGGGTGCAGTTATCTCAACACGGGCGATCCAAGGGGTACGAATTGGATCCCACCCGAATGCGACGTCTCAATTAGAGAAGGTTGGTTTTGGCACAAATCGGAATCCCCCAAGAATCTTACCCACCTCCTCCACATTTACTACAATTCCGTCGGCCGTAATTGCGTTTTACTCCTCAACGTCCCTCCCAACACCACCGGCTTAATCTCCGAAACTGACGTCCACCGCCTCAAAGAGTTTCGGGCCGCATTGGACGGGATCTTTTCCACTAATTTGGCTGAAAATTGCTCCGTTTTAGCCAGCAGCCAACGAGGTGGTAAAGGCGGCAGTTTTGGCCCAGAAAACGTCGTGGACAGTGACCATTTGTGGACCTACTGGGCCCCGCGAGATGACAACACCCAACATCACTGGATCGAGTTCAGGCCAACTTCAGATGGTGGAAGGCTGAGATTCAATGTGGTCCGAATCCAAGAAGCAATTGGGCTGGGGCAGAGGATACACCGTCACGAAATCTACGCGGACGGGAAGATTATCGCAAATGGAACTACAGTTGGACACAAGAAGCTTCACAGGCTCGAAAACGGAGTTGTGGAGGCTACTAGGGTGACCATAAAGATCACAGGGTCACGGGCAACACCTTTGATTTCTTCTGTGGGCCTGCATTTGGATTCCTTTTGGAACCCACATTCCGTTTGATGACTCTCCATTTGTTCTTTGGACAAGAGAGGTTTCAGTTTCTCGTGATTTAAGCCAGTTAAAGAAGCAAAAATCAATACAAGAAATGCATGGTTTGCATTGCATCATTTTGCATATCCTCTCCTTCTAAACAGCATCAATCAATTAACTTTAACTATATATATGCACTTCCATTGCGCTAAATGTTGCTAAATATATACATACACAACTCGCACGTTAGGACTTTTGAGTAGAATTCTTAGTGATCCATACAAGAAGTTTCGATTTCACAGTAAAGTTGAACAAACACCTAAGGTTGTATAAATCATATGGATCTTCAATCTTTGTACAAAGTGGACTGTCGAGGTACATGTGAAAGAATTGCATAATGCTCCTTACCTGAAGTCTTGCGTATCTATTTGACTTTATATCTATTGGAAGCAGTCAGATTAAGGCCTCCATCAAGGTGAAGAGTTAGCATGGTTTTGTATTTAATTGATTTCTGTTCCTCACTCAACTCCAATATGAAACTTCCCAACAAGACAGCTGAAAAAGTTTTCATCTGCCTGTATGCAAACTCCTTTCCAAGACAAATCCTCGGTCCTGCCTGCATTAGTTAATGATAATGACACTTATGAGCTCGCTTAACAACTTGATACATAAAGAATACCCTAAATGCTGACTACAGAATGGAAACATTTGACACAATTTATGATTAGATTTTTAGAGTTTGGAACGTGCTTCTATCCTGTAGATTTGATTGTCTGTATACCTGGAAAGCTGGGAACTTGAAAGGACTTTCTTGCTGGAAAACACCATTTGCATCTAGCCATCTCTCTGGTCGGAATTCTTCTGCATCATCACCCCATATAAACTTCATCCTCCCCATAGCCCAGGGTTGATACGAGATAGTATCCCCTTTTCGGATGCAGAATCCATCAGGAAGTGTATCATCTGAAAAACAAAGCTTCCCATCCTACATTAAGGTATATTGTTACTACTATATTAGTCCGATACATCTGAAATGCACTCTCAAAAATATGCAACAATATGGCAAGTAAAAATCACCAGTGGAACAGCAGGGTAGAGTCTAAGTGTCTCAGTCAGTGCTGCGTGAAGATACTGCATTTTTTCTAGAGCTTCTTCTGTAATGTTTTTTGCTATATCGACGATGCAAGAGCTTTCGTTGGTATTAGTTGCTATTGCTACTTCTTCTGCTATGATGTTTTGTATACTTGGATGCTTGCACATCATATAAAAGAACCACGAAAGAGTACTGGCTGTTGTGTCCTTCCCGGCAATAATGAAGCTAAGGATGATGTCTTTCAAATACTTGGGATCTGTTTCATTCTTTTCTAGTAACCTGGACAAGAGGTCTTCTTTCTTCATCTGCCATCAAGCACTACAAGATCAATAGAAGAATTGCTTTATATTGATGCATAAAGGTCAATCAGTTAAACTTACAGGCCAATCCCCTCGTGACTTGTGTAATTGTTCTGTTTTGCTTTTGATAATGTTGTATACAAATTCATCAATGACTTTGATGTTGTTCTTCAATTTTGCTTCTGATCCAATGTTCAGTAGCCTTTTCAAAGGCCAAAATACATCAACATAGCGGTAGAAGGTTATTGCACTTGCTTCCTCAAAACAGCGGGAAAATCGCGTGCCCTCTTCAGTAGTTCCACACATGTTATCCAGTTCCACTCCAAGTACAACTTTAAAAACTGAGTCGAGGGCTGACTTCATGAATAAATCCTGCCAGTTAATATTAGAAAAGCTCATTATTTCATGGGAAAATTGCATTTGCTATTTTCTCCATTATTCCAACAACTAAAAGCTCAAATGAGGAATTTTCCTACTAAATGAAGCAAGCAGCTTCTTACTTGGATCTCTATCGTCTGAGTTGAGTTCACTGCATCAGACACTGCGGTAGCAAGTTTTGATGCATTGGTTTTGAAGACTACGCTGCTGAAGTCCCTCAAGATTTTCGTGGAGAATTCGTAGCTTGATGTTTTTCTCTGATGTCGCCATTTCTCTCCATCAACCGCGAAAATCCCATCACCGAGAAGGTCTTCCAGAATACTATGGTGGTATGATCCCTGCAAACACATATTAGTAGATTTTGAAGTCATATTTGAGAGGGTTTGATAGCCATCTAAATTAATATAGTGAGTTCCATTCTTGTGGATATAGAAAACCTAATCATGCCACCTTTGAATGATTAATACTGACTTTAGTTAAAAGCAAACGTTCGTCAACTCAATTGCCGCAGCTCTTCAGTAGAATACAAAAATATTACACAACTAAGACAAGTGCTGTTATGCGAGATCTCACAACAGATATATTCCCGAGGTAAAACTAGGACAATTACTTGACCCAAATCAAGGAACCATCTAAGTAATTCAATAAAAAATCATGAATTCAAGTCTATGGGCTGAAGTAAAATGTTAATCCGTACAACAAATTGATCATAAACTAAAATGTCCCCAATTTCAAGCTCTTGTGCTGGAAAATCATAAAACAACACAGGCTGCTAATCGAGACAGATTCCTAGCATGGCTTAGCGTTATAACTCTTCTGCTACACTTTTCCCAAACCAGATTCAAGCTTTGGACAAACACGAATAGAATGACTAAACAAAAACCCAACTTTCCCAACAAAAAGTCAAAAAAAAAATCAGAATTGAATGTGCTCCAAAATATCAAGTAATCAGTATCGTTTACCCGGCCATAGTTTGGAAAGTTGGTTTTCAGAATGTATTCAACGTTTGCAGGGTCTGCAGTGAAAACCTCACTCCGGGTGAAATTCAGGATCCGAAAGGATTTGTACTTCCTGGATTGATCAGTCAAATAGTGGTGCAGCCTGTTAAAGTTGATGAGCAGGTGGAAGATAGTTCCGGCAACTGGTTGATACCTCCTCTTCTTCTCCCCTGATCCTCCTCGTTTAGCAGCAGTCTTTACTATGAATACTGTCAGAACTGCAGCAAAAGCTGCCGTGGGAATCAATATGGGATTAACTAGAACTTCCATCTTCCCCGGTGTGTTTAGCAGGGACTTGAGAACCTAATCTCTTCTTTTGATGAGGTTTCGCTTAATTCAGACAAAGATGAAGTGGGAATATTATATGTCGGAAATTAGGTGACGGTGGCGAGACGTGACTGCCGTTCTCCTCATTTGCTGGAATTTTATATCCCGGATTTCACAAGAAATCCGAAGGTTCATTAAAATTAAATGGTCGGATTTCACAAATCCGAATATCCAAATAATATTAAAATAATAAGTATTTACATTTTATAAAAATACAGTAAAAAAAATCAGAAAATGAATAGTACACTTTGGAATTGTAAATTTTGAATTCAATAAAATAAAAAAATACAGAAAGAAAATTGAGGCGCGAAATTTTTGAATTTCAACTCTGGAATTTAATAATCCGGATTAAGGAATTCGGATTTCCGAAATTCGACTATATTAAATTTTGATTGGTGTAAGTAGGCATCTGTCATAAATTGAAGGAGCAAAAAAAGAAATTAAAAATCCGTAACTAACTAAATTCGGATTTATGGAATCCGAGCTCAGTAGGAGTCGGATTTGTGAAATCCGAACTACTTACGTATTCAGATTTCGGTAATCGAGTTTAGCGTGATATAAATGAAAAAAAAAAAGACAGTTCTCATTTGAGAATTGAATTGGATTTTCTGTTTCTGCGGCTCTTGGTTGGCGAATTGGAATTTTTAATGTAACCTTACTGCTAGATACGTGGGGATCGTTTGAAAGATGTTATATTGCAAAACCATGTTAGTTAGTTTATTTTTGTGTTATTTTAATTGTTAGAATGATGTATGATAGATTAGGGTTTTTGTTTGTCGATTGTTCGGATGTTTTAGGTGTTGATTTGATGTTAGAGATAAGAAATCATAGTTGTTCGTGAGATATAGAAGTTGATTTATAAGTATTTTAGGATTTTGTAAGTTTTTTGAATTATGAATGGAGTATATATGGTGTATTTGTTGATTTTGTTATTAAGAAATGATTAGATAATGATATTTTTTTTAAACAGTTATCAATGGCATGTAATGTATCATACATGCTTAATTTGTTTCATACAAGCAAGTATGTGATAAAGAATGGTAGCATCAACACTTTTTCGAATATGCCGTATCATGGCTTGTTTGTTGAGAAAAGGTTGTTATGTGTGGAATTGATTAGTAAGATTTGTATGACACTTGGTTGGGATCCAACACACGTGAAACTCCACATTTCTATGATTTTCGATAATCCCAGTGGTAAGCGTGTAGTGAAGATCAAGAATGATTCGGATGTAAAGTTCATGAACCGTGTAGCTCCAATATCACGTTTGGATTTATATATAAATTTAGAAGATATCACTCACGAAGAAAGAGAAGCAAGTTTGGAAAACAATGTGTTATTTGGTGGTTTTCCAAGCGGGGAACGTGCTAGTACTTCTCGAAATCATGATGAAGAGGAGACACCTTTATTTGCACAAGATGACTACATGAAAGAGTCGGATCCCGACTATATAGCTTCAAGTGAAAGCAAAGAAGACCGTGAGGTCTGCAGATAGTGATTTTGATGAAAGTGATGATGAATTATTGGAAAATAAGGAAAGGGATCTTAATTCATTTTCCCAACGCCATGTATATAGTAAGATGGGGAAATGGAATGCCTTGTGTGTGGACAAGGATGAATTTTCTCTTTAGATATGGGATGAGACCCCCGAAGGAATGGACATTGATGTTTGTTTCAAATCTCAATCAGAATCAAAACATGCTGTGAAATTATGGAACATCTATCATAAAAGAGAATATACGGTTGCCGCGAGTAGTCCAACGACGTGGGCTGTGCGGTGCAGAACATTAAATGTACCAAGGGAGGATGATGATCCATCATGTGTGTGGAAGATGCGTCTATCTTTGAAAGATCACGGCCTTCATGAAAATTGTGAGATGACATGATGTACATAATTGCATGACTCTCATGAATGATAATGACAATCGGTGTTTGGACGCGTCTTTGATTGCTAGATTCATCAGGAGAAAGGTTGAGGACAACGTAGATTATACGGTGGCCTCGGCACAGAAAGATATGAAGACCTTGTTGAAAGTAGATGTGCCATACAAAAGGGCGTGGCACGGGAGGAGAAAGCCATAGAAGCGGTATATGGTGGTTGGAACTCGAATTTCGAAGAACTTCCTAGGTAAATATCAACTTTTATAATTGTGGTGTGTATTATTTTATTTTATTTTTGGGTTACATGTATTGAAATATTTTAACTATGTCTCGTTTGTTGTGTAGGTATATCGCTGCGCTTAAGTTTATTAATCCTGAGACTGTAGTACAGTGAGAATGGAAGGAGGGAGAAGAAGGTTAGGACAGGAGAAATATGACATTTAAATACGTCTTCTGATCATTTGCACCAGTGGCTGCGACGTTTCTTGAATGTTCGCCGGTCATTTGTATCGATGGAACACACTTCCCTGGTGGATACCGGTAATTTGTATCGACGTTTCTAGTCCAATTTTTTTTTTTTTGCAGTTCTGACAAAGATCTGGATTTCGTAAATTCGAAATTCTGCATTTTGTAAAGAACTCGGATTTTGCAAATCCGACTCAATGCCTATCTGGGAGTTTCAGTTTCTCAGAGAAACAGAGGAGATTCAGATTTCGTAAATCCGAAAACCTTCATTTTGTAAAGGACTCGAATTTTTCAAATCTGACTCAATGCCTATCTGGTAGTTTCAGTTTCTCAGAGAAACAGACGAGATCCGGATCACCTAAATCCGAATTTATACAACTTCGGATTTTCTTCATCCGTCTTTAACTAAAGAGGAGATCCGGATTTACAAAATCCGTACTAACCCTTATTCGGATCCCGTAATCTAAATTTAGACAAAAATTATTTTCCAACACTTATCATTTTTTCATTCCACCGAAAATTAATATTTTATTAGTGAATTCGGATTCGAGAAGTCCGTATTTTTATTAATTACACAAATTCCTTTCATTAACTTAATATCTGATTAATATTACACAAGTCCGGATTTTAGTAATCCGAATGTACCTTGATTCGGATTTCTAAAATTTGTGACATATAGTTTTGTCCACATAATTTCTGGTAAGTTTTTTTTTGTCCAGATCCTTAATGTGCAAATATATTTAAAGAAAAAACTCTCATTTTCGAAAGTCTTCACTGTATAGATAGCTCCTCTATTTTTGTTTTTTTTTTGTTTTTTGACAAGAACCAACTACAAGTGCCTTAATTATTACATGGGTGAAGTCTATGAGAGGGAGACTTTACGCGTGCATATTCAGTTCACTTGTCCACCTTTAAAAGCGTCTCTTTTGCCTGCTGCTGCCTCCTACCCTGCAAGAAAGCATGGCAGGCGATAAATCGCTGCCTTGGAAAACCATTCTTTCTTCTTCTTCTTTTAATGATTTAAATTCCAATGTGGAAAATGGGACATTGCAAGTGTGGTCAAAAACCAAAATGTTACGTCGCTGGATGACTATCAGCCTGCATATAACGTCATACTTCTAAGAAAATAAGAATCCTCAAAACCATTGTGGCCATCCTCAGAATTATGAATAAAAGAGAAGGTGGCAATAATGAAACTTGAGAATTCCGAAAAGTCATTTTTACATAATAAGAAACTTCACCTTGATAATCAAAACAACCTCTAAATGACAACAGAAGTAGCGACATTTGGCTGAAAGGGGAGGAGAGAAGAGACAATGGACAAGACCATGAATCTATAGTTAAATGGCTCAATGACGTTACAACTTTGTCACTTTTAGTACTGATGATCATTTGGGACAAGGGAATGTGTGATACGCATGAAACATCACAAACACCATTTATTACTGAACAGAAATGACCCTGGTCATTAACTCCAAAAAACCCTTTTCAGGAGACGAAGGCGAAAGCAGAATGACAAGGCTCCTAAAGGAAACCCTCGATCCCTCGCCCTGCCTGAGTTTCCCTGTAGATAAGGAGAGCTTCTTCCATAACTTTAGCTTCAGCCAACAATTTTGCTCTCTTTTTGCCTGAAGGGTGAGTAGATAAATAATCTCTTAATGATGATTCACCGGTAATCTGACCCAACTTCTCATAAACCTTGGGAGCCGCTCGAGGATCATATCCTGATGAAGCCATTAAAAGCAGCCCTATGTAATCTGCCTCCATCTCCATCCTACGAAACAATATATGACCCAGTAACTAAAAAAGTTGATAGACAATCTAACATTGATTCATGTGTTAGAAATGAAGTTCTCAGATTTATTCTCAGTACACCCACGGTTCCCATGATCAACCATGTATTGTCCAAGCTAAGCATATTAAATCTTAAAAACCAAAATCAGCTCCTCAAAACTCAACAATTTCTATCCAAAGTACACTAGAAAGACCAAGTGGATGAAAAGGAGCCCGAACATATGAAATTGCCAAGCAATAGAAATTCATATCATTGAATATTGAAAGGCAAGCCAACTAATTACAAAGAAGAAATGAGGAAATGAAACAATCTGATGGCAATAGACATCCACTACAATTCCTGTGAAAGACCCTTTGCATCTCAGATAGACATGTGATCATTTAAATAAAACAGCATAAGTATGTACTTTGCCAATAAGAATGAGGTCAACGTCAGACTAACTATATGTACTCATAAAAATCCAAGAAGACCAGAGACAAAATCTGCAACTTTTTATACCTCTGAAGATATTAGTTTATTAAAAGACTGAACCCATGTTTTCTTTTTAAAGAAAATATAATATATAGAAAGAACTCAAAAGGGTACTATTCCACTACACCAAATTAAAGAATGGAGCTCGGGAGAATAATGGTAAATCCCGAATTTTTGCAGGCACAGGCGAGAAGGAGAAGCAGCAGTAAGGAACCGTTAAAATAACAAGCATCAAAGCGAAGCAGCATAACTAAGGATTCCGCCGACAATAACAAGAGCAAAAGCAGGCCATCTAGCTTATTTTCATTTCGGTTTTCATATGTAATGAATAAAAGGTAACAGCCAGAGCAGAACAGTAGCGGCAACTTAAGTTCATACCCGATAAAATTTATGTGAAGCACATATAAGAATCCTGAAATGAAATTTCTTTGAAATAATAAAAACCCAATGGCTTCATTGCATTTACAAGGCTAAATTAAACTTTTCTGCAAAGTGGAGAGTGTGGTGATAGAAAAGTAAAAGGTTCTTCACCTGAAGAACCTGCAAGTGGGAGTCGACTGATGCAAAAATCTTACACCTTACAGCGAAATTAGTCTGCTTAGAAATTCTGGGATAAAGCACGGGCATTCGGACCCAGTCAAAGTATATGCAAAGCGTAGTGGAAAACTCAGTCATATTCATGAGAAGTTTCAAGCACTCCTACAATCAATGCTAGTCCAACTGATAGTAAACATCCACCTCTTTGGGTGTTCCATATCTAAAAGGATCAAACTTTTTTGTCAGCATATTTAAGTGCCGAGCTAGTTATATTATGTGGTCATAAAATAATGGACAAAGTAGCACATATGTGACACCAGAGGTTGAGGTTTAATATCCTTAGAACAATATGAAGGTTTGCATGTACGAAAAACAGTAAAACCTTAGCCATAAGAACAGACTTAAAAATGAGAACTTACTTCCTCGAGAATGGGAGCCTTAAGAAAAGATTGGACATTGTGTTCACAAGATCAGGCATCACAAACTGATATAAAATCAGTTGCATAATGGCAAACCATAGGTTCTTAGTAATACCCTCAGCTGCATGTCGAGCCACAGCATGGGCCACCTATCAAATAAGCAGTTTGAAAGAAATCAAAATACAAGCTTTCCAGAAAATGCAGACCTAATTCAATTTGAATAGAAAAGAAAAACATCCAAAAGGGTTTTCTTTACAGTACCTCATGCCCCAAGATGGTTGCAATTTCAGCATCTGTTCTAAAATGATTAAGTAACCCAGTGAACACAACAATCTTGCCTCCTGGCAAGCAAAATGCATTTACCACAGGTTCATGAACAACCAGAACCTCCCAATTCAACCCCTCCAAATGCTGAGTAGCAGGTTCCTTCCCTTTCTCTATACCTTTCTTCCGGCTCTGCTGAACCCACTTATCATCAAGAATCTCATCTTCCTTATTCCATTTTCCCTCCATAGAAGGAGGATCCTCACTCAATGCCATCAATGTGGCATGCCCATCCCCATGTTCATCAACGTGAAGCTCAGATGCATAACCACGATCTCTCCAAATTTGCTCCTTTTTTAAACCTCTTTGCAGGGCCTCAATGAGATCTTTTGCAATCAACCTCACCCTCACACTTTCCGGGTGTATGGGTGGCAAGATTTTTCCTTTGAAAGACTTCTTCATCTCCTCAAATTGAGTTTCTCCGAGCTTTCTCTCGACATTTCTGGACAAAAGCACAAAATGCGTCCTCTTTGTGTAAGGAACAGCTTCCAAGTGGCCAAAGTACACCGTAATCACCACTCCAGAACACACCAAAACCACAGCGAAAACATTTCTTGGATTCTGAAACCAATTCTTATATCCCCGAGGCTTAAAGTGACGAACTTGGTAACGATCCACATAATAGTACCTCCTACCGACTCCGGGAAAAGGGTAGCCGGTATCTTGCCGGAGCCCTAATCGAGAACCTGAATTCCTCAAAATTTGGGCGGCGAGACCAGACTGATTCCGGGAAGCGGGGGTTCTTACTGTCGGGCCAGAAAGACCGAACCCATAGGCCCTCGATTTGTTAACAGTCGGAATACGAGAAGAACAGCCATTGAGGTGGGTTTTCACAGCGGAGCTCTGAAGTGCATTCTCCCTTGGTATGATTTTGGAAGTGAAATAGCGGAAAGCATCAAAAGTGAATTTCGATCTTCTATACCATCCCATGACCCAGCGTTCATTAATTTAGCCGTGAAGAAATCTTCTTCCCTGAAAATAAATAGTGAAGGACGGGGTTAGGGGTTGAAGATACGTACTGTCTAAGCTGGAAAAAGCGGGAGAGGGCGGCGGCGGAAGCGGCGGCGTTAAATGAATATAAGGAGGACTGGCGGACGCTGTGGATGTCTCCGGAGACTGATCAAGACTTGTACTTTACATGACAATCTTCAACTGTAAATCACATTGAAGACCCCAGTGACTTTTTGCAGCTCCAAATAAGACTTCGTTCCATGGTAATTTCTTAGGCTTTGTTTGTTACGTTTTTTTAATGATATTTTCCAAATATTTAAATAATAAATATCTCATTCCAGCCTATCTTTTTACATTTCTAATACATTTTTTTATCTTCCCAATACAAAAATCACATAAAAACACATACTAAAAAAACAAAACAAACATACCCTTAACTACTCCAAATTCATTAACCTTTTACTGAGTTTCTTATCCTCAAATATTTCCAAAATTGTATGGGGAAATATTAACAAGATAGTACTCCCTCCGTTTTTAAATATATGTCATTTTAGGGTTTGGTGAATTTTTTTAAATATATGGCAGTTTTCACAAATCAAAGTACATTTGACCACTTTTAACCAATGCTACCCTGCATGAATGAAATAATATTTATAAAAAAATTTTATTGGTTTGTGATGAATTATATAGAAAATAAATAAGGATATTTTTATATTTTAACTATATTATTTAAATTTTTCTTGATTTTGATGAATTCTCTAGAAAGACATATAAAAAAAACTGGAGGGAGTAATACTAAATCTTTGTGTACTACCTATTAATTTTTTATTTTTATTTTTATTTTTTTTTTAAAAAAAGACAAAATATACACTTTTGGATGGGAGAAGAGGAAAGGCTACGTTAACCACATTGATCTTCTGTATATTCTTGCATCTTTTCCCCCTTCTGAAATGTAGGATTCTTTAACCATAATGGAAGTGTACACGATTGTAATTAGGTCACCGTTCACATTGCCATGATGTATGTTAGTTACTCCTTCCGTCCAAATCAATCACGGTATCTTTTCACTTACTAAAAACGTGAATGGTTTGTCCCAAGGTAAAATTAAATATAACTCAGTCTTGAAGCATAAGTTAAACAAATACAACTCGTAGTTCCTGCAGAATGTATGACCATGGGAAACCCAGCAAAACCCCCATGGATTCTATTATCATAAAGATATATACTGGGAAGAATACCACACAGAAGCTCAAAGATCAAAAATGAAGACTGCCAATTCAAATCCTTTAAATAAGACCGATACAGAAGCTAATTAATGATCAACACCAAAGAATGTGTCTTGTCATAACCACTTTGTTCACCACTTCCTGTTATTGCTTCCAAAACTTCTTCCACCACCTCGACCTCCTCTCGAGAACCTATCATTTCTCCTATCAGAAAAGCCGCCGCCACCACGACGGTCACCTCCAAATCTTCTATCAGAAAAGCCACCACGTCCACCTCCACCAAATCTTCGCTGTTCTCTCTCTTGTAATTGTGGCAGAGTTTTAACAACGTCCAGGCTCACACCAGTTGCACTATCCTGACCTGCAACCACACATGAAGCAAATTAAAACCAAAATCTCAAGGACGGTGCCAAGGCGACTTCCATGAACAATCACCATAAATGGTACTAGAACTAAAGAATCCACTGAAGGTGACAATTATTCAGAAGGTGAAAAATAAAATATACCCTTGAGGAACAAGTCCAGATCCTCGGCTGCCACATCAAACACTGCCCCTTTTCCATCAGCGGTCAAAGCAAGGCCCATTATCGAATTAACTTTCTCTTCAGGTAAGAACCTCCGAAGGACACTAAACACAAAGCTGTTGCATATAATACCAAACAGAATCAGGAAAATTATAATCTACGGTTAAAACCACAAATGGTTGCTCCGGTGCTTTAGCCTTTAGCATGACCAAGACAATAAAGATGCATGAAATATTAATGCTTAAAACTGTTAAAACCAAAAATGTTTTTGCCATAGCTGCAGGAGACTCTTCTCCTTGGATGATTGAATATAAGGACTAGATATTTGAACAAGTCGGAGAAGACAGAAACAACAAAATGTTACATTTTCCAACAGGTTAAAGTTTTAAAGCAGTGCACATGCTGCTAATTCTCACTTACGGGCTCACAAGGAACAAGAGAAACAATGAACAGCTATAGGGTTCCAAGTGCTTACGAGGGTGTGTAGACAGGTCTTCCACACTCCAGCAGCAGTGTAACACAGTTTTCCATGGAAGTCAGAAGTGAACGACTCTTTATCTCACTATAACCCTACACAAAATACCCAAAAAATAAAAAGGACTTGGTCAGATAAGTTGGAGGGACGAAGTCAACAATAGATAGTAGAACCTTATCACAGATTAAAAAAAGAGTGTTAAAAGTGCTGTCAACTTACAGCAGTCTTTGCAAGTGCCTTAGCCAGGAGTTCCACCGGCGATAAACTAGAGCTGCTGAGCAAAGCTTCGGCAGCGGCCTTGAAAGCCGGAATCACACTGCAAATTGTCACTAGTTATGAATATATATGCAAGAAATTACAGTACCTTAAACAAACTCTAGGCAAAAGCCGGCAAACCTGTCAGAAATTTCTGAAATTTTTTCAGCAGCCTCTGTCCCAGCTGCTTCAGCAATATCAGCTGGCTGAGGAGCAGAGACATGTTCGAACTTCACACCACATTCTCTTTCTATTCTAGAAAAATTTGACTTCCTGGGATCATAAAGCATTACAGCGACACCCGTGTTTCCTGAAAATTGAAGGAAAGAAAAACAACATGAGAAGATGTCATCCAAGATCCCCAACAATTCGGTCGCATAGATATCCAGAATCCCAAACTAACCTGCTCTGCCAGTCCTTCCAGATCGATGGATATATGCTTCAACATCCTTTGGGGGTTCACACTGCAGAAACAAACCATCAGTGAACAAAAACTAACAAGGTTCTAAACTAAACAGAAAGGCTAAACTAATTAAGGAAAGCAAACCTGAATAATCAACTGGACATTGTCAATGTCAAGTCCTCTGGCAGCAACATTTGTTGCCACTAATGTCTTAAATTTTCCAGACCTGAAGCCAGCAAGGGTAACCTGTGCACAACACTCGTTATCAGTAACGGCCAAAACAATAGCAGGTATTCAACTAGATCCACAAAAAGAAACCCTGAAACAGATTTCATGTTCATATATCTCTGTAGATACTGACGTACTGACAAACAGGTGACAGAAAGAAGAGAACCCGATATCTAAAGTAATTGAAAACAGGATGGACACAGCTCACCTCACGCTGGGACTGTTGTATGTCACCATGCAAAGCACGTGATCCAGGCAATATTCCAGCAAGTTCTGAAGCTGAATCCTTCGTCTCAGTAAATATAATAGTTTGACCTCCACTGAAAAAATATCATACCAAGAAAAACAAATTAACATTCAAAAAACTCATGTGCAGCCTTTGTAGCATATAGTACCTGGATCAAAAAAAAGAACCAACCTGCTATAACAGCGAATAATATCAGGGATAAGCTGAGCTCTAGCAGATGCAGAGCAGGGAAGAACAATATGTCTTACACTTGCACTTGCCTTCATTTTCTCATTGCCAATAAGGTCGGCAGTTTTTTTATCTGGTTTCAGAAACTTAGAAGCAATCTGAAAACACACGAACACACTATATGAGAGAACTATTGCAACAACTTGAGGAAAACAGGAGCTGGATAAGCCATCAGTAAACTAAAGCAGCAGAAGTTGCAAATAATCAAGACCGTGGAAGGCATACCTGCTTCACCCAGTCAGGCAATGTAGCACTAAAAAGAAGTGTTTGAACTTTACTCGCATTATCAACCTTGCCTGGAAAAGTGCATTGACCATTAAGCAATTAAGAAATAAAATTCTAACTGCATAGAAACAATCTAACAGCAGATTGGAATATTTGAGATGAATCTCATACCAAGAATAAATTCAACATCATCAACAAAACCCATTTTAAGCATTTCATCAGCTTCGTCAAGAACACGGAACTGCAATGACCTCAAGTCAATGTTCCCCCTCTCAATATGGTCCTGTAGAGTACCAAAAACGTAAACACTTCCTAAACTACACAGAACCAACTCGGAGGTAAAATTTCGTAGAAAAAGCTCGAAAACAAAATAACACAAAGATTTGAGTACCTTAACACGACCAGTGGTACCAATTACTATGTCAACTCCTTTTTTGAGGGCATACTCTTGCTGCCTGTAGGGGGATTGTCCATATATGCAGCATGATGTCAGACCCACTGCCCCACCGTAGAATTCAAAGTCAGCGAACACCTAAACAACAATTGCCAGGAGACCGTTAGTTCGGATAGAACAACAGAATATGGACGACTTAAAATGAAGTAAAGATACCCCAGGTGAAGATTTCAGGATAAGATACCTGACAGGCCAATTCCCTTGTAGGCAAAAGCACAAGAACACTGGGTGCTCTCCCATATCCACTTTTCCTTAAATGTTTTGTTGGCCCACTGGTCAAGGACTCTAAAATTGGTAACACAAAGGCCAAAGTTTTACCCTGTATGCACATTCAAAATGTAAGTACATGTGCCAAAAAATGGAGATATCAGCAGAAGAAGGGGGAAATCAGTGTGGAGAAAATAAATAAACAAATGGACTGAGCTCTAGCATGACTTCCAATATCACAAATAATGATCTTTCAGCATGCTCTATATTGTAAGACCCAACTGAGACAGTAATGGAGGTTAACCTCCGCACTATCATTTTTTAAATTATGTTCAATTAAAAGCAAAATGAAAGTATAGTTCGCCAATTTTAATTGTTATTACAGCAACAGTGTAAAATCCATGAACGAAAATCCTAAACAGTGCATGTCATACATAAAGAAACACCAATAATCATGAAAATAAAGGGGTTCTCTGTAATCCATACCTGACCCGTCCGGGCACGACCAACCAAATCGGACCCATCCAAAATCGTATTAAAAGTCATAGCCTGGATAGGAAACAAATAATGAATGCTCTTGCTCTTGAGCGCCTCCTTCAACTTGTCGGAAATCCTAAACTTTGACAGCGCATTAGGATGATCCTCATTTTGAACCTTCTCCCCATCGTCCTCATTTGATTCAGCTAACTTGGCTTTCTTTTTCGTCTTCATCAAATTCATGGGCTCCCCTAACTCAGAGCTGGTGTCACTCTTCTCCTCCTCGAAATCATTATCAATCTCAGCCGCCTTTCGCTTCTTCTTGCCCTTCTTTTTCTCCTCCGAATTACTCGGATGATTAGTTCTCAAATCTTCGGTATCAGACTCCGAATTTATCTTGCTCTTCTTTGACTTCTTCTCTTTCTTTGCCTTTTTCTCCATCGAGTGATCAAATTCAAGGGCTTTTCCAACTTCCACGTCGCCGCCACTCACGCTCTTCTTTTTCTTGTCTTTCAGAGTCTCTGATGAGGGTTTTTCAGAAACGACTAATGAAGGCATGAGGTTTTCGGTTGTTCTGGTGGGTGAATAAGTGTGTGTGTGCGTGTTTTCGAACGAGTAATTTGTTCGAGTTCTCCTGCTATCAAGTTTGTGGCAGTTGAGCTTCAGTAGCATGAGACCGAAGAGAGAGGAAGGAAATTTGTTAGGGTTTCTTTGTTTTATAGGGTTTGGGTGGTTTGGCGGAGGGAAGTCCTGCACCGTTGGATGTAAGCTTGTGTCTTACTTTTGACTAAATATCAACCGTTGGATTTACTGACGGGGGGAAGATATTTATGGTGCCAGTGCCACATTCGCCGACGTTGGACCGAAACGTAAAATGTGAGTGGTTAAAAAGTAAAGGGGGTAATTTTGTTTGGTAAACAGTGAAGGGGGTAATTTCGGTAAGAAGAAAGTGGCTGGATCGTTTAGGGCTGAATGTGTACTGGGCTTATGTGGGCTACTGGCCACTGGGTGGTTGGTGAGTCAATACTCTAGTTCACTCTTGCTATTTGTTAGTACTCCTTACTCCTTATACCTTATTCACAAAATAATTATTAAGTTTAAATTTTTGCTTTTCGTACTACGGTTTAAACTCAAAACAAAAAATTTCAAACTTGATCATTTTGGGATGGATGAAATTGTTATTTGCCTATTCCTTCGTCCCATTTTGGTCAAATTCATTCACATGACAAAATCTCGTTTATTTTAGTACATAGCTGACTAAAAAAGAGTATCAAAAAATAAAATGTGGAGACTCACAGTCACAAGTATATTTTAAAAAGAAAAAAAAAAGAATGCAACACCTATTCATAAAGAAAGAACCCAAAAGAAAATAATAGTGAAGTGATTGAAGTAAAAACCTGAATTATATAAAACTATTTCACAAAATATGCCACTCTTACAATATCACGTTGGATGCAAGATTTTACCTTTGACGGGTGGGCTTCTAACCGATACAGTTCCCAAGGCACTCATGTACTACTAACGGTGCTATCAATTACTCCCTTCATCCTTAATATAAGGTATTTTAATTTTATCATAAGTTTCACTTAGTATGTATTTTTTATTAACAAAAAATATTAAATTTACATTTTCATATTCGTCGTATTCTCTTGCTTATTATGAAATATATTTAAGATTTTTTTATAATTAAAAATACATATTAGGGAAAACTTTGGACAAAATCAAAATGCATTATACTCCTATTTAGGACCGAAGTACAAAATCTGTTTCATGAAACTCATGCCTTTACTTCAGCTTTCCAATCCCGCTCCATCAAGTCTCAACCCACGCAAAATTCCAACATTAAAAAAATAAATAAATAAGGAACAAACTTAAAATCATTGATTCAAGCAAGTCACTGCATGGAAAGATACACACATCCTGGCTAAACATTTGCTACAAGTATTCGATTTTCAAAGTGTATAAAGCTGAAGCATGTTTTTTTTTTTTTTTTTTTCCGCCTTTAACGTTGTTATTATACTACGTTTAAAGCTGAATTTGTCAAGAAGCTAGAAAGACCATGAGATAAAACATATGTCCTCCAACTCCAAAATGCATTCTTTTGAGTCTTGCAGTATAGGTGGTCGCCAATTTGTGAACATATTTGATCCTAAAAAACCTTATTTGCACATCAACTCATTTTACATTTTAAATACAAAACCCAATGAAAAAGAAAATATTATTCAAACAACTTTCTGATTTACATTTTAAATTTTAACTTGAAACACTTTTTGTTAGTGTGATGACCATTTTAGAACTACAAATAGTTCAGTAACAGATTTGACAGGATTCCGTTGTTGAGTGATTATTTTTTGAAAAGTTCTTTTTTACAGTGACTATAATTGACGGTATTTAATTGTTTAGTGATGACTTATACTTGATATCTCAAAATGTAATTTAAAATACTTTTTTTTAAAACCAACATCCAAACAATATTTTTATTTCTCATTTAATTTTTATTTTGAAACATTTTCCACTTTCAAAAAGCAAAATAAAATGTAAGTTGACGTTAAAACAAACACGATGTTTGATCCTAAAAAGAGCACGATGTTTGATCCTAAAAAGAGTTATCGCAAACAGAAGCGAATAGGGGTAAGCATACATTTTATATCCTCCGAGATTGCCTTTGACTATTGTATGTGGAGATTGCATCATAGTAACAACTTTCAAATGGTTCTTTCTATAGCCAAATATGAAAGCGATAAATTGTATTGTCTTCGTTCCTCTTGATTTTTTACAACTGAATGCTTTATATAATAATAAAAAATATAGATGTAAATTTCAAAGAAAATGTTTACCGGTATGTATAAATGCACCATGTGTAAAGCTAAACATAAAATTTCTACTAGCTAGTAAATTCCCGTTCCTTAATTCTCTTCAAAACCCCCTCTACCGCAACATCAAATGCATCCCTAATGCCTTCAAATCCCTCATTTGGTTTTGAATAAACCAACTTTGGTATGTACTCGATCACCTTTTCTCTCATCTTTTTCACTTTCTCTTTGCTGATATTTTCAAGGACCGATCTAATTGAAGTAGTTCCATTTTGTACCGCTCGCCGGTGTATAAAAACCGAGTAACTCTCCGGTTTCTCCGGTAAAAACCAAGCGTACTGCAGATAAGCCGTCCTCCACCAGAAAAATACCGGAATCGAGCCGGCCACCATGCAATCAAAAGCCGACCGCCTCGTCAAACTGTCTCCCCTCGGCTGCAAACAAAAATCCGAGTCCAGAAACGTTTCCAGAATCCGGGATGTCCCGTTGGAACACTTGTTCCCACTGCAATCCACCGCCTGGCAGACGTCCGAGTTGTTATAGCACTGACTCAGCAGTAGCCCTCGAAAATCGTCCTTGAAACGACGTCGCTTGCCTCCCGCGAAGCAGTATAGGTGTTTCCGCCGCCGCCTACGAACGAAGTCCTGCCAGCCGGTCATGTCAGCGGCGGAGCTGGGGTGGAATCCGGTGGGGTAAGGCACTCCCACATCGAAAGGATCCCAAGGGTGCCGTTCAATCAGCAAGCGCGTGATGTTCTGCATCCCGGGCATGAAAATACAGCTGGATCCCCAAGTGTTGACTTCGTTCCGGCGAAAATCCCAGGAGATACGGCCCATTGATAAGAAATGATCCGACCCATTGGATCTGCGCCAGTGAGATTGTTTGGTGACCCAATCGAGCATAATCTCGCAGTGACGATCACGGTCCTCGTTGGTGTAATTATACCACAAATACTTACCCACCGCCAGACCAGCATAGAAAGGGATATAAAACGCGGTAGCTGATTCCGGCTCTAAACTCCGGCAAGGATACTTCATCATACGGTTGTGGTAGATGACCTCCAAAGCAAATTGATCCGTCCAGTGCCAAGCGTGCTTGAGATTTTCCGGAATGTACTTGGAAATCCCACCGACGGCTATTTTGCCAAAACCGTCGTTTGAAAGTTTATCGCAGAACGAGTGCCATGGGTTCAATTCGTGGCAATTTCTAATTAAGTCGGAGTTCAAAACTGGGGGCAGGTCGTATACATAGACTGTGCCGTAAGGGCAGATTGTCTGGAGCTGGGCCTTGCTAATGGGAGCAGGAGGAACGGTGACCGGAAAAGAATGGTTGATGACTATGGGACTTTTCCGGGGAAAAGAATGGTTGACAAAATGGCCATAGCGAAGGAAGAAAAAAAGTAATACTTGGAAGAAGAGAATGAAGAAGAGAAGCCATTTGGTGGAGGTATGAATGTTATGAAACTGAGAAGAGAAATAATTCCGAAGTTGGGTGAAAGAAGAGATCTTCCGGCCTAGGGATAATGTTGGAGTTATTTTCAGTTTTGAAGGAGACTGGAAATTAGTGTGAGGAGGAGGGCTATTAGACATAGGAAGCATGAGGAAACATGAAAGGAAAAGATTTTCCGGCGAACTCTGCCCGGCGGAGAATTGGAAACAGATAATTGTGATTTGGGAACTTGCACATTAACCAAAATCCACCTTTGGAATTGGGAGAAATGGACATATACCCGCAAACTCTGATAAGGGTTTTGGAATTTGGAACAGAATCGAGTATCTGGGAGTAGGGCTTTGGTAAAGGAGTGGAAGAGCAATTGAATCGGATTTACCAGGGGCGACCTATGTTTGACGGATCTAGCCACCTGTGAACTGTACTTTTGTTGAATAAACAATGACTAATTATTGCTTTAGTGCGCACCTTCTCGCTTTAAAGATGCCAGTTAATTGCGGGCAATCCAAAAGGGAAAAATTGTGCTTAAAATAATATGAACGGTAATGATCAGGTTTGGTTGTCGGTACAATATTTCACTTCAAGCCGATAAGAGAAGAGGTTTTCATGTCTCTTAATTTTGGGAAATATTTCGATAATGATTTTACGTACGGTAGAAGATTTGGGAATAAAGTTAGCAATTCTTTTTATTTTGTACAAAGTTAATTAACTCTTTTTTCTTTTTGGTGCAAATTAATTAACTCTATTTACCAATTAAAGAGGAAAATACAAATTGGTGACATTCTAGAATTAATCAATGAGAAGCGCTCAACGTGTAAGTAAAGAGACACGTGTATGGCAATGGTGGCAGATGAGAAGCTGTGCTGATAGGCGGGGGCCACGGCGGCCGGGTAAAAACCACTGGACAGGTGCACACCGCACACGGTTCGAGTGATCGGTCGAGAAGATTGAGCCGGGAAACCGGACCTCCGCATGTGGAATGTTGCAAACTTCGATGTACTCTTTTCCGTCCTTAATACTCCCTCTGTCCCAATTCAATAGACTACCTTACTATTTAAGGGTGTTTCATTAAATAGGTTGGTTTCCTTTTTAAGATGTGCTTTTTCTAATAAAATTTAAAATATACCCTTAATTTAATTGATCACCTACCCATCATTAATGTTTTTATAAGGATATTTTAAGAAGATAAAGGTAAAAATGGTTAGTTAAGTTAGTTCTATTAATTTGTGTAAAAAATATTACAAGCCTATTGAATTAGAACGGAGGGAGTATAAGACATTTTGATATGTCATAAATTTCATTTAATATATATTTTTTATTGACAAAAAAATTTTAAAAATATATTTTCACATTTTACCTTAATTTACATTTGTCGTGTGAAAAATATATCTTTACGCTAGAGTATTTTTTGTCTATGAAAATGCATATTAGGTTAATTTTAAGAAAAGTCAAAATGCGGATTGAAGGGAGTATGACACTATTTCTCCTGCTCCCTAACGTGTTGGCTGTTGAGGCTCGGGTGTGTCGGCGGTCCTGTCGTCCCTCACCATAAAATCAGACATTCACACTCATGTGTAGGAGATTCGTTTTGGGGGGACTTCCCTTTTGTTGGTGCCATGATTTTTTCTGCAGAAAACTAATCTTGTGTTCGTACTCTTCGTTTGTCTTATTCTGTATGAAAAAAACTGGAAATAAATGTTTCTATGAACTGAAGAAAAAAATTGAACATGATTACACTATGATACAATGGGAGGATCGCACCCTTAGTGATGTGGTAATAATCATCAAGGCTTTATTAAAGTATTTTTTAAAGGATATAGATACGAATTGGGCATAAAGGGAAAACATTGTTTATTAGTTCACATAAGACATTAGTTTAGTGACATTATTTTCAGTAATGGTGTTACTAGTTTCATTCTAAAATGATTTATTAATTTAAATTTTTATATAAAAAATATATAAAACGATTTATTAATTTATTAATCTGGGATGTTGGCGGTCGTAAAATTATTGCAGAAGTCGATAGTATGTGTGTATTGCAAATGGTGAAGGGAGAGGAGGAGAAACTGGGGATGCATACAAGTCTTGTAAGAGGTGTTCAGGAACTTTTGAAGAGGCCTTGGTCTGTAATTTTGAAGCATGTATACAGAGAGGCAAATTTTACTGCTTATTGTATAGTGGATATTGCTTCACACGGTCCAGGTGGGTTTCAACATTGGCCCGCTCCTCCAAATGCCGTTAGATTGTGGTTAAAACACGACTTCATTGGCGTTTCCTATCCATGTTATGTTATGTCTCTTGTAATTAGGTTTTAGCTTCTTTCTTTGTACCAGAAAAAAAAAAAGAAAAAAAGAAAGACAATGTATATTTAGCCTCCTTCATTGTGCTAAAAAAATATAATTTTAAAAGTGTAAACCACAATATCCACATTAGCGTATTTCTTTCATTCTGTTTCTTATATTGAATGCGGGTTTCTTTTTGAATCTTTAATATTAGATGTTAAACCCGCACGATGTGTGGGTATGTTACAATACTTTTATGCGTTTTTTTATGAAATATAAAAATGTTGGTCACACATATATATAAATTTTGTGAAATATTAATTATTAAAATTTTGAACAATGTAAAATGTGATACATGAAAAAATAATTAACTAATTTTATGACTAAACATTATGTAAGTTTTTCATCATAATTACATATCATAAATGGAAGTATTTCATAAATTGTACCGAAAAAAAAATTACCAATATAATAATAATTAGTATCGCATAATAAAATTTAAAATATCTCAATTTCATCCAATAATAATTTATTCAAATAATTTAAAGATGATAAAATGATATTGACATCATCCATCATACTTTTAGAGAAACTCATTATTGTGGCCTCCAAAACATATTTAAAAAAAGAGTTTGTATAGTACTATGTTAACCACCTCTCCGAGAATATTTGTCCTTTTTTAAAGAATAAATAATCAAATTAAGTTCATGATAAGTTTTACCTCTTCTTTTTTGCCTCTTCAAATGCAGTTGCTATGCATTGAAATTTCTACCATTATCACAACTCAACATAGAGGGCAACAATAATTAAAAAAAAAACGAGAGAAAATACATTCACGATGACACGTTTTGATTTGGATATACATTGCTTTGAAAGTTTATCATCCCCAATGTTTTTACTATAATTAAATTAAAAATTAATTATAATAGACACAAAAATCGGGTAATTTAATTTGATACACACTTTGTCACTTAAAATTCAAATTCGAATTTTATCATTAATTTTGTTTATTATTTTCTATATCCGATTAAGTGACTCTAATTTTGTTATTAAATGATGTTTAAATTTGAAGATATGATTTAAATGTTAATTGCACAACTTTTTATATACCAAAAATAGTATGATGTGATAATCAAAATTAAAATAATGTAAAATATTAACCCATTTAATGCTTATTATTATAATAAATTATTTCAAAATTTAAAAAGCATTATGAGCCGAGATTTTGAGGGAATGTGATAATAGTTTTTGTGAAAAATTTGCCTTTTATTATTTTTTTTGTAATAATAGGACTTATTTATAATTTTACTTAGTATTTTCGGTGAAAACATTTGAGAAAATAATACATAGATTTTATCTTATGTGACATTTTTAGAAATCCTTTTTGTTATCTCTCTTTGATTTCTCTTTTAGTGTAATACTATCGATAGATATTATATTCAACTTTTTGATTAAAAAAAATCAGCATTGAATTTGATTAATGTTAAATTTTTAACTTTCTCCATTAACCACAATTCTTACCTAATATTGATCAAATCAGCATCAGTAATTTTAAAAAACAGCATTAACTACAGTGAATACATACCATAATCCAGAGTTGATCGGATAAAAAAAACTGTATTAATTTTAATTAGTGAAAAAGTTCATATCGGTATTAATTTTACTTTTTAAAATTATATGGCATTAATGTTGATTGATTGATTCATTATTATTATTTTTTAATTGTTTGATTTTTTAATCCAAATATATCCAAATTTGCTGGGGGAATGGATTTTATTGCATTAATTGATTAGAATTAAGATTGAACGTTGATTTATGACCGTACATTAACTCTTCCAATATTTTCATTTGCAACTAATGATTTAAATGAGGTGTGATAAAATTTATTTACATAAAATCCCAAATACTTTTAGTGTAATTGCATAAACTTTTATTTTTGTTATTTGTTAAAAAAATAACACATATGATTTTATCCTATGTGGCACTAATCTATTATTATATATATTAAATCAGAGTTTTTAATCGACACATGTCGCACAGGTAGCAAGTTTAGCCAATTATGCCACGTGTCGTCACCAAAATTCTCTTTCATTAAACAGTTAAAATTTTATTACTAATACGTAAAATTGTTGAATTAAATAATTAACCAACAATTAATTTCGGAAAAAATAAACACGTATTTGGTAATTATTGACAAATATATGACATAAGGAAACATTAATTATCAAATTAATAAAAGAATACAATTTAAAACTAAATATGGATACATTAAACGTAAATTAAAAATGTGACACATTTTATAAGAAAATAATGGTATATTAATGTTATTATAAACTATAGTAAAATTCGCACAATCTAGGGTATAATACTAATTATAGAAATTAATAAAGCTGAGAATGTTGTGAATTGTGATTAAGTGGGGAAAACAATAATCATCCGTTTATTTTGGGAAAAAAAAAAAATCATTCTAAGGAAAGTGAATTCTGATGATTAGTTTGTTTGGATGAACCGGTTGTCCTTTTTCGGCTTTTCCGGAGAACCATTCATGTTTGCTCGCTAATGGAGTACTGGGTACCATTTGGTGAGGTGGAGAGTGGAGACATTCAATGCTGCTTGTGCTTACCAATATGCCAAGAAACTTTAATAAAGCCATTGACGTGATTAAACATAATAAACACCATGTGCAATGGTTTCTTGATTTCTTCACTTATTTGCAAATCCATATATGAGAGATCGTTCTGTTGAACGTAACTATGACAATTCCAAAACACCCTGTGATAGAAACAAATCATTTCACTGCCAACGAACATTTGATTAAAGTAATTAAAAAAAAGATAACTTATCCCTTTTACCCTATTAAAGCAAAATCATAATATTGATGTGGCAACTTCTTATTAAAAATTTTTGGCTCCAAATGCACTATATTGTATTAACCATTCTGCCACTTGTCATCATTTTTTTTTTAAAAAAAAAATTCTTATCCGGAGAAACAAAAGCTACTTTACAAAAATAGCTACACAATTTTAACTACTAACATTTATCATTTATCAATCAAATTAAAATAGCATTTAAATTTGTCCATAAATTTATCCTCTTTATTACTCCATATTCTTTTGTATGATTTCTGCATCGTTGTACTTTTCAATATTTTTTCTCCTTTGACAGATGATTTTTTTATTTTTTTTTATTTTTGACTAAAAAAGGGAAAAAAAACTAAATGTGTAGCTATTTTATTTTTTCCAAATCAAGAATTCATTTATCTATTAACACAAAATTAAAGTAGAGGGGCAGATGCCCGGGCAAGCATCTAGTTTATATGTATAAGTGGACGCAATAAGGATTAAAACAATTGTTAGGAAGGATTTTCTTCTAGTGAAAGGGTTCAAATTTTGACATAGAAATATATCAGGCGGAGACATACTACCTTCATTTTTTTATCTGTCCTTTTAGGGTAAATCTAAATTTTTTATCTGTTGCACTTTATTTCTAATGCAATATTAAATACAATTTTTCAATTTTACACTTATTTCTCTCTACTTTTAATAACATATATTAATGACAACTACCTATCCTTTAATTCAATTTCAAAATTTTTAGAGCTCCAATACTTTTAATTAGGGACAAAAAAGATAATACTCTTATATAAATTAAATTATCAATCATTGTTTTTTTAATAGTTGTGCAAACTGTAAAGCGACAGACAAAAAAAAAAAAAAAAAGAGGCAGTAACTGGTTAGGATAACTGTTACTAACATTTTTTTTTTTTTGCATATTTGCAGGGTGTCCACTAACAGTAACTAATCCCCTCGCTGAATTGTAGGCATTTCGATGGGTGGAACAGTTGGCCAAAGTATTTAAGGTTACTCCATTATCATGGCAAAATTCGAACCCTCGATCTATGGTTAAGGGCGGAGTCTCTTCCACCTCATTACAACCACTTTGTTACGAACTTTGGACGGGTAAAATGCGAGAAGACATCTAAACCCAGGAAACACGCACAATAAACAAATGATGATTCCCTGGGCACAGTTAGGGAAACTAGCTACAAATTGGCAGTTCCATACGGTGCATCACCTACGTTTCAAAGAATCCCGACGAAGCATGGTTATCTTGCTAACTATACAGAAACTACCTCTCTCAAAACTGAATTACAAAAGCATTTTTGAACGGAATAAAATTGAAAAATGTAAAATTAAAGTATTGAATCACAGCTTGGGAATGCTTATTCAGAAAGGTAGTTTTTTTTTTTTTTTTCATACTGAAGAAAGGTAGTTTTTTGGTAGAGTTAGCAGTAAAATCATGCCAGATGGGCTCAAGAATGTTCTGATTGACAAGCCTTCTATTGCTGGCCGTAGAGCATACAATAATCATAACAATAATTTGAGATGGAAGGAGTTATATATTGCAAATAAAGCCTCATCGTCTACCAAATGAGGGTCACATAACTCACCATATACAGTAGAGTCAGAGTGGGAACCAAGTGCTACTTAATTTAAGTTATAGGTATCATCATTTGTCTTCATTATTTAAGTTATAGGATTCTTCGTATTCATCCTTACCATATCCCAATCAACTATCAATAACAACAATCGAAGCTAATCAGAGCTATTGGTTCACAAAGAGTGAAACTATTCGGCCATCCATGAAGAACCGTGCTCCCGTCCACACTGATGAAGTGCAGAAACAGAGGAATATTCTTTTTTCATATGAAAACAAGTAAAACCGAGGATATAAGGTAAAAGACTAACTAGAGCAGAAAACAGAAGGCATCTACTCTATTCTCAAGTCGAGATCAGCATGCATGATCCTATCAGAATCTTGATTCTTGTCTACAAAATCAACATCTTATTGCCAACGGAGAGACATAAAGGAAACCATAAACACGATTCGTTTGATATAGCATTGAATTTATGCTATAGTCTTAAGGATCTTCAATGGCCATAAATCGGACAATAATGAAAACAATAGCATTTTGGTTATTATAGCATCCCATTTATTACTAAGCCACAAAATAGATTATGAGAAGCTGCAAGTAAACGGGATTCGAGATCGAACAAGCACTTTTCATCCAAACAAAGATGGATGAAACTCGAGCAAATTAGACAGATTGTGAGCTTTTAGACTCTGAAGTCTGAACTAAGATAACAAGAAACAAAAAAAAATACAGATACTTGCGACAATAGGTTACGCGGTACAGTTCTTAGGCTTACATATAGTCCTGAAGCTGCAAAAGTTGGGAGTCTAACGTTGCTATTACTTCTTCACTAACAGAGGTCCAACATTATCTCCCGTAGCCTTGTTGTGCTTCACATGGGTGCCATCGCATAAAGGGAAGGTCTTAGATCGCCAGCACCTGCTCCACCAGATCATCACAATGACAATGAGGATCAAGTAAACATTGTTGTCCAACTATTATGCAAACTTATGGCTTGTAACATTATTCAGTACGATATTTCAGGCCATAAAATAACTTGAAGCCAATGTACTGCAATATTGGCATTCCAGCTCAGAGAATGAGACTGAACTCCACAGTTCTGCAGGGATGAACTTCAGACAATCAGGTCACAATACAGAGTTCTACGCACAGGGGCCTGCACACGTCATTTTTTTTTTTCACTCCCTTCATTGATGAAATCCATACAGAAAAATAGAGGCATCCATCCATGAAGGAAGGGATTCAGTTTTGATTTTATTCAGGTTTGGTATTGGAAAAGTGAGGATTGTCTCATAAATAATAAAAAATGTTGTAGTGAAAATACACAAACTGAACTGCAAAACGATGACAACCCAAAGAGTACATTAATAGGTGATATGGGAATTCAAAAGAACCCGGTAGCGTCTAAAGGCGTGATCTTGGTGATGTGGAATATATTGGTTGCTCACTGTAATTTTCCCTATTTTTTATAAACCAATCGAGTGATCGAACATAATATAGACAAGATAGAAACATCCCAATGCCCAAAAAAATAAACTTAAAAATAACGATAAATCAGAGAAGAAGTAGTATCATCCAATCAAACATGGAACTTGAGTAAGAAAGTACAAACAGAGTGCAAGGTAATCAAAATGAAACCTGCAATAAGCAGTGAGAGGTTTGGCGAGTTCCGTAACAACAACGGAGTCCACCACTTTATCTTCGGTCTTCCTGATGTCTGGGTTAATGGTCTCCGCCCGCACCACCACCATTCTCCTCGGCTTTACTGAAACGGATGACGAAGGCGCCCTACCGAATGAAAATCCAACTTGAGCCATAGCCATGGAAGCCATTGAATTCGGAAAATTCTTTTAGCTGGAATTTGGGCGTAAAGGTCTAACCTTTTGATCCCTGTGATGTTAGGTTGCAATATTGAAGAATTTGGACTTTTAAAAAAGGGGAAGGGGGGTTTGGTGACTTATGAGAGGGTGATGAACTTGTGGCAGCCACGCTCCCTAGTTGATTTTATCAGCCTTGTGTCCTCACAAAATTGTTCCACAGGTCCAGTTCAGGTGATCCTCACTTCTCAGCCATCCGATCATATAGCATGACGCGTGTGTACCCTTCTCAATTTCCCAATTGTTCGGACAGTCATGGCCATACGTATCCCTGCGTTTTCCGCTAGGAGAAACTATTTTGTGATCAATAATGCAATTTTTCTTATGTTGGTAGCGATTTTTATCCTTATCGAAATATATAATTAGATACACTATCATTTAGTATCAATACAAAATTCCTATTAATACAACTACAATATAGACATGAATAATAAAATCATGTATATGTTTGGCTGCACATGTAAAACCTGCCAATAATAATTTTATTTTCAATTGTAAGTGTAGAATTCAAACGAATATCTCATTACTTAAAGTTTCATTCTCATTCTGATATTAGTTTAACTCTTATTCTACTTAAAAAAAACTATGAAATAATGTTATTATTATATGTAGGTGAGAATACTATTGAATGGTTAGATCATGACATTTTTGTTGAAGTCAAATAGTCAATCAAAGGAATATCTCAGTAGTTGAAGCCTGAAGGTCTCATTCTCATTTCGACGTTAGTGTAACTTTTATATTATTCAACATGTAAAAATGGTGTTAGTCTAACTCTCGTCTTACTCAACAAATTATGTAATGTTATTATATGTAGCCGGGAACAATATTTTTGAATTGTTAGATAATGACATAACTTGTGTTAACATCGTAAACTAAGGCATTGACTTTTTTTTTTTTTTTTGTAAACAAAGAAAAAGAAAAACAAAAAACAAATAACATAAGCATACTCGTTTTAATAAAAAAAAAAAAAAAAACCCAGCTTAAATAGATTCCGCACTTAATAACAGTACCACCAACACGGAACTGGACGTCAACTCCCTCTCAACTGAAGAGGCCCAACACGGAACTGTATCGGTTGGTCGTCAGTTCTCTTCTCCGGCTACCTAGACCAATTTGGTAAACATCAATAAAGCCGGCTGCCCAAGCCTAGTATTACGCCGGCCTACATCGGTGATATTTTCCAATCAATACATTTTTCAAACCCGCTGCCCGGAATCCGGATCGACTAACTACCGTCAATATCAAATTCATCATTACTGCTTTCATCATCATCATCAATCACTCCCACACTCCGGCGGATTGCGTCATTGCTAGCCTAAGAAGAGTTCACTCCAACGAAGTCATGAGTTCTGCTAAATTATAAAATTCCCACTTAAGAGGAACCCTAAAGTTCAATAAACCTTTTGTAATTTTTTCTAGTATTTTTTCTTTTTTTTTTTTTTTTGGTACACTTTAACCTAAAATTTTCATTGATCAACTTTTAAACCACCTATTTTCCTCCGCCTTACACCTTACGCAACACACATTCTTTTTTTTTTTTTTTTTTTCGTGATTCTAGAAACTGCCTTCTCCTTAAATTTCTAATTTCCTCCTATTTTTTCGGCGGGAGAGAATTTATTCGGTCGTGACGGAGAGGGGTTCTGCGAAGGTGGACATGGCTGCATTGTACCCGATTTGGTACCTATTCTTGATTGGTTATTTCGTGGCAGTTTCAGTCTCGGCGACGTCGGAGCAAGAAATTCGGAATAGATTTTACGGAAATTTAGTTAATTCGTCTTCGCCGGAGACCGGGGATGGCAGCATTGCCAAGATGTTCGATCGCGTTCTCCAAAAGGAGTTCTCTGACAACGATCAACCTGAAGGTTAGGTCTTTCTTTTTTACCGGTTCATTTCGTGCATTTAGATTGTTTGCAGACTCGTAGTTGCAGCATTTTACGCTTTACCTAATACGGAAATGAGTTCGCAGTTAAATTTTTTTGACCTTGTTGGAAGTCACCTGATTTTTTATTTTTTATTTATTTTTTATTCACTATGATATTTCAATTACTTGGATTAGTTATTGCAATATGATTCTCTAGCAACTTGATGTTACCGACTTAAGTTCAGTGCATGATGAACTCTTCAGAGTCATTTTGGAATGCTGAGAGAAGTGGGCTTTTGAATCACCTCTAGCAAACTAATTTGGGGTTAGTAGTTAATGAATATTATAAGATCATAGAGGTTATTAGAATAATGAAAGAGTAAGGGTAACAGGACGCATGGACAATGATTCTTCCCTTCTATGATTGACATAACATGAAACGATTAAGGTTCAAGAAGTTTTTTTCTTTTTAATGTATACTTCAAACTCGTCTCCTTAAAGGTTTTGGGACTTACCCAACAAAATAGGCACTCGCTTAACCGAGACAAGATGCCTATAAATTTGTTAGCTTAATGCTTTATGTGTTTACTTTAAGACTAATTGATTGAGATCTGATACTGTTGTTTTTTTCACTAGGTTCTGATGGAACCAGCTTTAATAGCAGTGTAGCTGATCAGCAAGTATGTTTTCCTTACTGTAGCAAATTCTCTCGTGGTGACTTTGGCATTGATTCATGTTTGTTACAATCATTTTTAAGTGAATGCTTGAAATGAGGTCAATTTATTGAACGAATTCAAGAATGTGCACTGATCCTCTTTTTTCATCGAGCTTCAGTTCAACCAAATATTTAAGCGGTTACCTTGGTTTTATTTGGAACACATTTTATTACTTGTCCGCGTATTGATGTACATGCTAGTCGAATAGTAGTGCATTGTACTCTCTGTTGCTTAGCATGTCTCCTGCTGTGCAGGCAGTATTAGAGACCGTGGCCAAGATCACCCATGAGAGAAATAAGAAGAATGACACTCAAGAGGCAAAGTAAGATATGGTGATATTAAAAATTTGTTCTATATTTATGATGTGTTGGGGCCGCTTCTCCAGCATTGCTTACTACCTAGATTTCAGCTGAAGTTTATGTCTTTTCCTTACCCCTTTTGCCCAATTTCTTTTCCCAGTGCCACCAGATCTTTCCAAATTCAAGATGTTTTCAATCTAGATAACGAGGGTTCTGATGACACAACGACCATTATAGACAAAAAGGTGATATTAACTCCTACTAAGGACTTCTTATTTAGTTCATTAAACTGTGCAGCTACTTCTATTACATGCCCAAGTATTTACATGTCATGGTTGTTGGCAGGATAATCAATATGTAATGTCAAATAAAAAGTCAAAGTATCCAGTTCTCCAAGTAGATCTGAGGTCAGTTCTTTGCTTAAATTCATATTCTCAGTTTTTGTCTAGATAATTCCAGTGACATTTATGTTTGTACATTTCAGGCTAATTTCTGATTTGGTAGTTGTTATAGTCTCTGCTGCAATTGGTGGAATTATCTTTTCTTGCTTGGGACAGCCGGTTTGTGATATGAAATTCTACTTCTGTCTAAATTACACGCGGGTTCTTTTTTCCTTGGCTTGATTGTTGGGTACTTGGATTCGCTGATAGTCTACTTCTTGCAATTGTTGTAGGTTATTGTTGGCTATCTTCTTGCTGGATCAGTCATTGGGCCTGGGGGTCTTAAATTTATCAGTGAAATGGTGCAGGTAAGATTTCCTTAATATCAACCAAACTATACTCTTATGGTCTATTGTCTTTTTATCATTGGCTTATGCTGTGTTCCCCCGAGGTGCGACAATGAGGAAATATGCACATTGCTTTTGGGTGAAGATCTTGTCACCTGAGTTCTTTAAGCACTGGAAAAAATACTTTGCCTTACCTGTTGTTTTAATATTATTGCCTGCAATTTTTATAAAAGAGGCTCAATGGACAAGTATAAGATGGATCAGAGAGTCTAAAGAAGAATAAAACATGATAGTAGTGTAAAAAATGCTTTTGTTCTTGACTTTCTGTGTCCCATATAATAAATTAAATTCTTTCCTTTTTTTGCTTCCCTAGTAAGTCCAACTGTAGTGTCAGTAATATGTGGATCAGAAACATTTAAGTATCCATGGGATATCATGCAAGCTTGCCAATTCTTCAAACAGTCGACATCTGAACAGAAAGAAAAGTCTCTTTTAAATTTTGGTGATGGCTGGTTTATTAAACTTCAGGTAGAGTGGTGCATGTATAGGTAATAATGAAATGATCTTGACTTCTAACTACATTCTCTGGATACCCTGGACTTAACTTTCCTTCATTATTACAGGTTGAGACTTTTGCTCAGTTTGGTGTTGTATTTCTCCTATTTGCCTTGGGTCTCGAGTTCTCTTTAGCAAAGGTGCAGCTTTTGTCTTTATTTCCTGTTTCTACCTACGTGCTTTCTTTTGGCATTTTTTTTGAATTCAAGTTATCTCTGTGTAACTGGACTTGTTTATGCAGCTAAAAGTTGTAGGTCCTGTAGCTGTTCTTGGAGGGCTACTTCAAATTGCAGTACTTATGCTTATGTGTGGAATTACAGCATTGGTACTTCTCTGCGTAGATTGAAAAAGTTACTTGATACAAATGCTTCATATATTGTTATTTTTCATATTTGTGAACTTCAACAGAACTTCTTAAAACTTTATGGTGCAGCTATGTGGAGCAAAGTTGTCAGAAGGCATATTTGTGGGTTGCTTTCTTTCAATGTCATCAACTGCAGTGGTATACTTGTGAACGTGATTCTATTAATTAGTTTCTTTTTATCTTTTTGGTTGCACTGATTTCACCATGGATTTTTGTCCTCGATCAATCAACAGGTGGTGAAATTTTTGGTCGAGAAAAATATGAACAATGTGCTTCATGGTCAAGTAACAATTGGGACACTTATTTTCCAGGTGATGTGTAAGACTGACATGCTTTTTATTAGAAGAAGAGTTTTTTAAATGATTAGCTACTGTACGCAATTTGTGTGGGAATGTTGTTACTTTTTTTTTTTTTTTTTTTTATAAAAAATCTGCAAATATAGTTGGATCTCCTGTGCTTTAAAAAGTTCTTTCCTTTTCATTTTGTTTAATTCTGTGTTTTGCTTTTATCAGGATTGTGCTGTTGGGTTGTTATTTGCTTTACTTCCAGTTCTAGGAGGTAGTAGTGGCATTTTCTTAGGAATGGTTTCTATGGGGAAATTGTAAGTTTCTAAAGCCTATATTCTACTTTGATTTGTGGAATCATATTGCAGAAAATCTCAATCTGAATTACCGAGTGTGCTTTTCTCTCTTTCAGGCTGCTGACCCTGTCTGTGTATCTTGCTTGTGCATCCTTGTTGACTTGGTCATTTGTGCCACGCTTCTTAAAGCTTATGATACAAATATCATCCCAAGTAAGAGATATTTTCATGCATTTATCTCATATTTGCTTCTGCTATGTGGTATATTCCACTGCAACAGCACATTGTAGCACTTTTAAGTACGTGTAGTGCTGAACCTACATCTGGCGCTGATTTTTCCCTCGGGGGAAATTTTTCTTCTTCTGGGGTTTTTCTATGATTTTCTGGACCAGCTTTTGGCAAATTTCTAACATTGGATCTGTTCTTTTGATTGTTTAGACGAATGAACTATATCAGCTTGCTGCAGTGGCTTTTTGTCTTTTGTCTGCTTGGGTAAGTTTTGAAAGTCCTTTTTAGGCAGTTAATTCATCATTGTATGTATCAAACAGATTTTTTCTCCCTGTTCGGCAGTGCTGTGCTACTAGCTAATTGTTTTTTGCATTTAATTTTCCTTCTACTTTTAACCTTGATACTTTAGCCAACAGGTAGAGGCCCCGGTTAGGAGGGTAGAAACTATATAATCAAGAATTCATATTAAAAGGGGTAGGGGTAGACCTAAGAAAATATGGAAAGAAACTATCAAAAATGATTTGAAATATTTAAATTTGTCCGATGATTTATGCACCGATCGAGCACGATGGCCACATATGATCCACATAGCCGACCCCACCTAGTGGGAAAACGGTTTGTTGTTGTTGTTGTTGTTGTTTTAACCTCGATACTTTATTTTCAGTGCAGTGATAAACTGGGTCTCAGTCTTGAGTTGGGTTCCTTTGTTGCTGGTGTTATGATATCCACCACTGATTTTGCGCAGCACACCTTGGATCAGGTTATGTTATAAATACACCTGAATTTCTTCTTTTGTTGTCCAGTTCCTATCAGCCTTTTCCTTTTAGCTCTTACATTTACCTCGATATGATCTTCTTTGGTGTCATTTCATAACTATTATGGAAGCTATTGTTGTCCATGAATGTTGCTAAAACAAAGTATTTTGCCTTGGTTCATTTACGGGCAAAGCTTACTCTTTTATTGTGATAGAGACTACTTATCATCATGTCTCATGGTATTGCAATGAAAAGTATAGTGAATCTTTCAGTCAATTATACAGTTTTCTTAGACTCTTGTTGCTGTGTTTAAATGGTGGTATTGAGTTTGACGAATCGCTGATAGATACATTTCTCATTGGCAGGTTGAACCAATTCGTAATCTTTTTGCTGCCCTATTCCTCTCAAGCATCGGAATGCTCATTCACGTGCAATTCCTCTGGACACATGTGGACATATTACTCGCCTCAGTTATACTTGTCATAGTTGTTAAAACAATTGTTGCTGCCACAGTTACCAGGATATTTGGATATAATGTGCGGACATCAGTTCTTGTACGTGGACTAATTCTATTTTTGTTATAATAGTCGAATGTGTGGTCTTTTACGATTTGCATTTTATGGATATTGGCTGTAGGTTGGTCTCATGTTGGCACAAATTGGAGAGTTTGCTTTTGTACTTTTGAGTCGTGCTTCAAATCTACATCTCGTTGAGGTGATCTATCTATTCCAGTCTCTTCTCTTTCTCGATTGTAGCATTTCTTTACTGCTTAAATCTTTGGTAAAATTTCTGTTTAGTGGTAGAATTTCGATGTACTTGATAGTTGTATAAGACCATTGCATTAATATATTTGACCAATCTTGGGGACTTTTAAGAGTACTTGATAGTTGTGATGCGCACTTGCTAAGGTACGAGTGACTTCATTTCCAATATTAGATGGCACTTATGATTCTGTATACTAGTTGCAATCACGTGGCCTAGTCGTAATTAATTTGAATTGAGCTTATTATTGTACTTGTCTAGTCTATTTAGGCTAATATTGTACTACACATGCAGGGAAAGATGTATCTTCTTCTTCTTGGAACAACTGCTTTTAGTCTAGTGAGTTCCTCTAAGCTTGGATACATTATCATTAATTCTGAGGCTTCTCCTTTTTACTTTTGGTTCCTGACTTCCTGTTATTTACTCCTCTAAATGTGTCACAGGTGACAACTCCTGTCCTATTCAAACTAATACCTGCCGCAATGCATCTAGGGGTCCTTATGAACTGGTTTCCATCAGAAAGCAGTGGCCAGAATGAGGTTATTACTTAGCAATTATGAATCGCCTACTTGTTAGTCCACCTGATTTGTTCTCTAAAGAATGAAACTTTAACAATGTTTTTGATAAGTTATGAAAATGTGAATGCTGGCATCTTGTTGATTCAAGTCCTCGTGCTGCCATCATAAATACTGTTTTAAACTTGTAAGTCTCAACATAGACCACTAATGTAGTAGTGATATCTAGAAGAAACATCAGTCATTTGGAACTTACAAACGAACTGAGTATTAATATCTTAACGGCAACCTGTAACCCTGGTCCTTTTAGTTTCTTTATTGAAGTCTTATTTTGAAACCTCTGCTCTCATCTTTTGTAATTTATAAACAACAATCATGTTGCTTCCTGTTTTGAGGGAAAGGAAAAGTAAACAGACGCAAAATACATACTTGACTGGCTTCCTGGGACAGTTCATATATCTCCCTCCTTTTACTTCCTTTGTTCAATAACACTATGCATGGATGCGGGCAGTATGTTTGGATAGTTGCTTTTGTCCTTTAATCTCAAGAATGCTGTTACATATTTTCTGAATGTTGTCATGATACTTTTTTACCTGCAGGAGAAGACGTCCGCGATTGAAACTTACAACAGATTACTGTGACAGGCTGTGCTAAATTGATGCAAGCCTTATTAGAAGAAGGTGCAGACATAGGTCAAGAATGATAGGGTAGAGAATTTTAGGGCACCTGCATTACATAGTTATTAGGCAATCTCATCTTACACCTCAACTCAACTTACTAATGAAAGCATTAGACTTTTTATGTAGATATAAAATCCTTCAACACTGATGTATATATGTATTTACTATAGTGGGATTCGAATATCGCGATCAAATATGATACATGGGCCGTATCATTAGTTAAATATTGGCCCCTTTCAATTTTTGATGCAATTTTAGGCTTGTCACAGAGATCTGCGTTTGGTTTGCTTTGTACCTCGTTCCTTTTTGAACTAGGCATGATTCTCATGTTGTTTGCACATACTCGTCTCGTTTCTAAGCCAGGATGCATGCCGATAATTGAAAGTTAATTGTTGCATACCCATCGGTTACATTGACGAAAGTGATTTCCCCCATATCATGGGGCACAAAGGCTTGCCACAAGCATCTCCATTCTTGTAATATTAGGCTTTAATATTATGCCTAATCTGTTTAATACGAGTACTTATTGAAATTTTGCAGCAAAATAATTACTATTTTAAAGCACATCAAAAGGAGAATATCAACTAACTTCATGTGGTCTCCTTTTAAAAAATAAATAAATAAAGAAATCAATAAAATCATGTGGTCTGGGTACAATGTAATTTGAGTTAGAAGTTCAGGTGGATTGGTAAGGATGAAACAATTGTAGTGTTAAAGTTGATAAGGAAAATTTATAATCTCGCTAATTGTACTCAAAAAAGAAAATGTAAAAATCTTTATATATTTATTTATTTATTTGTTGAAAAGATCAAATCTTTAGTTACTCCTGCAATGATACATGAATTAAATGTGTAGCAAGTCCAATAATCTAAAAGACAATTTAGCCAGCTGCTGAACTGTGGATATCCTAGTGTATGAAAAAAAAAAATGAGAACAAAACTGGGAAATTGGCAATATAATTGTTATTGTTTTATGTTTGAAAATTTTTCTTGTTCTATTTTGGCTCTTTTTTTTTTTCCCTTTCCGAGTAGCAAAGGAGCCATTAGTTTTTTTTTTTCTTTTTTTTTTTTTTTTTTTTCTGTTCTAGAAACTTCTAATAAAAAGGGTGAAGGAAGATAATCAACCTTCTTCCCCTTCTTGGTGCCTTAGCCGTTTACCGTCTTTTCAACTTTTCTCTTGTCAACCAATTCGCCGTTTTATAGATACTTTAATCTGCTCCTAAGGTTTTTATCGTTCTCTCCGACGTCAACGGAGTAATCTTCTGATATTTCCGGCGTCATCGATTTTTTCAGTCAAGTAAGCGGAGATCATGGAAAAGCTTCGATGTCAGAGGATTGGTTGCAACGCGGTTTTTACCGAGGACGATAACCCCGACAATTCCTGCACCTATCACGAATCTGTTCGTCTCTCTCTACCTTATTTTACTTGCAGATTTATATTAATGCCGTTGATTTTTCATTCATTCTCTGAGTTAAGCTTCGAGTAGTAACGAGATTTTGTATTCTGTTCCGTCCTTTTTGCTGAATTCTAGTGTATGTTATCTTTATATTTATATTCAATTTTGTGTTTCTATGTGTGTGTTGCGGCGTTGTTTATCCGCTCTTTGATATGTGAACATCATATAACTGCGGGGAAGGGAGATTTAGTTGGTCACGAAGATTCAGGATTGTCCGCTTGGATTGAAAAATTCACTTAGATCGGCAAGAGATTTTGTGCTCTTTTGGAATCTTGTATGCATTAGGACTCGACATGTGTGAGCTTTTCTGTGCTACAAATAATGTCGAAATTAGTTAGCTAATAAGTGAGGTGTGGGATTTGTTTTAATTCACCCCGCAAACCTTAAAGGTTGGAATGCCGTTCTTCCTATTTAACCATATTTTCAGTAGCAACAATGCTAGTTACGGCAGCATATGATCAGTTAAAGACCTGATGCTTTTTTTTTTTGGTGGTATTGGTTGTTCTTGTGCAAATTGCCTTCTATTTGCTTTTTTTTTTTTGCAGAGTTAGTTCCTTTTGATTTCTAACTCTCCTGTTATATACTTATATTTCTACTGCCTGTCCTTACTGAATACCTAATGAAGAGTGTAGTTGAGTGTTTCTACTCTCTGCAAAGAACTAGGCCTAGGATACAATGTAAATATTTGCTTGTGAAGACCCTTCTAAAACCTATGGATTTAGCTTTTAATTTTTTTTTAGTTTGCATTGTGCAATATTGTTTGACAGATTTTTAACTTGAATGGATAATGACAGACAGGCCTTTTGTCTAACAGTTTCTTGTTCTTTTGCATGGCATGGCTATTGCTAATTGGGTTCGGTGTTGGTCATCTTATAGGGTGTAAGTATATATTAGTTTGCATTTTCCTTTTTACAGTTTCTCTTACATAATTTCTAAAATGGATATGTGCATATTCTAAGCCTCTGAATTCCCCAGCCTATATTCCACGATGGGATGAAAGAGTGGAGTTGTTGCAAGAAAAGAAGCCATGACTTCAGTCTGTTTTTAGAAATTCCTGGGTGAGTTGCGGCGTCTATCAAGTTTCTGTTTTTATGGTGTTCACCTAGTTGAAGCTTCAGCCTCCGAAAGGCTTTCGCTTGGTTGTTATCATAATATCAGTGAAACAGTTTGCTCCATTTACCTAGTGAATAATTAGCTCTCTGTCAGAAGCTTTCTTTTAGTTGGTAGACTATAATGGTAAAGACACTGATAAATAATCCTATGCTACAATAGTTAGTCTTAAATAACAGATCCAAAGGCACACCTTGTTCGTTGAGAGCTATTTTTGGTAATTTGATCTTTATACTGCTTCTATCTTCTGTCTGATTGAGTGGTATTTTTTTAGTTGCAAGACTGGGAAGCATACGACAGAAAAACCAGTTTTAGCAAAGGCAGCACCTCCAAAGAGACCAATTTCTGTTCCGATTCCTGAGAATAATGCATCAGCAAAGGATTCTTGTCCAAGATGTCGACAGGGATTCTATTGCTCAGACCATCGTATGTAACTTCATTTAAAAATCATTCGCTTTAACCACTTCAAGTTTGTTCTAGGTTTTTTTGACTCAAAACTATGATGATTCTTACATTTAGGTACTCAAGCAAGGAATATGAATAAAAAAACCTCAGATATTGTTGTTACAACATCTTGCGAAAGTGAATCAAATTCACAGGATGTTCCACCACCAGCAGTAAAGAAGATAGTTGACATCAAACAACCTCAAATTTGTAAAAACAAGGGGTGTGGTAAAACCTTCAAAGAAAAGGATAATAGTGATACTGCATGCAATTATCATCCTGGCCCTGCCGTTTTCCATGATCGGATGAGAGGGGTGCGTTATACTACTATTTTGCCATATCCTTTTGCCGGGTTTTGTGGTGCAAATGAATGGTCTTAAAGCTGACGTTTTCTCTTAAATTTTTGCAGTGGAAATGCTGTGATATTCATGTAAAGGAATTTGACGAGTTCATGGAAATTCCTCCTTGCACGAAGGGTTGGCACAATGCTGACGCTACATCATGATAAACACACCATCGGTAGGAGGGATTGATGGGTTTTTGCTCCCACTAGTATGTTTACTTTGAGCAGTTAATCTTCTTGTTGTGCATTTCAACATTGCATTGTTTCGGACATTTCATAAGAGGGATATTGAGTCCCAGTTGTTCTTGTGTGTCTTACTCTGATTTGATCTTTTGGTTTTTGTCTCACATAATCAGCTCTAGCCTTCAAAACTTTGGCTTCATTGTCAGTCTGTATCTTGATAATATCCTATCTTCTGAAGTTATATTGATGACATACTGAAAATCCTGCGGGTGACTGCTAATCTCTGAGTTGGATATGTTGAAACCTGTTTAGCGCAAATTACAGTGGTGAAATAGCTATAGGCACCCAGTTGACCAGTTCTTCATATCCGAACAAAGTGAACATATCATTTTTTGTTACTTTCTTGTTATGGGGGATTTCATTGCGTTCATCCATTGGCCACTTTGTAATCACTAGTAGTCAGAGTTGGAGGTCTGGTTACCATACAGCCCAATATTTTGGCCCATTGTTGTGCCTCTGTTTACTGGCATCTGCTGAAATCCATATACAATATGACTGATATTTTTCTGATGGATCTGCTGAATAAGATGGAAGGTTCCTATGCCGCTTCTGCCTCAAAAACATATCCTTCCATCTTTTTATGCTCCTTGTAGTTCATTTTATTCAATTGTTATGTTAGACTATAGTATGTTTAACTCTATGATCTTTCTTCCTTTTTTTTTTTTTGGGTGTTTTCGAGTCAAAAGAAATATATTATATTGTAATTACACCAAAAGATGCATATGCAAAATCCAAATTAAGCAACAAGTTGAAAAAAGTGTTCATTTACAAAAAGAATTTAAACGTTTAACTGACTAATGGTTTATTTTTATTCTATATATTTCTTTATTAGGAATGTGTTGTACTTTCGCCATCGAAAAAGAAATGATACAAAAATTCAATATTGATTTTTTTTTTTGGGATAAGATGAGTAGTAAGGGACGTTATTATTGGAGACACAGCTTGCACATACACTGAAATGCATTTTTTTTCCCTATGATGATTGTGTTGAATGAAGTTAGAACTGAAGCGTTGGAATCCCACCAAAGTATGGGGTAAATTTAAAATTGGTTTAGCCTATCGCTTAGAACATGGAGATCGGGTTTTAAATTTAGCTAGGTGTTTTACTGTTCAATTCATTTGGCTAGTTATCTCACAACTCAAAAGAATGAATAGTCACATTTACTCTGTCATGGAGAAGGGGGATTTGCCACGTTACACATAGTAGACATCTGCAATATCATAAGAACGGTGAAATTCCTCATTTCGAAAGGTTGCCCCCCCCAAAAAAAGGACATTGAGGTGCCTGGTTCAACCAAGGAATCATAGTTTGGAATGGCTTTTATAAAATAAAGAATCACTATGGGTGTCAAAACTTTCAATTACCTTGCTTGGTTATTAATTAATTTGACTATAAATTACTCAAAAAGTCATTTTTAACCTCATCCTTGTCTTAGCATCCTCCTATCTCTCCGCCGTTCAACTCCTATCTCATCCCAATTCTATGTCTTCGCCGCCCAACAAAACCCCACCAGTGACATCACACCACCCACCTCCTTCTACATCAAACAAACCCATCACCCATCATTCTTATGTAACAAATAACTCTCAACAATTTCTACCAAATTTAGTGCCCAAAAAATTCCAAAAACATAAATTCATCTCCTTTTTTGGAAACTCTCCTAAAATTTTGTTGAATCAGAAGATTTGATCATCATCACAAAAGTTCCCTTTTGCCTCCATGAATAAAGAAGGATTGGCCATCGGTGGCAGAGCGTAGCGGCAGGCGGCGGCAAATTTGTTCTCGGCAATTTAGGATTTTATTTGTTATGATTCTTTTTCTTTAAAAATTGAGGTTTGATGGTGCTAATTTATGGTGAGGCTATCGATTTGGTGTGAACATTTGGGCTTGAGGAAGGAAATGAAGGAGAAGAAGAGATGTGGAAGAGCAGTGAATTCGTGGAGTAGGAAAAAATGGCAAATGGGTTAATTAGTAGAGGGGTAAAGGAAGGAATTTTCTTTTCTTTTGACTTAAGGTTATCAAACCCTCCAATTATATGTGGAATGGGTTATTGGGTTTGAAATCCAAAAAAACTACTGTGCTGGAATCATAACTCAGCAACCAAGCAGCTTGATATGGAATCAAACCCGCACCATGGGATTCACACCCCCAAACCAGGCGCCCCCTAAAATCAGCACGATCACAAATTTATGAATCATCAAACAGAAACAGGCTACAGGAAAAATTCGGAGCCCCGTGGGGGTGTGGGTCAGCAACACTGGATAATGGATACGTTTGAGTGCAGGCGGATTTAGCGCTGTTTCGTTATCTCTTTCATGTTGGCTCTTTTTCTTATCATTAAGACTGAGAACCAAAGTTACATAGTACATACTACTACTGTTCATCGTTGTTGCAAAGGTTACTTGGGTAGTCAAGTCAAGGGCAACAAACGGATTCCTCAAAATTTTGCCACGTAACTTGTTTCTCATTGGAGGAAAGCTCTCTCTGCCTGCCCTTGAGTTCATGGGGGCGCGGAATGATCTCTGAAATTGGATCTTCTGAATAATCTGCTTTTTTTGAATCAGACTGCCTCCTATTGCGACAACTCCTTGGAAAAATCTCTTTCATTTTTGTAATTGTTTTTTTTAATTAAGACAATAAATCCAGATTGTTAGGGCACCAAATATGTAGAAGGATTCATTTAAATTCGTAGCATATGTAGTATAGTAAATAAGGGTGAAAAAGGACTTGCATGATTATAGATGAGCATGTTCACCCTAGTAGTTTTACCAACAATAAATACTTTCTTCTATTATGATGAGGGTATTTTTGGAGGGGTTCGCCTCACTTATCTGGTAGTTGTAGCATGGGCGACAAATCTATCGAAATCGTGGAGGCAAACAAGAAGAACAAATCTGCAAAACAACAATATATTATTATGCGAATTTATTTTGTTTTTTCTACCACCCATTTTACCCGGCCCTGTACGCATGCTGTGAAAATTTTCTGAGTCACGGAGCTAAGAAGGAGAAAAATTCAAAAGGGGTAATACGACCACTTTTGAAAAAATTTCCCCGTTGAGGCTAAAAGTTCGATGGACGATGTCGTAATTGTTTGATTCTTGCTGGACACAATCTTTATATAGTAGGGAGTAGTAGTTGTTGTAGTAAAACAAAGAAGTAAAGAAACTCAAAAAAGGGGAGAATTGATGCTTCTCAGATTTCAATACGAAGGAGTAAATTTTTGCAGTAAATGAAGGGAGGGGAAAAAAAATGAACTTGTGTAAATTCCAACAAAAGCAAAAAAATCTGGTGTCGACTTTACTGTCGGTCACGTTCTGGCTTTCTAAACAAGGAAAAAAGAAGACGACGAGACGACCGGACGGGTTTTAAAGAGTGATAAAAGTTGTTCTACTTTCACGAGAGACTGTTAAAAAGAGAAATTTCTTTGGCATTCAATTCGTATCTTCTTAATGCATTGTGTCAAAAGATTCAAGAAAAGACCAAAGACGATGATGCTTTTATCAAAGCAGTGTTGGAGTAGCCGTTTACTATCCAGTCGGAGTAAAGAGTCGTAGTCTCATCAACTACCCAATTATCTCTTCAATTATAGCAGTTCTGAGCCACCGAGAGATAATAATCTTTTTTTTAAAAAAGTGGTCTCACTTTTGCTTTCTGATGGAAAAGGTAAATCAGCACCACCCTCCACTTTCAGTCGTGAGTCTCACACCAGTAACAGAACACTGTAAGAAATGGGTGACATTTAGCGGGTGTTCCACAAGCGCGTTAAGAAGATCGCGTAGGAGATAACTGGGGGTATGGGGAAACGGCGACGAGGTACGGTTGACGGCGGCTGAGACTACTTTTTATCAGTTGCACCAGTCGACTAAAAGTCCTTCTAGCTAGTAGTAGTACTAGGCTATAGTGAACCGTGGATTACTGGTAATAGAGAGAGATTCTGGGCGACTAAAAAATAAACGTCGCTTCACCGCCGTTTGTTCAAGGATTGCCTACGATGACAACTGTTACTGTCTATACAACAATGAAAAACAACTAGGAGGAAATGAGGGCGACCGGAGTAAGATAAAAGATTGGCGTGGACTAGTTGTCTACTCGAATTGAAACTGTTCACTGTGTGAGTGTGTGTTCTGCAAAGACCCAATGACTCCATTTCCAATTAGGTCCTTAGCCCATTGGTTAATTCGTTGTTAAATGCGTGGCCTGCCTTTGCCTGCCTGCCTCCTCGACTCACAATCTCCGCGTGTTGTTGGTTCTTGTTTTTTGTATGCGCTACCTTTTTTTTTTTTTTTTTTTGTTTGTTTTCCAGTCCGCACTAATAATGTGTTGTTAATTTTGTTTTCTTTGGTTTGCACGCTAATTTTGCTGCTTGGCCAAACAAAAAACAAGCAAGAAAAAAAGTGGGTACAAAGATTTTTCAATTTTTGGTTTGTGTTGTTTGTTTTTGCTCTCTCTATCTTAGCTATCTTCATAAATAAACAATACTACTTACAAATCAAAGGCTGCGAAAGGGGGCATTAAAAACAACACAGCTTCACACAGAGGGGGGAGGGGGGCAACACTCTTCTTTCTCTCTCTCTTTTAATATTTTGTCGTAAATCAATTCACTCTATGCCTTACAGTTCACGCCAAACGCCTGTTTCTCTGCTCTACTCTGCCTCCCTACTCCCTGCCACCTCTGCTCTTTCCTTCTTCTCTCTCTTTCTTTATTTTTTGTTATACTCTTTCCCTTTCTATCTCTTTCTCTCTCTTTTCCATTTCTTCCCTATCTAATCCAAACACTACTCATAGAAATTCAACCAGCATTTAGGAGAAGAGTGAGACAGTTTTGCTACATACATCCTGCGTTTTGCATCACTGTTAAGCTTTGACCCAAATGGATTTTGAACAAGCTTGAGAAAACCAACCTTAGCAAGCACTACTTGTCTTCGTCTTCTCCTTCCATCCTAGTTAGTGATGGCCATTCTGGGTTTTGGCTGTTAGTTCGGGTTGTTTTACGGGTGGGTGGGTTTTATCGAATTTCATCTGATTCAGAGTTTGGTGGACCAAAAATGAAGATTCTTCTTCTAGCTGCTGTGACGCTCTTTGGATCAGCATTGGTGCCTCTCTCGTTGTCACTCAGCGATGAAGGTTGGCCCGCCCGGGGACTAATGTTTCGACGTCTTTCTACTACTCTCCTCTTGAAAGATAGTACATTAGTATATACAAATTGTCTTCCTTTGATTCCAGTTTATTTATGCATAAAGAAGACTATCCTGCTAAACGTGAAGCAATAAACTATTGTGAAACCATCTTTTTCCTTCTGATATGCTTTTCAATTGATTCTTTATCTTTTAATCAAAACCATATAATTTAAATGAGTTCTATTGTATGTTTTTTTTTGGGCATTGTCTTTCTGGGTCATTTTCCAACGGTTTGCCTGGGAATACCACTAGTCTATGATTGGAAGAACAAATATCTTCTCTTTTCGGATGTTAATTTAAAAAAGGAAACATCACAAAAGCTTTTAGGTTTTCTTTGGTTTTTTCCTCTTTGGAAGTCTATTTGGGGTCAGTTTCCTATCATTACCAGAATATTAAAAATGTTGACTTTGCCGGTTTTCCAATAGTTTAATTGATCCCAGGTTGGGGTATTATTCTAATGTGATGGTGTGATTAATTTATCATTCTTCATTTATCTGAAAGAAATAAAAATTGTATAAAAAATTATTTCCAACTCTTTAACTCTAAGAATCCTCTGTTTATTTCGGTGGTACATACAATTTTCTTAATATGGAATCAGTTCAGTGGATTTGTGGTTGCATGCTGCTCATTTGTCGTGACGGAAAACCAAATAAATGTAGTAAACTGTGCCACGCAGGGAAAGCTTTGATGTCCATTAAATCATCGTTCCGCAATGAGGTGAATGTGCTTTCTGACTGGGATAGTGTCCAGAATGAAGATTTCTGCTCTTGGAGAGGAGTCCTTTGTGGCAATTTCACTACCTCTGTTGTTGCTCTGTGAGTCTCTCTCCCAATTCCAAGTGTTTTATGGTGACACCCATTAAATAATTGTCAGATAATTTAACTGTGCCTCGGAATGGTTTGTTTTTTTCACTGTGAAGGAATTTATCTAACCTCAATTTGGGCGGAGAAATTTCAACTGCAATTGGAGATTTGAGGAGTTTGCAGTCACTGTATGATTCCTGTCTTCTGGTTACGTTGTTGGCCTTAGTTTTAGCTTTTCCCAATTTTTTATGCTACTAGACGAGTAACTAGCTGTCTCTTTTAACTCCTACCAGTGACCTTCAAGGAAACAAGTTAACTGGCCAAATTCCTGATGAGATTGGAAATTGCATCTCTCTGGTCCTCCTGTAAGAACTTGAATTTTTAACTCTTACAATATTCAGGAAATGTCCATTCATAATATGAAGAGTTTTGGAAATTTGCAGGGATTTATCTAATAATCTGCTTAATGGGGACATACCCTTCTCAATTTCAAAGCTGAAGCAACTCGAGACCTTGTGAGTTTTATGCCGTCTCTAATCATCTTATTGTTGCTGTGTATGGTATGTTTTGTTTTATTTTCTGAGTTTAAGGCTGAATGTATCCACAATGTAGGAATTTGAGGGACAACCAGTTGACCGGTCCTATCCCTTCAACCTTGACACAGATTCCCAACCTAAAAGCACTGTAAGTGAAAGGGCGCGAATTTTACTCTGCGATTATTACCCATAGTTGAATTTTTGTGCTTAGAATCACTAACTGAAATCAACTATTGCTTTCCTCTTGCAAGTGATCTCGCTAGAAACCAGCTTATTGGTGAGATACCAAGGTTGATTTACTGGAATGAAGTCTTACAGTATCTGTACGTTGGATGATTCTTCTCTGTCTTCACCACTTTCCTTTATCAACCAGCAATCTTGTGGACAAGGTTTGCTTTAACTTGTATAATTGTCTGCTTGGACAGGGGTTTACGTGACAATGCATTGACAGGAACTCTCTCATCTGATATGTGTCAGTTAACTGGATTATGGTATTTGTAAGTACTCTTTCTTGTTGCTCCCAGGCCACACAAAGCATTTGTTTCTTATTCTTTTCATCTTGGCACTAATACTCGTTTTATTTCAGTGATGTGCGCGGAAACAATCTGACTGGTAACATTCCTGAAAATATTGGCAACTGTACAAGCTTTGAAATCCTGTAGGTTGCTTCTCTGAGTGTATTCCTGCTATTCATTTGTCTTGGGGGGATTTTTTTTCCCTAAACCTGCATTATACCTCATTGCAGAGATATCTCATATAATCAGATCAGTGGTGAGATCCCTTACAATATTGGTTTCCTACAAGTGGCCACATTGTAAGTTCTAGCAAGTGAGAAGTTTTTTACTGTACAATAGGATAGCAGCTGGCTGCTACTCTACATACAATCTTCAACTTTATCTGGTTTTCCGTTAGTTTAGCTCCTGTTATGTTTTACTATTGGCTTTACAGTTTTTATGGTTGCTTCGACAGGTCTCTGCAGGGAAATAAACTGAATGGGAAGATTCCAGATGTCATTGGTCTTATGCAAGCACTTGCTGTTCTGTAAGTTTTGAAAGCAGCATCTCTAAATACAAACTTTATTTTTATGTAATTATATACGACCATGCATTTATGTCTTTTATTATTTCATTTGGAAACATTTAGGTGCTAATGCATCTCTTTTTTCTTTTCGTTTTCCTGCCAGAGATTTGAGTGACAATCAGTTAGTTGGACCTATCCCTCCCATTCTTGGCAATTTATCATATACTGGAAAACTGTAAGTATTCATGGTTAATATTCTCCATCTTTCGAACTTGCTGCTTCTTGCCGGTTTTGTGCTCAAGTGCTCATTTCTCATGAATGATCCCTTAGGTACCTTCACGGAAACAAGCTTACAGGGCCAATTCCACCAGAGCTTGGCAATATGTCCCGGCTCAGTTATTTGTATGTTTCGAATCTTTGTGCGTTCATTGCTTGAATTATTCAATATCAATTTGCTAAGTGTGTTTATACACAGGCAACTAAATGACAATCTATTGGTCGGTCAAATACCAGCTGAACTTGGGAAACTGGAGCAACTTTTTGAACTGTAAGTCTAGATTAATTCGTGAAAAGTTTCCCCACTTCCATTTTTATCACAAGCTAATTTATACCTCATTTGCAGCAACTTAGCGAATAACTTTCTTGAAGGTCCAATTCCTGAAAACATCAGCTCCTGCACAGCACTAAATCAATTGTAAGACTTCCTAGTTCCCATTCACATGTGAAATTCCTACTTCAATGTTTTATGTACTTGTAAAATTCACTTTCTGATGGCTATCCCTGACGTGTCCTAGCAACGTGCATGGCAATGGCTTAAACGGTTCGATTCCGCTGGGATTTCGCAATTTGGAGAGCCTGACATATCTGTATGTTCTGCTGTAGAGAAGTACTTCTAATTTCAACTTTAAGTTTGTGATTCGGTCGCTATTGACAGCTGAATCTCCAATGCACTCAGGAATCTTTCATCTAACCAATTCAAGGGCATCATACCGTTTGAGCTGGGCCACATCGTCAATTTGGATACGCTGTAAGTTCTTTTAGCGGATTTTGCAACTTCCCTTGGTCTCAAATACTTACACGCACTGTTTTTCTTCAGAGATCTTTCCAGTAATTATTTTACTGGACCAATTCCAGCTTCAGTGGGTGAACTGGAACACCTTCTTATACTGTAAGATATCTCATACTCTTTGGATTATTTATTCTTTGAGCAAAATGCAGATAATTGAATTTGTTGATTTGTGTAACTAACAGGAATCTAAGTTACAACCACCTTTCTGGAGCAGTGCCCGAAGAATTTGGTAATCTTCGAAGTGTGCAGACAATGTGAGTGTTCACAAGAAACTACAAGATACCATTTCAATAACATTTTAAACATAGGTATTTTATGGTAATGATTGTTGTTCTTCATAGTGATATGTCCTTCAATGCTTTATCTGGACCCATTCCGAAGGAAGTAGGCCAGCTGCAGACTCTTGAGTCACTGTAAGACCTCTACAAATTTTGTTACATCTTAAATCTCTCGCCTTAGCTCTTATGTGGAATATTTCTCTGCTAGTACCTGAATTAAACTTGCTTTGTGCATGTTGTTGCAGTTTCTTGAACAACAATAACCTTAGTGGAGGTATTCCAGATCAGCTAACAAATTGCCTAAGCCTCTCCAAGCTGTAAGTTTAACCAGACCCTATCTTTCTTCATGTTATATGATAAGCTAAGTTTCTGATAAAAATTTTCCTCAGGAATTTTTCTTACAACAACTTTACTGGAGCTATCCCTCCAAGCAGTAATTTCTCACGGTTTTCACCCGATAGGTACATACATCGTCCTCTAGTTAATTTTCCATGTGATATTGTCTTCACTTAAGAGACTTATATAGTATTTATGTTTCTTTTTTTAAGTTTTGCTGGAAATCCATGGCTATGTGGAAGCTGGCCAGGTTCAATTTGCAATCAATGTGCTTCGAAATCCAAAGGTACCTAGTTTTTTTTGTTTATTTAGAGGCTGAAGGAATAGTTCTCGTACCTTCCTGGGAATGCTGTACATCTAGGTTACTTAACTCAAATGATGTGATGCTTTGCATGCAGCAGCAATGTTCTCCACGATCGCTGTTGTTTGCTTAACTCTTGGCTTCTTGACTCTGCTGTCCATGGTGATAGTTGCTATCTACAAGTCCAACCAGCCACGACTGTTTGTGAAGGGATCTAAAAGAAGCACTCAAGGTGGTTCTCCACTTGAAAAAGAATTTCATTTTCTTCACTTCCTTGTTTGTTGAACAAGGCTTGATTCAGTTTTTGTTTCGTGTTCAGGCCCCCCAAAACTCGTGGTTCTGCATATGGATATGGCTCTTCATACCTATGAAGATATCATGCGAAGCACAGAGAACCTGAGTGAAAAGTACATCATTGGTTGTGGTGCCTCCAGCACAGTGTACAAGTGTGTGTTGAAAAATTCCCGGCCAATTGCCATTAAGCGAATTTACACTCAACATCCCCACAGTTTGCGTGAGTTTGAGACTGAGTTGGAGACTGTAGGAAGTATCAGACACAGAAACCTAGTCAGCTTGCATGGCTATTCTCTTTCTCCCCATGGAAACCTCCTCTTCTATGACTATATGGAGAATGGATCTCTATGGGATCTTCTTCATGGTAAGTGTCATTTCTCTGTTGCCTTCCATTTAGAATGTTGTATCCTATTCAATATGGATTTACTTCATTCATTTTTTGGCACAATTAAGGAGGCATCATAAGCCTAAAGAAAAAAAAAACACTTACACAATCATTATGGATTTACTTCTGTTTTCAGGGCCTTCCAAGAAAGTGAAACTGGACTGGGAAGCTCGTCTCAAAATTGCTGTTGGAGCTGCTCAAGGGCTTGCTTATCTTCATCATGATTGCAACCCAAGAATCATCCACAGAGACGTGAAATCATCAAACATACTTTTGGATGAAAATTTTGAGGCCCATCTCTCTGATTTTGGCATTGCCAAATTTGTATCTGCTGCTAAGCCTTATGAATCAACCTTTGTACTTGGTACAATTGGCTACATTGATCCTGAGTATGCAAGGACTTCCAGGCTCACCGAAAAATCAGATGTTTATAGCTTTGGTGTTGTTCTTTTAGAGCTATTAACTGGAAAGAAAGCTGTGGATAACAACTCAAACCTGCATCAACTGGTATCACTTTTCTCGAGAATTCTTTATTTTTTCGCTTGAGCATGCCAACAGTTGCATTATTTTTTTCCTGAAAATTTTCCATTGAGGGCAGATTTTCTAATATTGTCTTTGTCTCTATATCTAATCAGATTGCAATTAAGGCTGATGATGACACGGTGATGGAGGCTGTAGATACTGAAGTGTCAGTTACATGCATGAATCTAGCTCATGTCAAGAAGGTTTTTCAGCTAGCTTTGTTGTGCACCAGGCAGCATCCTTCTGAGAGACCAACTATGCATGAGGTTGCTAGAGTCCTCATCTCCTTGCTTCCACCACCTCCAGAGAAGCCCTATTCAGCTACCAAGACTATCGACTATGCGAATTTTTTGATTGGTAAAGAACAATCACAGTTGAAAAAGTTGCAGTCAGATGTGCCGGCAGACAGCAATTCCTCTGATGCTCAATGGTTGGTTAGATTCCGGGAAGTTATATCTAAGACAACCATTTGAACTTGTTTAGACATCTCAAATCTGCCTGTGGGGACATGTGAATGAATTGGTTCTTTTCGTTCCAAATTTTGTCTGTTACATTGTTCCCTTCAAACAAAGGTAGCAGGGCATATTCAGAGCTACTAGAGCTGTGTTTATGATGATGAGTTGGAATAGACCGGTTTACTGATTAATATCTATATTAGTCTTAGCCTTTTTGGTGCAATATAACAGTTCTTTAGGTGGTAGTTTGGAGCCAATTTGTGCAAATTAATTGGTTATTAAATGAACATTGCCGCTTACCATTGCTGTTTTCTGTTGCTTAATTTTTATATTTTTATTTTGGGTGTACCTGGAATTTCTGTGTATAGAGATGGAGAGAAAAAGTGAGAACGTAATGTGTATGTGAAGCCTCTTAGTAATCAACTGAAAACACATGGGGCTCCACGTACACATTAGATCACTTGCTCAACAGGATGGAACTGAGGGCATGTTAATATTAACCATGCTTTGCAAGCTCTATAATACAGGTTGATGTCAATAGGCGCAAGAAAGGCTATAGAAATTGATTGTTGGATTTTGGGATTTGAAAATAGGTGGAATGATCAAGATCTCCACACGGCTTCATGTCTATTTAATGCACATGATTAGTGAGACTGCCTCATCTTCATATATCATAGTTAAAAATCAGTCCATATTTACTCATCTCTGTTAATCAAAGTTCCTACAATACAACACCGGGGAAAAAAAAAACTTGTAGTTGCCTCCAAAGGTGGCAAATGTTATAACATTTATACTACAAAATCCAGTCTCTTGGTGAACTCAGTGGATGCCCAAGCTTCTGAAAGAGAAATTACAACTCAAGATTAGATGTAACGGCAGTTAGGCAGGACTAAAACTGCAATGGATGAGGGGAATTCCTCGAATTCTCCTAGCCTGGTAGTGATTCGCTAATCAACAACAGTTCAGAGTACAGACAGACAGTTGAGTGCTACCTGTTAATTGACTGATTTCCAATTCCAGGGATCGCCTTCACACTTCCGCACTGATTCATCTTCCCAACGCACCGCTGCAGACAATAAATCCTCAAAACTTAACGAACTCAGGGAAAAAAAACACAAAAATGCATAGCAACATTTCCTTACCCAAAAATCAGGATGGAAAGTATTTGGGGCATTCTCCTTCGAATCCTAAATGATCATCAACAGTGGAAACAAATAATATCCAGTGATATTACTGAAATTATCATAGTTATGATCATATTCGATATCTATTAGTTAACCTGAGACAACTGCAGGGAATCCGGCTGGGATACTGTGTCACTTCCCATTTCCGAGCTTATGGAAAGCTGTTGAACCAAAAAATGAAATGGTTTGGAATGCAGAAAAACAGCATCATGTACTCAGTGGTTTAATCCGAATGGATTCTCTAATGTATGATGCCACAACCATATGAAGGTATACCTTCTTAAATAAGTCAATGGGTGGGTTCGGTGAAAGTCTCTTCTCTTTCTGTTCTTTGGATTCCTGGGGAAAAAAGGTAAGCTGGAATTTAGAATTCTGGATGGAGCAATCAAAAGTAAAGACTGATGAATCAGAGATCTCAATATGGACCTTTATGGCTGTTTTGTCTGTAATTTTCACTTCGCTGCCTGTGTTTTCCTTGGTTGGATGAACCTGAAGCAGAATTTTTCAAAAATGATAACTGTTTGCAGGTTTAACAATTGTAGGGGTTTAAGTATTCAGCGAATCTTTGTTACCTTACTACTGAAAAAACCTGATTTTGTCTTGACTGGTCTTTCAGTTCTCTTCATCTTTAAAGCGTTTTCCAAGTTTGATCTAAAATATGGAAGCACCAATGAGAAAAGAGAATGTAGATAAAAATCGCTACTGAATGTAAAACTGAAGGTGTAAACTGTACAGTTCTCAATCATTAGCATAATGTAAGATAACATTAGTGAGTTTCTAACCTCTTATATTCAGAAGGAACACTCTTCGAACTGATATCAGAATTTTGTCTGCTCAGATTCTGCATAGGAAGACTAGCTTACTAGATTGCTAAATTGAATTTCATTGTGCCAAATACGGTCAAAATCATAAAAATGAATGCATGTTTCGTACTAGACAGGATCTGATAAGAACATAGTCTCTTTCGTCTCACTCTGATAAGTGATAATCCACTTTGTGGAGACTTAGATAATCCACTTTGTTGAATTGTAGTTCATCAAAGTGGACTGTCAAAGTGGGAAGAAAAGTTATGGGAAGAAAAGTTTGAATTATGAGGTGCACTTACGCTAGCAGATGAACGCTGCAAGGCTCTTGTTGTGGTCTCGAAGTTAAATGCCTGCAGAGGTAATATGGGTGTGGATCAGGATCTATAAGGGATATATACTGTTTTTTTCACAGAGATAACAAAGCAGGATTCTTGGAGAAATGAATGTAAGCAGAAGAGTGTTGCAAAATTTACTTGAATGGCTGTCAGTTTTTGTCTGCTTTTTACAGTTGGTGAATGAGGCTTGAATATCTAGACAAGAACGCAAAACCAATTCTTTAAGTCATACACCAAGGCCACAAGAATCATCTCCAGAAAATCCATGATCAATAGGGAATTAGTAAACACAAACTTTTCTGTTTGAGGATTCTGATTCTGAACGCTCACTTGCCTCAGAATTAGTCCTGGACCTGAATTTTCACGATAGTGACAACAATACTCAGACCTCGAATGTCATGAATTGATAGTTTGATGACAAAATGATATAAAAGAGTCAGGAGGAGCATACCTTCGGCTTTTAGCTCTCTGCAGAGTTTCCAGTGCAGGCTCTTTAGGAATAGTTACCTTCAGCTTCGGATATCCCGCATTAGGACTCGTGTTTCCATCCTGCAACCAAAACACGAACCTACCACTTGTGTAACTAGAGAATGATGTACAGATGTAGTGCTGGACAAATGTTCATGCATAGAGTAACAAATTTGATTCATTCGAATGTATACGCAGTACATTAATGTAGATCACCTTTCTAGATAGTTTATGGAGTAACAAAGCCTGTTGCTTCAGGCGGGAACCCTGGTTTTGCAACAAAAAAAACCTCAAAATAGGTGTTTGTAAAATGAAACATTCTTGATGCATATCTTTAGGGGACCTTACCCGGCGCAGGTAACCTAGCTCAAGCTTTTGGCGTTTGGTGGCTAAGTTATCAAGACCCTGCTTCAAGCTTTTCCCGTCCATGCCAATAGGTGATTTTTGAAACCTACAAGTGAATATGGATGTTGAATTTCCATATGATGCAAGATAAAATATGCTATACATATAATGTTTGTCAAGAGCAAACCTTGCACATAATTGGTTGGAAAGTAAAATGTCTCTGGCTTGTTTCAATTTGGCTAAATGACTAACTGTAGGCTTCATTAGTGTTGAACTTAATTTTGCTTTGGTTTTAGTTTCCATGACACCTTCTCTTCCTGTTGAATTGGAGAGGGAAACAAAAACAAAGCATTTGGTTACTTGAAACACCGTCGGAACCGGAAGGTTGAGCAGGCGTATGCCATGAATCTATTCGGTTACCTTTAGTCGGAGAATCCTCAGAACCCATGTCACCATCTGAAGTAGTATTGCCAGCTAAGCTGGACGTGGTGGTCTTGGTTTCCTGCAGATTGCTTCCTCCTCCCCATCTCAACTTAACTAGCGCTAGAAATGACGCCGGGAAAAAAAAAAACAGAGTCAAAATACAGAGTACATGGACGAGAAAATAAGGAGAAGAAGAGAACCAAAGAGGCCTTGTTTGTGTGCATGAGCTATTCATTTCTGTTCTTCAATCTTTTAACAGTGAACTCAAACAACTTCCTACTCCTTTTTTTTTTTGACAATCAAGCAAGAGATGGTGGATTGAACAAAACGAAAGAGAACAGAGAAAGACATGATTCCGATCTCATGAACCCTTTGTTCACATAACGTCAAAGTTTCATTAACCCATTCATTTTCTTTCTTTCCAGGACGGCTCCAAAAAAAAAAAATGATGATAAAAAGAACAAAAAAGGCTTACGAGAAGGCGGATAATTTCCGGCAAAAGAGAACCAACGCTCCGCATCTTGGGCTTCCCTGAGTGTTTCAGGACAACAAAAATCAAAGAACTGGGCGGCGTCGAACTCGTATTCCCAATCAACCTCTGATGCTCCAACGAAATCATATTGTTCGTCGAATTCCTCCTCCTCGATGTACTCGTCCATCTCCATTATTTACAGGGGCAGGGAAACAGACAAGATAAAAGAATACTAGTATTATTCTTGTAGTAAATAATGATGATTAGAACCCTCCCCACATGTTCTTCATTGGCCGGGTCTCTGGCCCAGAGGAAATGACCCTGTGGAACTCATTGGAATTCAATCTCTCATTTAATCTCATATATATGTAAAGAACCACGGCCGTTGGGTTCCCCGGGTGGAACAGAAAACCTTGGGAGAAAAGGGGGAGAGAATGATCGCCGAAATTTGCGATTGCTGGTAATAATAACTTTTTTGCATGTAGTTATATATATATATAGAACAAGGTTGTGGGAAGAGAGAAAGAAAGGGAAGAAAAAAGAAGGTGTCAATGGAAACTTTTAGGAATGGGGATGGATCGAACCCAAACGTTCCTAATCCTACCTACAGGTCAGACACAGCCAATCTTCCCGATACCAAGTTACGAACAACAACAACAACAACAACACCGTATACTACTTCTCATTCCTACGTCAGTTTAAGGAATTAGCGCCACGCATCTTGGCTCGAATATGCAGCTGTCTGAAGAAAAACTAATTTTATTTCTATTTTTTAATTTTTTTGGTGATCGATTGACAGAAATGTTCAATTTTATAATAGGAGCATTAGTAAAAATAAGTTTTATAAATGAGGCTTTTAGTTCGTTGAATTGTTCAATTATGAAATCCAGGGAATTTGATTGTCAGTAATTTGTACCTAGCTGGAAATGTCACCATTTTGGAGCCATTGCCATTGGATGAGCAGTCCAAAAATTGAGAAATGTTGGTTCTTTCGTCTGCTTGAATCGGTCGCTATGTACTACACAAACGAAAACATGCTGCATTATACTTAGTATATATAAATTTTTCTTAAACATAACCTCAACATTGATAGTATCTTTTAATTGTGGTGTTGTAAATCGTTCAAGTTCATCTTAATACATGGAATAAGATTTTTTTTTATTATTAAACATTCTGAAATTTAAAATTTTAATTAATCAAATAATTGTAAGTACTCCTCCATTAACTACTGTAGATTGTAGTTGTTACGCCGGCGACGATCACGTCTATAACTTTAACCATTATTCGTTATCAAGCAAGGTAAGTGTAAAGAAATCCCTTTCTTTAATTGAACCCCCCAACAAAAAAAAGCTGATTTTATGAACTAACATAAAGTTTTGTCACAATTCCAAGCCTTAATTTTTCTTCTAACACAATAATAGTTGGATTATTTCTGAAAAAACCTATATATTTTATTTAAGAAAAAGAAAAGAAAAGAAAAGGATATGTTGAAAGTGCAGAGTGTGACAATTAGCAACCAATTCTCGAACCGTCAAAACACACCAGACACGTCAACAGAAAATCCCCCCACTTTTCAAGAACCAACCAACCAACAAAAACCACCTCCTCCCTCCATTCTTCTTTTACCGAACCAAACCAAAATTCCTTTCCACAAATTTGCAGAATCCAAATCTTCTCCTCCCTCAATTCTTCCTGTTAATTACAGTACCTCTCTCACTCCCACTTCCAGTGTTCCGGGCTCGCCGGAAGAAAAGCCTCCCCCGACGTCATGCCTTTCACTTCCAGTCCAAGCCACCTCTAATAGTCCGGCCAATCGCAATACCCGGACCCGAATACCTTAATCGGGCGGTTGAACACAGCAGAATCCGCAACGATGAGACTGGTGGTTCCTCTGCAAGGTGTAGTACAAGGAAAGGGCGGCCTCCTTTTAGGTTCTCTAATCCCATGTGCCCTATTCTACTTCCTGCAGCTCCATCTCAAACGACACCGTTCCCCCTCTTCTCCTCCTACTTCCAACCCGCCCTCGCCCTCAGCTTCATCTCCCAACCTCGTTGCTGACGCGCTGCCTCGTACATCGTCTCGATTAAATTTTTTTGGCGGAGGAGGTGGGTCCAAAGGCCGTGTACCTTTCTCCAATAGGGCTAGCTCCATAGCCAAGCCCAATGATTCCCCATACTACATTGGATTGGATAGGGTTCGACTGGACCCCTTTGATCCCTCTCTTAACCCCGATGGGATTATTCAGCTCGGATTATCCGAAAACAGTGTACGGTTTACTCTTCTCCCCTTTTGCAACAATTGATGATTTGGATGATAGGATCGTGGCTCATTTTTTTAGCTATATTGCTGCAGTTGTCCTTCGATCTTATTGAGGAATGGCTTTCAAACAATAAAAGTGTGGTTGATTCGTTGTTGCTGGGACGAGTTGCTGATGGTGGTTTAAGCATTGGCGACATTGCTAACTATCAGCCTTGGGATGGATTGATGGAATTGAAAGTGGTATATACGAACGATATGCCCCTATCGCATGAGTTTTTCTGTTGATGGTTTAAGCTTCTTAATTAGTAGGATGTCATAAATTGATTTCCTTTGAAAGTTCATTTGTTGTGCAGGCGATGGCTGACTTCATGAGACAGGCCATGGGTGAAAAGGTGTCATTTGATCCCTCCCGACTGGTTCTAACTGCTGGTGCCACTCCTGCCATTGAGATACTCAGTTTTTGTCTAGCCGACCAAGGGAATGCATTTCTCATCCCAACGCCTTACTACCCCGGGTATATTTTATCTTCATTTATCTTCTTTGTTGTTCAATTATATAAGTTGCATATGTTTATCATGTTAGCTGGTAATTGGTCATAAAAACCTACTCCACTGGGTCTTTTCTATTTTGTAAGATTATCATTTTGGTACCTCTGAATTGCCTTCCAGAAGTTGCTGATGTTATTTTAGTCTTACTCTGGGTTTGTGAAGTTGTTAGTAAATCGTGTGTCTTAGTTTTCTTTCTCTTTTTTACATTCTCCTGATGAGAATATTGCCTTGCAGCTTCGATAGGGATGTGAAGTGGCGAGCAGGTGTGGAGCTAGTACCGGTCCACTGTCGTAGCTCAGAAAATTTTGTGCCGAGCATCCCTGCTTTTGAGCAGGCATTTAATCAGGCACGAAAGCGGGGTCAGAAAGTTCGAGGAATTCTCATTTCAAACCCTTCAAATCCAGTTGGAAACATACTATCTAGGGAAATGCTGTATGGTCTCTTAAGTTTTGCCAGAGAGAAGAACATTCACATCATATCAGATGAAATATTTGCTGGGTCAACGTATGGGGATGATGAGTTTGTAAGCATGGCAGAGATTCGTGATGCAGAGGATTTCGACAAGGATAGGGTTCATATAGTGTATGGGCTTTCCAAAGACCTTTCTCTTCCAGGCTTCAGGGTTGGTGTTATATATTCATTAAACGAAAACGTTTTGGCTGCTTCTCAAAAGCTAACTAGATTTTCTGCAATTTCAACACCAACTCAGAAGCTGTTAGTTTCCATGCTATCAGATTCCAGGTTTATACAGGACTACCTACAGACTAATAAACAGAGACTACGTGCCATTCATGATTTATTTGTTGTTGGCCTTGAACAACTAGGTATAGAAAGCACAAAAAGCAGCTCTGGTTTCTATTGTTGGGTAAACTTGAGCAGATTTGTTAGTCCATATAATGAGAAAGGAGAGCTAGAGCTTTGGGAGAAGCTTTTAAGTACAGCCAAGATCAATGTTACACCTGGCTCGGCTTGCCATTGTATTGAACCTGGATGGTTTAGATGCTGTTTTGCAACCCTAGATGAAAAAGATGTTGCCGTAGTAATAAACCGGATACAGAAAGTACTGGAAACTTGTAAGCCTCCTTCTTGAGAAACTTATGGAAACATAGATTGATGGAGAGTTTGTATATGGAAACATAGATTGATGGAGAGTTTGAGAGTTTGTATAGCTAACTACAGAAACCCAGTGCTTGGCAGTAGCACCGTTTTACTTCAAGATACGCAACAGAAGTCATGAAATTTGGTATCCCTATCTTACAGAAAGGTAACAGGATAATAATTTTCGATTAAATGCTGGTGGTACATGTTACAGTCTTTTTCTTTACATCAGCTTGAGTTGTAATTGCCTTGTCCACTTCTTATGAAATCCGCCGAGTATGTTGCTTGTTTCAAGGATGCCACAGCCAAGTCTATTTTTTGTCATGAATTTCTGCCAATGTGCAAGAGGATGATCACATCATACATAGATACATCGCAGTCAAAATTGCAGTATAAATATCTTTCCAGGTCCTAGTCATTTTCACAAAGAAATGAGGTGCACAAAGATTATGTAAATTCACTAAGTTCAGGAAACAGTTTCTACTTATTTGTTTTCTGCCTTAAGAAAAAATTTTACTTTCAAGAGGAGTTGAAAGTTAGATTTACCTTAGGCGCTCTTTGTGTCTGCATTTGTATGGCTTTCCTTTGGTAACTATATCTCCGACTCATCATTATCAGCTCTCCTAGTGTTTTTGGTTTCGTAATTGAGGCACTGTTGTTCTGTTCACAAAGGAAATCATTGCTGTGCTTCCTCGACTGCAGACGAGAATCGCTCCTTTCATGGCGGTCGACCTTTCCCAGGAAGTTTGCCTTAGGGGTTAATAGAGGAAAGAGCCACTCTAAGAAAGAAGCCCCTTTTAGGCTTGTAGCTCCAGTGTCATCGTAGCTGGCGGTACTGCCGTCCGTTTGTGAATCTGGTGAAGCAGGACTTTCCATCTGCTGGTTTTGAAAACCTGTAACTGAAAGTTGTTGGACAGGAACAGCATTGGAAATGGCCATGGTGGGCACAAGGCCGTTGGCCAACAGAGAAGGAGCTGCCGACGTGTAGGAATCATCTGTTTCAGAGTCGCATGTTTCTGGATATGATGAATCTTGCATGTCAATCTCATCGCCGTCCTGATCATTGAAGGTAACCCAAATGTTGTCGTGGCCTCCGTAATGTCCGGTCGATGGTGTGAAGCTGTTAAAATTCCCCTGACCTGGTGCAAATATTGAAACTGGTGCAAATGTTGAACCATTTGGCGGTGGCTGAGAAAATGATTGAAGTGGTGTTCCTGGCTTTTCTTCCCATTTGAAAGGTACAGAAGCAATGTACTTAGCTGGAGGTGCAGCGAATTTTTTCTGGGCGGGATTGGGTTTCCAGTCCTTCTTAGGTACTCCTGGAAACTCTTCCCAAACGAATGGAATAGAAACAGATTGTTTCACCCTCTTCCTGGTGGTAGCATCAGAGGGCTCTCTCTTCTCCATCTTGACATCTTTGCCATGCTGTATGTCCATGCTTCTAAACCCTGGATGAATGATTTGATTTGATCATTTACGATTGAGGGGTTTATATAGATCTATCATCTTACAGCGTTGATTAGATTGATCCAAAAAGTGGAAGATTGGGTGGGTTAGAAATTTTCGGCACTAGCTCCACCTGCCAACCGCACCATTGCAGAACAAAAGAGGTAGGCTCACGGCTCACCAATTGTGCGATTTATATAAAACAACATAAAAGCGTGCATGGGATATCATGGTAATGTGGTATTGGTAGATAAACTTATCGTGGCAAATTGGTGTGGTGAATTACGCAGCTGATTTGACCAAAGTTGAAAATATAGTAAGGTTTTAGTTTGGTCAAAAGGGGGACTCAACTCAACTACGAATGCAGATAGAAATTCTGGGATTCCTATCTCGTCGTCAGAGTTTGGCAACGTGGCGGGGTGTTTGTGTAACTAACCCATAAAGATGGGATCATAATCCACTAAGCTGTGCTGCTGATAAGTGGTTTATTGACGCAACGAATTTATTCAGTCACAAAGCCATCAAATCCATAAGTGGGGGTTTTAAGGAGGAATTGCTGCAACTGTCACTAAAGTCGTAGGGATCTCCAACTTCGGTCTTACTAGGACCAAGAAGTTATTTGACCAAACCATTCGTTAAGTGGAAAGATAATAGATAAACGACTCTTTATGAATTAGTTAGAATGGCTTATAAAATACTAATAAATATAGATTGTCTGAAGGTTGATCAAGTTTTTGCCTTTCTTGGTCTCTTTGACCATTGGAATGAAATGGCATGCCTGTTTGGTGCGGTTGACCAACTAATGGAATGAATGAAACCTATTTACGAAAACTGAACTGAATGCTTTGAGCGTTACGACCTCCTATCGGTTCCAGAGCTGGTTTTTGTTCTTTTGCTTACAAATCGCATTTGTTGCATGCTAGGGTGTACGGAGCATGAATTGGTGTATTTTTTGTGTTCATTTTCCATCAACGTGATTGCTATGTTTATTTCTTGTATCATTAAGAACGGTGTAACGGTGCCAAGGTATGTTCCCTTGGCTGGGGGCCATTCTCCGTCCACACTCCACAAATGTAAATTACGTTTAAATTAGTAACATGGCCGTAATTCCAAAATTAAATTACTAACCTTATCTCTCTCTTATTCTCTCTCATCTCTCCCCTCTCTCTTCTCTCTCGACAAAAATCCCCCGAACTACCTTAGCCGAACTACCTTAGCTGGGGGAGTTTCTATCCTTAGCCATCACCACCTTTTCTTAATAAAATACAAAAAAAAAAAAGAAAAAAGAAAAAAAGAAGAAGACCTGCCTCCGCTGCCTTTGCTCTGCCGCCCCTGCTGCCTCTGCCGTCGCCGCCGCCCTTGTTGTTGCCCTCCGCTCGAAACCCAAATCGACCCACCGCTGCTGCCCATCGCCGCTCTCTCTCGGAACCCATCCAGCTGATCTACGCCAGAAGCCATCGCTGCATCCCAGATCTGACAGAGTCCATGCTGTGTTTTAATTCAATTAAATAGGATTTCTCACCCTCAGTATAGATCTCGGATTGATTCTTTACTGAGCGAATTTAGTGCGTCAACGGAACCGAGTCCGTTGGTCGAGTCCAAATTTGGTGTGCGTTGTTTATCGTTAATCACGACAAATTTGTGCTTCACTCTGCGGATTAGTGATATATTCGAATTCAGAATTTTATTCTGTTCCGTGATATGTCCAACAATAAAATTATGCGATTATAGGATTTTTAACTCTTTTGTCAGTTGTATTGATCTAGTCATTAGTGCAGTGACTAGTACCGTGAGTACGTCATTATGACGGTTCGTGTACGTCATTTTAGACGGTCTGTTCTTGAATCAAATGGTGGTGGACCATTTCCAATAATTTCAATGAAGTTTGTTTTCCCTAAAAAAAAAAAAATTACAAGACACTCAAGAAGAGGTTAAATTTCGAATTGAATTGAAAATCCAAATAAAAGAAGGGGAAAAAAAAGAAAAAGAAAAAGAAAAAGAGAATATATATAATAGATGGGCTGGCTAGAAGCCCATTTCAGCTAAATGAGCCCATTAGCTGATCCTACCTAGTTTTTCCCTAAATCGATTTAGTGGGCTTTTTAAAACGCTTTTCTTGTTTTCACATGAATCTACTCATCTGAGGATTCCAATTTGAGTCCATAGTCCTCATCCGAATTGGAATCTGGAAATTGTATAACAACACTATATAAACACACCCGGGACCCAACCGGGGGAACCCAGTGTGTGTTGAAAATTCCTTTTTAATTAGCAGACGACCTATTCGATTCGATTTTGGTGGTGACATAAAACCAAAAACCGCTTCAACGGCACACAAAAAGAAGAAGACCGACGACAGTGAGAGAATCATAAAACATAATAATGCAGCCAGGGAGTATGGAATCGCGGAACGAAGACCGGCCAAAGAGCCCGGTTCTATGCGCAAAGGGTTGCGGCTTCTTCGGCAATCCCACAACTCATAACCTCTGCTCAAAGTGCTACAGAGATTTTTTGAAAGAAGAATCGATGTCAGCCTTGTCCGGCATGGACAAACCCTCGAGGACTCCGCCGACAAACCCTTTCCCCTGTTTTGGCGGGAATAACGTCGTGAGTCCGGCAGAGCAAGAAGAAGAAGAAGACAGTAATAATAATCCACCACCGCCTCCGCCCCAGAAAAAGAACCGGTGCCAAAGCTGTAACAAGAAAACGGGATTGACGGGGTTTAGTTGCCGATGCGGAGGAGTATTCTGCGGGATGCATCGTTACCCGGAAGAGCATGGTTGCAGTAACGACTACAAGTCTCAAGGCCGCACTTCCATTGCCAAACATAATCCATTGTGTGTTAAAGATAAGATGGACTACCGCCTCTGATTGTCGATCAGCAGTTGAGATCATGAGTTAATTTGTTTAGAGTTCTCCAATTTAGCGTTGACCATATAGGAAATACTGTATATAAACATAACAAACAGTAGTTTATAGTACATGTTTATATTTTTATACAGGATTTCCCAGTCATGATGGATTTTTATACTTTGATAAATACTAGTAATTTTTTTTTTTCTATTTTCTTTTACTTCCTTTAGCTTTATAAGTGTCTTCTTCTGGCGTGATTTCCTCTCTTTCTGGGTACCATGAAAAGAAGTTAATTTACATCCCAGTAAGACTAATCAAGAACATTACAGGGATAAAATCACACAGTAAAATTTGCTTCCTTGAACTTATGAATTATCTCGACCTCCCTTGTCAACTATTCACGAATCTCCCAAACCACACCATCACTAATAATTCAAGTAAAAGCTCTGTGTTTACACAGTGTGGATCTTCCCATCTTTGTTCAGACAACGTGGATATCAAAAAGTATTCAAGCTGCCCAACCTTGCGGAATCAACTGGGCCTTGTGTTATCCCATCCACAAGGCCCTTGATTCTGCTACTCCCAAGAGGCTACACGAATTTTGGCAGGACTGTAAAATATCAAAATATTTTGATCTAATTCATCTGACTACATTTCAGTTTACTACTATGTAATAACGGCTTTTGGACTGGAAAAAAGGAACAACTAATTAATATAATAACATAAAATCTAAATCATGGAGTATATACATTTATATATATACAAAAATAATGATGACACATTTGTTTAACCCAATGGTCCCAATCCAAATTTGTAACCAACAAATCAACTCTAATCTACATCTGATATGACGTACTACTAGGTTCATGTTAAACATTGTAGTGCTATCTCTTTACAAAAAGGAGATGCTGTGCTCTATATATTGACCAACCAACCAACAAACTGTAAACACTACCCCGACTATAGCAAAGTGAAAGCACTCAAAACGTAAAAATAAGAAGAAAAAAAAATGAAGGAGACATGTATGATGTAGTAGGAAAAACTTGGAAACAATTAAAGTCGATTGGTAAAGAGTGTATTCCGTTTAAGAGGTGCACAGGTTGGGTTGCTTTAAAAGAATTTTATCTTCAAAAATATCTAAATAGAGTAAGGATTAACAATTTAAGTATCGTCCGTGGCTTATTAGCTTTACGTAGCACCATCCATGGCTGGTGGGGTGTAAGACGTTTCGTTTCATTGAGCTCCTGTTTTGAAAAGAAAAAATCAGAAAGCATTCATTTGTTTACATCCGCGAGTAGAGTAGCTTTTAATTTTGAAAACAGAACTATGCAATAAATATGTCGAGCCCCCCCAGCACGGGTTGCATGTGCTTTTGGATTTGTCAAACCCAGACACCCAATTTATATGCGCAGACCCGCACCATTTACTCTATTCTCTTCATACTTACCTTTACTTATCTTAAATTTTCATGCAGTCTCATACTTGTACGTCACACCAATTCGAAGATTCAAAACTAGCCCTCACCTATATATGTGTAATGCTATAATCTTGATATTCTTTAAAAATAATTAGGTTCATCAGCTTTCAAATTTAGTGTGACCATGTTTAGACAAAGAAAAAATTAGTACTCCATATGTCCCCAAATTATTGTCCAATTTGAATTTTCATTTTTAGTATAAATTAAACTAAAAGTGAAAATCAAAACCGGACAATAATTTCAAAACAGAAAGAATACCTTTCAACTCAACACAAAACACGATCATATTAACACCTGAGTTGGCACTTTTAAATGAAGGTGATAACTAACTAACTAACTAGAAGTATTTACGAATTACCAATTTGTTAAGAGTTTGAAGAATAAATGACAAATATGATTAATGGCCCACTTATAATTGGATCACATTTCATCAACTATAATGCTCTTCTAATTTTATATTTAAATCATGGTGGGAGAGTATGATAAACACGATTCCAACCAAGTTATAGGTCCCCATCAATCTGGATCCAACGATTGCATTTTGGTAATAATTAGGATTGAGGGCAAGAAGAATAAATTCACATGACTTGTATGACATAGACATACTTGAACATATGTGTGTGATCCATAACTTCAATAATTCCCTGGCCAAAAAGAAAAGTATTTTGAAGAATCTGACCCAATCTCATACTTTACATCAAAGATCAATTTTTTTTTTTAACATATACAAAGATCCTAGTTAAGAAGCAAAACCAACCATATCTCTGGATCTACTATAAGAGTTTACATTTTGGGGATAAAAGGCAAAGCAAAATTAAACTGTATGGTAACTAATTTCATAAGACTAACTAAATCATAGCTCAGAAAGAAAAAATGTAGAGAACTACCATTTGCTTAGCTTCAGCTGAAATTCTTGGGCAAATTCAAGAATCCATTCAAGTTGGCGCATTCAAACAAGGCTTTGGCACTCATTTCCCGTTCAAACCTCCAGATGTAATTCAACCCCACCAGCAGTTCAGTTATGGCAGCCTCTGTTTTCTCTTGATTAGCAAAATGCAGAGTTTGCAGTTGAAGAACATTTGTTTTGGGCAGCAAATTTTGATGTTCATAGCTCCTTTCATTTTGCCACTTGATTGTATTATGCGCCAAGGGTGACAACCAACCCAAAATCTTCTGCAAAGCATCCCTCCATTCTCCAGCAAGAAATGGATCACTGGCAGAAAATCCTACCCCTTTTAGCCTTGCCCTCAAAGCTGACCGAATACTGTTTGGCAACATGGAATAAAGATCATCCTTTGCATCTGCACCTACCAGTTGTGGTGATCTTATCATCTTTTCAATGACAATGATCAAATTTGCATAGTGCAAAGACAGAGCAGCCGATCCTAATGTATCCAGAGCTGGTTTAACAAACTTGGAGTTCAATTCAAAGAACCCAACTTGGTTAGATTTTGAATCTTGAAGATTGGGGGATTTCATGACCAATGGCCCTGAAACAAAATTTCCACATGAATTAGGATGTGGATCGGAAGAGGGATAAACTGTGGCTGAAGCAGATAAACTCCGGGGCAGAGAAGTTGGATATCCATGCCCAATTCCAAAAACAAGCTTAATTCTTGCAAGGCTAGTGAATATTGATGTGGCAAGCAGTTTTGTTGCCGTGTCATAACTTCTACCCCATAAAGATCTCTCCTTTAAGTACTTCACTTCTTGCCTCTGCCATAGAAGCTTCTGTTGCAGCTCAATGATCTTCTGCTCTTTATTTTTGTTGGTTGAACCCTGTTCATGATGATGATAACTGGATTCTTTTGCAACTTGGGATTTTCTCAATTGATTTTCAATCACCAAAAGTTCGTCCATTTCTCTATGAAGCGTGGCTGTGACAGTAACATACTGATCCATCTTCTTGATCTTCATTTCCATGTCTTTCCAGCTGAGAACAAAGTTATGGCAATCACGACCCGTGTTGGAAAATTCATCCAGAAACCTCTCGAAAGATCTCAAATTTGAGTCTTCACACTTTTTACTCAACCTCGAAACCGATTTCGAGATTTGCCTCAGATTTTCAAGCATCTCCGCACATGCCAAGCCCAGAAGGAAATCCTCGTCGTTTGAGACAATCTTTCGAACACCTTCCAACGATATTGATTCGTTGCGAAGACGAGCAATATTCTTGTCCGAGAGAGATTGCCATAAATGAATGAGCTTTGACATAAGCCCAGCTATCTCGAAGGCCAAAACTCCAACGTTGGATTTCTTGATTACTGCTGAAGATTTCGGTTTTGGAGCTGCTGATGCTGCAAAACTGCTTGATATTGTCTTCTTTACCTTGACCAACCATGTTTCCAGAGCCATCAGAAATTTCCTCTAATTTGTGAAACAAAATACAAAGGAAGAGTACTCAGGGTAGCTAGCTTAAACTTAAAGGATCAGCAATCAAACAAACTGATCCGTGAATGATATGGGGAGAGATTAATTGCTAGATTTGATAGCCATAAAAGAATTGTGGGAGAGAGAACTGAAAAGGGAAGGTTTTTTGATGAGATGGAGAGAATACAGAGGAGAGATAAAACAGAGAGAGATTTTATTACAAAAAAAAAAAAAATGGAGGAAGAGAGATAAGGATAAAAATAAAAGGAGCAAGTGTTCCAATGTGCAGCTTTGCTTTGGGAGAATTGCTAATTTTAACAAGTGGTTAGTGGTAATACTGTTCTTCTTTGAGTAGCTTTGGTTAAATTAATTAAGACATAAAATACTGAGAGAGATAGAGAGGGAGAGAGAGATGATTTGTTTATTGAAAAATCCTCCATGGCCACATGCAGAAGAGACTGATGCATAATCTTTTCTTTTCTTATTTAATCTTTTTTTTTTAAAAAAAAATAGAATTCCCTAATTTGGAGGCCACTGTTTTGCAGTTGAGAGTCAATGTACTGTTTCCTGTAGCAGAAAAGTTGGCAACTTCTGACTTGTATTATTTTTTAATATTTTTTTTAGCGATTTCACTCTGTTTTACACCTGATTTTTTTTTTTTTTTAATGTTCATTTCCAATTTGTCGCAACTCGTTGATTGATTCTGTTCACAAAGCATTTGGATTCGAAGAAAACAATGTGACTTAATATTGGTTCCGTGATCTCAAGTTCTTGTGGAATATTGATAATGCGTCTTTTTTTGTAAATCAGACCGTTTTTCTTCGGGCAGTAATTGAGATGAATGATTTAGAAGGACTGGAGGAGGATCTAAAGCGTATCTGCTCCAAACCTTAATTATTCGTTTCACTATTTTGACCGGACAACTAAAGCCACTGGTTCAAATATAGAATAAGATGGTTTACTGGTTAAATCACTCTTGCTTCCTATATGAAGTCGTGATTAATATGAAATTAGAATCTATGACTAATTTTAATTTATGGTTGAACTAAATTACGTTAACTATTCCACGAACACCAAAAATCAGAATACAATAAAACATACTACAATACGCGAGATATTCTTAATGCAGTGGCCGTGAATAAATCAATTTATGGTGACGGAACATAATAAATTGTAGAAAGATATAACCAAAAAATATGAGGTCAGACTTAAAATTGAATACTACGAAAATGCAAGTATCCTAATATTGTTAGTGAGTGAGTGGTAGTCATTGATCTAATTAGGCTCTAATCTCCTAACATAATAATTGGACCAGTGGTCACTGATGGGTCTAAACTCCAACATTAATTATTGAAAACTTAGGATTGAGAATGCATAATTATGATGGTTACTTCTGATCAGACAGGTGGGAGCTATAAGATCGTATTTGTTGAAGCTGCTTTATCGATCTTTAAATGACCAGGTTTCGTTAACAAAAGGTAAATCACCCCACGCTAACGCCCCATGCTCAACTTATAATTCAACAATTCGCCAAGATTGAGACAAAAACAACAAATATTTTAGCGTTGTGATTTTTTATCCGAAAGGGTTTTATAGGACTGTCAACAAATCGAGCACTTCGCAAATAACTTAGTCAAAACTTGGTTCGAATTCGACTTTGGCCGAATTCGAACAGTTCAATTAGATACACAAGTCGAACATGAGTATCAATATACTTGATTCGAGAGCTCGTTGAATCTATTCGAACTTATTGTAAATTATTTTATTTTTATTATGAATAATATATAATTCATGAAAACTTTTCATTTTATTTCTTAAAAATTATTTTCCTTTATATTTTGAAGATGTAATAATGGAATATACATATTTTTTATGATTTGTCAAAGAATTTTGCTCATAAAATATATAGATTGAACTTGTTGAATTAAAAATGACAAGTATTAAAATTTACTCGAGCTCAATATTATCGAACATTCGAGCTTAATTTTTATCAGAAATAAAAACTCGAGTCAATCGAGCCGAGCGCGAGATATTCGTTTTTATTTCGAACCAAACTCAAACTTCAATTTAGACGTTCGACCGAGTTCGAACTCAAATACGAACTTCAAAATTTTTGTCGAACTCGAGCTCGAGCACCTAACTGTTTGGGCTTGACTCGGTTCGTTGACAGCCCTAGGGTTTGACTTTAGACTAATTGATAATGAGAATTAGTTCGACTATAATGTATACTTTCTTCAAAGATATCGTATTATAACAAAATCTAATAATAAGACTTCGTATTATAACCCAATCTAATAATAAGACTTCATCAAAACATAAACTAATTAGAAGGTAATCAGCCTAATCTATACACTAATAAAACATTGCGCAAAGTAATTCAAAATATTCATGCGGGGGAGGAATTCTCATTGACACGAGTCAGTAGTCACGACTCTATCATCTCCTCAATGACTCGGTGCATGCGTGCTTTAATGTAGTCAACTCGTGGTTTGACTGAAGGCTTGTCCTTTTGGTGTGATTTAAGTCAAAACAACACAATTATTAACACACATATAAATCCATCCACATAATATAAAAATCGATTATTATTAGCAGGAAATGCGCATAAAAGGATGCATGCATGAGAAGGGTACAGCACATAGTATATCAACGTCAGTAGACTATTTGGTGTACAGTATATAGAATAAGATTGATATATGATGGAGTAAATTAATTCATATGTATGGACTGATTCGGACAATAATCAATTTATTTATGAATTTGTGATTTCATTCCATGGAAAAAACAGTACATTTATTGGTAATGCATGCATCCACTCATAATTTCACGACTTCACATGGCATTCTTTCCAATTGGAAGATCAGAATTTTGGATCCGGCCGTATATGTTGGGTTCACAAATTGTCTCGTAAGTTTTAACTCCCAAATCTAAATTCTTCAAGCATCGATCTTTGCATTTGTACTTGAACATAGCCAGTTTACTATTTAATTCATTAAAGCATCGATCTTTAAGTGTAGTTTAATAGCTACACACTTTTCCATTTCTAATTAATATAGTGTTACCTCTATCTCGTATATATAAACTATTTTTTCGGACAAAAGAAATATTAAGCTATTAGCTAATTGAATTAAGTTCAAAAGAAAAAAAGAAAAGAAAAAAAAGGAGAGATTTTGTTCACTTCTGTGATTTGGGTAAACCTTTTTGTAACTCAATTAGACGGCTTTTAAAGAGAAGCAAATGGTAAAATTAAGAAGCCCTAAAAGGAGAAGTGCCTTTATTGGTAACAAAAATTCCCAATGCAAAAATTATGAACTTTCCATTTCTTCATGAATTAGAGAAATGGCACGCAAGTACTTAAAGAAGTTTCTGGCCTCTTCCTTATCTTATATCTGTTGGCCGGTGTCTCGTCTATTTTCCTCATGTAATTGATATGGTGTCTTTTGGAGTTTGGGGCAAACTTTTGCAAGACTTCAATAAGTGGCAACAGGAGGCGCAGGACCTAATCATCAAGAACAAAGACTTACTACTACTACTACTACACATCTTTTACCTTTTCTTTTTTTCAATAATTTTAAAATAACCAAGTTGCTAATTTTGCCTGGCGTTTTGACAGCATCGAAACAAGATCGTCGTCCACATTGTCGGTAAATGCAAAGGCACCACGAAGTCTTTCTTGTTTCTTGACACTCAATGAGAAGCTGAGTGGGGAAGTCTGGACTGTGGGAAAGCTCCTCAAAGTTATGCACTTAAAAAACTCCCTTTCCCCATTCTCATCATCATCATCGCACTGAGAAACTAGTTTTTTTATTCGTTAGCTGTATCAATTTGACACCAGACTTCATTTTAAAAAACAAAAACAAACATAAAAAAATAATACTACTGTAATATGCATTGGAGATAGGGGTCGACCTAATTATATATATTACTCGGTTAATTAATTAATCCAAGTATTCGACGCTCCATTTCTCCAGAATAATACACTTGATTAATTAAGTGGAAGCTACTATTTTGCTTAGCAAATTAAGAGACGAGATTTGTAGGGATCTATGTTTGAACGAGAGAAACGAGATTAATGTCCGTATCCACATTAAAAGCTTAAGACCGGCCGGCGGAGCTCTTCCTTCTAAAGAATCATGATCGGGAAACCAAGCCCTCCTTCATGCAAATCGTATCTTTGGCCCGCCATTTTTAAAGTTTTTTGTGTTAATTTCTTGGCCCCAGGAGTTAATTTAAATAACAGGTCAAGTCGACATATTGGACGATTGTTCATTAGTTTCTTCCTTCCTAGATTCACAATACGTCGGATTCCAACCAATTCATATGTTATCATGAAATGCTTGTTATTGAAGGCGAAAATTGCACCTTACACCTGTTGAGAGTCATGTGTCAAGGATTATGAATCCCACATCGGAGGCACGAAGACATGTGAATCAGTTAATAGGAAGGTGGATTTAGAACCCATTAGCTTGAGTTTTTGAGTTCAAATAGGTCTTATCTTACTTATTGGGTTCCATATCGGGTTTTCTCCTCCAGATAAATTCCCAACAGTGGTATCAGAGCCCAGGTTGGACCAGTTGGGTGGGTGATTTAGCCTAAATTATCTCGGTTGATCTGACTGAACCCAGGCAGTCAAAGGCCCACTACGAGCGGAAGCGTAGAGATGGGCGGCCCAGTTACTCAGGTGGAATACAGATTTGGGCTTGTCAAAATAATTTAGAAGCCCGATAAGGAGATTGCTCATGACGGGAGAGAATGTTGAGAGTCATGTGGCAAGAATTATGAATCCCACATCGGAGGCACGAGGACATGTGAATCAGTTAATAAGTAAGGTGGATTCAGAACCCATTAGCTTGAGCTTTTGAGTTCAGATAGGTCTTATCTTACTTATTGGGCTCCATGTCGGGTTTTCTCCTCCAGATAAATCCCTAATACCATTGATTTTAACGGCATGGCGGCGTCAATATCTTAAAATTCACAAAATTAAGTTTTGAGATCTCCCAAAAATAAATTCTCCAACACTTTATGCATTCCATATCCGCCGGTACAATCAATGGGAGGCGTTGGTGTAGTATTCGCCTTCAGACACTTATTAGTGTTGAAATATTGCATTTAGGGGTTTAAATGCTCGAGCTTGATGGCCGATGGGTATTAGGTTAAAGAATGACAAGTAAAACTAATATTACCGTGAAAGGTAAAACAAGGCCAAATCTAAACACTTGTACAAGCATGGAGGTATATGTTTTTTCCCCCTCTCATCCGTATGTACCCCCGCACACAATTTTTTTTTTTGAAAAAATGGTATTCCATGATAAATAAGGTTTGATTGGATGGTAACACAATCAAGCTAGAATTTCATGAGAAACGCGGGATATTTTTTAGGAATGTATGCGCATGAGTATATGTATAGTGTAATAAGAATGACGAAATGAGTCAAT